CTACGTGTACCAAAGGAAGGAGGTCCGCTTGAAAAATGTTATGGAAAGACCGATGAGCCTAGGGAGCTATAGGAGCTCTGGGCAGCTGGCTGGCATGTGAGCTCTTTCTTCCCTTTTCCCCTGTGCTAGTGCTGATAGCTGCTGCTGCTGCTTGCTGGCAAGGTGAGGTGAGACTGAAACGGCCGGCGAACAGGCCCACCCGATTATCGACGATTGACGTCACCAAGAACGCTAGGGAACCATTGAAACGCCGCGTTGAAGCATGTGAAGACGAGGGTTCGACCCAGTCTCGCCAGCAGTCTCCCTAATTGGACACGAACGGGGACAGTTCAGGGGTGGGTTTGGGCCGTCATCTGGTCCAATCGTTAGGAAAACCACGCAGGATTTCCTCCAGAAGTAAAGGACGACCCAATGCCATGACAGAAACTCTGTGTGTAAAGATACAGAGTGTGAGAGTCTGCGAAAGCTGAAGGAAGTCGACATGGGAACCAAGGCCGGACTGGCTCAACATGGCAGGGCTTTAGTGCATAGTCCGAGAACCAAGGCCTCGGCCGGTTGAGCTGGTTGGGCCGCCGTGGCAGTCTAGAGCTAAAGAGGCATCTTTTCATCGGGAATTTTGGAGATCATTGGCCGATCGGATGCCTTCCGCCTTTTACCGGTCTGCCTTAGCGGCTGCCAGCCTGGTTGGTTCAGCAGCACCAAACAGTCGAGAAATCCAGGAACACGCCTGATGCGCAGCTCACACACAACACACAGACACGAACACGACGGGGTGATTCATTCTTTTTAGAGTTGGATGAATCGAATTTGAACAGTTTCCTAGGACATCGGCACAGATTTCTCTGATAGCTGCTGCTCCGTGCATATTGTGGGTATCTCCGTCTATCGCTTGCCCCTGTCGCGTCTGCCCGCCTCCAACATCTTGGCCTTCTTCTGGAATCTCTCGCCCATTTCGGCTTGGCCGCTGCCCTTTGGTCCGTCCGTAGTGTCTCTGCCGCGCTTCCGGCTCTTGTCGAGGATGTCGCGGCTGCTGCCGCCTCCGCTCTTGCGGGCCGTGAGTCTGTTGATTCGGTCGACACCCTCGCCGAGGTCTCTCCATTCCTCTCCGCCAAATTGCATACGCTTGCCGTTGCCAGTCCGCATAGCCTCCTCCTTCTTTGCCTTCTTGCTCGATGTGGGGAGACGGGTAAAGTTGGCTTCTTCGTACTCGCGACGCTCGTCTTCCGTCTTGCGATCCGCGGCAGTCTTGATCCTGCGGCCACCATTGACAATGGTCGTTCCGATACTGGGCTCGGCGATGGGTGCAGTTGATAGCTCGTGCTCGATGAACTCGTCCATGGTGTGGGACTTGAGTGGCCGACGATCGGATTTCTCCTTGCGTTCGGAGGGCATGATGGTAGGCGCAATTCTCGGGGGTCGGTAGACACCGTTCTTCGCAGCGGCTGCAACGGCGGCAGAGGCCGCGGCGGGTCTAACAAAGGCATCTGGCCGGGCTTGGAGGTTGGCTGCCTTGATCTCATCCTCCTCTTCGTCGCTACCAGACTCTCCGTCGGATGCATAGTCGTCAGAGTCGTCGGCGCCTGCATCCTGTGCGGTTTTGACTGCTTTAGCATTCCGTTCGGCGTCGTCCGCGGCGCGAAGAATCTTCTCGATCTGGTAACGCAGCTTGTCTTCGAGGGGCCGAACACCCTTCTCGAGGTACAGTCGGAGTTCTACCAGCTTCTTGACAACTGTCTCCATGGTCTCTCCGGCACTGCCATCGTCGCTTGATTGCTTCTTGGCGTTGCGCAATTTCAGAAGGATCAGGAAGACGAGATTCTGCAGGTAGGAGGCAAGAAGCTCGTTCTTGGTATCGAGCAGCGAAATTCCATTTTGAGGCGGCGCAATGGTGCCCTTTGGTGCCGCGTCGAGTGATGTCGTCAATGACTGCGTCAATGAGTCCAGCAATGCTGGGAGGGTGCTTGGTGCCGCCATCTTGAACCTGGCGATGCTATGTGTTGCTGGTTGAGTACTCGAGGTCGCAACTGAACAAGAGCGCGATGCAGGAATTTTTTTTTTTCAACCGCCAAAGTGATCTGCGGAATTGCGGGGACCAGTGCATCGGGATTTATGGGCCCCGACCACCGGTCTCCACTTTGGATGTTTCCACGCGGGCACCTCAGGCCCCTGGCAGCCCAGCCGTAACACCCCGGACAGACAATATTCCGGCTGGTCAAGTGCGACGGATGGGACCTGCCTGAACAGCCCCCAAGCTGAGGTGCAGGGGTTCGTGGTGACTAAGCCAGTTTCGGGACAGTTGTTCGAGAGGCAGCAGGAGCTCCTGTAAATGAGATACGAAGCTCCCGGACCTGATACAACAAAGGCAATTGGCCATCTGTCCACCACGAAGCAACTTTGCTTCTTGCCCAAACATCACCGCGAGCTTCCCGTGTTCTTGCCGAACTATCTTTACCGCCATCAACAAGGTGCAGACGGAACCCGGATGACCCACCGGCTGTAAGCCGCTTTGCGCTACCTGGACACCTTACCGAGAACCAAGGGTACGTAATCGCGATCCATCAATCGGGGTAGCTATTCCTATCGGTTTCATGTTTCACGCTACCTTTCCTCTGGCCACCATCTTCTCTTTCGCAAAGTATCGAGACTGATCGCAACTTTTGGACAGAGCTCTAACATCGCGTCACGATGCAATTACGAGACATGGCGCCTTCGTCGGCGCTCGTGGCTTCTTTGCTGGTTATCCCACAGCTCGCTTCTGCCTTCTACTTGCCAGGTGTTGCGCCCACCTCTTACAAGAAGGGCGACGTCGTTCCTCTCTACGTGAACAGCATCAAGCCAGTCGCCGCCCCCTCCGATTCCCGGTTGCACTCAATCGTTTCCTACGACTACTACCACCCTGGCTTCAAGTTCTGCGAGCCCGAACCCCGTCCCGAGTATGTGTCGGAGAGCCTGGGCAGCATTCTCTTCGGAGATCGCATCATGACCTCGCCATTCGAGCTGCGCATGAAGAACGACGAGAAGTGCAAGCCGCTTTGCATCCAGAAATACCCCCCGGCGGCAGTCGGTTTCGTCAAGCGCCGCATCGAACAGGGTTACAGCTTGAACTGGCTTGTGGACGGCCTGCCTGCTGGACAGCAGATCTACGATGACTTCACGAACACGACTTTCTACAACCCCGGATTCTTGATGGGCGGCGAGGACGAGAACGGCAACGTCATCTTCAACAACCATTACGATATCAACGTCGAATACCACGCCGTCAATGGCGATCAGTCGCAGCTACGCGTCGTCGGTGTCGTTGTCGAGCCGAGCTCGCGTGCGTACCCCGGTCTGCTCGACTGCAATAACCAGATGGAGCCCATCATCTTCGAGGAAGACGGCACTGAGAAGGAGGTCAAGTTCTCGTACTCAGTGTTCTGGATTGAGTCTAAGACAGCTTGGGCTACCCGTTGGGACAAGTACTTGCACGTATTTGATCCCAAGATCCACTGGTTCTGGCTTGTTGACACCGCGATTATCGTCATCATTCTGATCCTCACGGTCATGTCCATCCTGGTCAGAGCTCTGAAGAAGGACATCGCGAGATACAACCGCCTTGACCAGATTAATTTGGACGACCTCTCTGGTACTTCGGCACTCGAAGATGGAGTACAGGAGGATTCGGGATGGAAGCTAGTCCACGGAGACGTGTTCCGCAACCCGTCGAATCCTCTTCTACTCTCGGTTCTGCTCGGAAACGGTGTTCAGCTCTTCGTCATGACAGGCTTCACCATCTGCTTCGCCCTCCTCGGCTTCTTGTCGCCCTCCAACCGTGGGTCCCTCGGAACGATCATCCTTCTCCTTTACACTATCTTGGGCTTTGTCGGCGGCTACATCTCTGCGAGAACATATAAGTCGCTGCAGGGCGAGAAGTGGAAGATGAACATCGCGCTGACTCCGATTCTGGTGCCGAGCATCGTGTTTGGGGCCTTCTTCTTCCTCGATCTCTTCCTCTGGGCGAAGCAGTCTTCCGGTGCCGTGCCCTTCACTACCATGCTGGTGATCATTGCCATCTGGTTCATCTTGTCGGTGCCGCTCTCGTTCGCAGGATCCTGGATGGGTTTCCGCGCAGCCCCCGTACGGGCGCCTGTCAAGACCAACCAGATTCCTCGCCAGATTCCTCCTGCCACCTCCTATCTCAGACCGATTCCGAGCATGCTCATTGTCGGTCTCCTGCCCTTTGGCGCCATCTTCGTCGAACTCTACTTCATCATGAGCTCCGTCTGGTTCAGCCGTATCTACTACATGTTCGGCTTCCTGTTTCTCTCGTACGGCCTCATGATTGTCACGACTGCTGCCGTTACCATTCTCATGGTGTACTTCTTGCTCTGCGCTGAGAACTACAACTGGCAGTGGCGATCCTTCCTTGCTGCTGGCATGAGCGGTGGTTACATCTTCCTCAACTGCCTTTTGTACCTGTTCACCAAGTTGAACCTGAGCAACCTGGCCGGTACCGTCCTCTACGTCGGCTACAGTGCTCTGATCTCGTTCCTGTTCTTCATTCTTACTGGTAAGCTTGTCTATCACCCCTCAGGTTTTACACACACTAATCTTGATTCGCAGGCTCCATTGGCTACTTTGCAAGTTGGTGGTTCGTCAGGAAGATTTACGCCTCCATTAAGATTGATTAAATGGCATTGCATTCGGGCGTTGACATGCGGCGACAGGTTCATGCTATTGTATCAATGTTATTGTACGAATACTCACTCTCGTCCCGCGAGCGTTGCATTGTAGTATTGATGACACGCTTTGGCCTAGGAGCAGAGCGCGGTTGGTCATGAGGTTCCAAAAAAATGATTTTCTTGTTAGATGGTAGACGGCAGGGATTGGTAGACGGGAGCGAGCTGCCTCCAGCTTTTAGTAAAACAACAGCGCATGTACAGTTCTCTTCATATTTAGGTGTCATGTGTAAATTGTGTTGTACATATTTTTCGTGAAATGGCTCGCTAGCTACTCGTCAGCTACTCGTCGTCATCGTCATCGTCCATGAGACTCGTAAACTGGAACTGCTTGCTCTTGCCAGCCGAGGAGGCGCCAGCACCAGCGCCAACAGCCACACTGTCGCGCCGGTACGCCTCCTGCTGCTCGCGGCGGATCTTCTCCATCTTCTCCGCGTACTCCCGGTTCTTCCTCTCCGTCTCGGCCTTCTCCTGCTCCTCGCGGACCTTGCGCTCCTCCTCCTCTTTCCGCTTCGCCTCGGCAATCTGCTGCGGATCGTAGCCGCGGGGATCGGTGCCCGAGTCCGCGAGGTTCTGGTACATGGCCATGGCGCCGCCGCGGATCATGCCCTCGCTCGGCCAGGGCACGAAAATCTCGTTGAAGTGGGGATTGAGGTGGTTGCGGAGGCCGTCGGGCAGCGAGGTTGCGGTGGTTTGCTGCGTTCCTTGGAGGTCCTGCGAGCCGCCGACGGGGCTGCCGTTTGCCGCGCCCGAGGGGCCTGGGGTTTGGCTCTGGCTTGGTGTCGGGGCGGCGCTTACGGGTTGGCTCTGGGAGCCGTTGGCACCGGGGGTGTTTGGGTTGGTGGTCATGCTTGCGTTCGGGTCTGGGCCAGGAGAGCCCCCGCCGGTGGCGAGGCCCCCGTTTGTGAGGGCGGCGGGGGGGAGGGTGGTTTTGCTGATGCGGCGGGCATAGTTGAGAAGCTCGTCGTACTTCACGGGGTAGTTGGGCCCATCGGGGTGGACTGTGATTTGGGTCGTGGTGATGTCCTTGCGTGTTGTTGCTAAGCTGGAAAGGGTCTCTCGGATCTGGGTGTCGAGAGAGGATGTTGTGGCTCGGAGTCGCTGCAGACGGAGGTTGTTGTTTTGATGGATTTGAACTATGGTCGTGGGGTTAGCTTGGTCGCCTGGCAGCTTGTGCCGGACGTAAGCTTACCATCATCGAGTCCTTTTGTGAGGTCATGGTCTGCTTCATGGAGATCCAATGCCTGCTTGGCGTGGGGATGATACTTGGACACCGACTCAATCAGAACGGCAAGAGCCTTTTCAACGCGCTCGAAGCGCGCGTCAATAATCTTGTCCATGATTGTGGTCGGAAGTTCGTCGATCGGCCGACGTCGCTGGTCGAGCTGTTGGTGTGGAGGAGAGGATTTGGGTGCAAGGCTGAGCTGAGTTCCGCTAGGCCGTAACGTGGCTCCACCCAACGCAGCCCGCCTATTGGCTCAAGTTTTCAATGTTCGCTCCCAGCCTGTAGCCTGAGGCGCATTGGAAATCCGGCCGGCTTTTCCCGCTAAGAAACTCGCGCAACACCACCATTCCTTCACGACCTCACTCTTTTGCATCTGCAATTGAATACCCCACAGTTCGTTCGCACGACCACCATATTCAAGATGCCTTCTCCCGTAAGTCAAATTGCTCCCGGGGCGCCTAATCTCATGCTTGACGCCCCTAAGTCCTTCAGACATGAGGAAATTCTGACAAAACTGCGATCCAGGCCCGCGTCGGTACTCTGTACCCTGCCTTCCGCAGCAAGTTCGGCCCCAAGTACGTGGAACGATACCCTTACGATCGATACGTCCCGACTACGGCTGGGAATATCCTCTCGAATTCCCCAGGCCGCGAGACGAATCCCACACGACAAACGAAGGACCGACAGAACAGTGGACTGACTGGTCAACTCTAGGTACAACACGATCCCCAACATTGGTGGCTGGACCATTGCCTCCGTCGTTAAGCTGTGAGTTGCCCTTTGGACTTTTCGCCTGGCATCCGGAGGCCACAATCCCGACTCTCGGCGCAAGTGCAAACTGCCATTGCCACTTTCGGCCAAACACGGCATTGCAGAAGATGGCATAGGTCGATGGAAGGACACCGGATGCCGCCATTCGACAGGAACAAACACAATTGAAAGACTCGGGATGCTCTTACTGACATCCTTTGCTAGCGGAACCCGCGCTGCTGGTTTCGGTGCTACCGCCGGTGTTGCCGCCCTCTTCTACACCTCCGGCATTCCCAGATTCCAGAACGATATCCTTATTGTAAGGCAGACACGGTCTATGAATTGGATTCGCTTGATAGCTAATTCCTTCTACAGAAGATCCCCATTATTGGCCCCAAGTTCGCCAAGGAGGTCCCCCCTGCCTCTGACAACGTGAGCCTCCCTCGAAATTGTAAGCTGCCAAGTCGCCATGCTAACATTGGACTACTAGCCATTCTAAATGCATTTTATGATCCGGCTATGCTTTTCTAATACTGAAAATGGGGTGAGCATGGTTGAATGATGTGTTGGGATGGAGGGATGTCCACCCTTCGGGGCTTGTATAAAAGATACAATAGACTCTTTGACTTTAGTTGATGTGTGTGAATAAGGCAGTGATTCAAAACCTGAACACGCCCTCATGCGTTATGACTTTGCTCTATATCATCTCATGGTAAATCACTGGCAGGAGCAGTTTTGTTGTGAAGTCGAATTGCCCCTTTCATAGACCAGCAGCTTAATCACTGGGGCCGTGCGCAAACAGTGCGAAGACGCGTAATTGCTCCATCCTCGCCAATTGATGAACTGTTCACTTTCTTTCACCTCACTTGTCTGTGTAAGAGAGCGTTTGCTGCAGCAAACAACACTCATTGCTTTCCCAAAGTCAAGGCACATTCATCTTTTTTCTGACACTCTTTTCAGTTTGACTCCTTCCCTCCTTCCATATCTTGAGTGATCACATCTCGACAACACCGACAAGAACACGCAGCCAGTCCCCTCAATCTCATCTGCCCTTCCTGGCACCTCACATCAAGGATGAAGGCCGTTGAAGCCTTTGTTGACGGACTCAACATCCTGTCAGTCGTCGTTCTTTACTCTCTACTATGGCTCATCACTCCCAAGATGCCCAACCCTGACCCCTCGGGTCCCAAGACAAACAAGATTTATGATGTGCTTATGCGCGTCTCGTACATCATCATGTTCATCTTCGGTTGGATCTGGTGCAGCAATGTCATGGCCCAAGTTAACAAGCCATACCTAGTGAGCCCAATTTTCAACCCTCATATTGGCTCACTCCCTTTTACTCACACAAACCAGGATGAGATCTTCCACATTCCTCAAGCCCAGAAGTTCTGTCAGGGAAGATGGAACGAGTGGGATGACAAAATTACCACCCCTCCCGGCTTGTAAGTCGGCATTGCCTTTGACGTCGATTCCCTCCTCAGCTAACAAATCTCCAGGTACATCTTGTCCAAGTATTACCTACAAGTGATGATGAGACCCGGCTGCTCCGTCCTCGACCTCCGGGGCGTCAACATCATCGCCGTCCTCGGCGTCGGCATCCTCGCAACCCACTGCCGCCACCTCCTCGAGACCCGTCGCCCCAACGCAAACTCACCGGCACCACCAGCCGTGCTTTCCTTCCACTCGATTCACTTGGGCTGGAATATCGCCCTCTTCCCCGTTCTCTTCTTCTTCTCAGGTCTGTACTACACTGACGTCGTCTCAACCTTGTCGGTCCTTGTCGCCTACTATCACCACCTCCACCGCGTCCGCGAGGAGCGCAGCTCTTTCTTGAGTGACTGGACTACCATTGTCCTCGGCGTCTTGACGCTTGTCATGAGACAGACTAATGTCTTTTGGGTGGTCGTGTACATGGGCGGCTTGGAAGCCGTCGCCGCTGCAAAGTCTCTGCGCCCTGATCCGGTGGCCAAGCCTAGTATGACAACACTTGGCGAGGTTATGAAGTTCTACGCATGGAGGTACTCTGTCGGGGATGTCCACGATCCGCCTCTAAACACTGCCTGGCCAGATGGTAAGCCTGCTAAAACACGATTGTAAGGGGTTCTGCTAACACAACCAGACTTGTTCTTTTCCGCCCTGAGCATCGGCATCGCGGCCCTGGCAAACCCTCTTCGCGTACTAAAGAAGATCTATCCGCACATCATCACGATAGCCCTCTTCGCCGGCTTTGTTGCCTGGAACGGCGGCGTTGTACTCGGTATGTATCACTGCTCAACTCGAGTAATACATGGACTAACATGTCGTCAGGTGATAAATCCAACCATGTCGCAACAATCCACCTCGCCCAAATGCTCTACATCTGGCCCCTCTTCGCTTTCTTCTCCTTCCCTATATTTCTTCCTTCCGCCGTGGGAGTCCTCCGTTTCGTCCATGGTCTCTACTGCACCATCTTCAAGTCAAGCGCAACCAACCCTCAAGTATCTAACAACAGTACCCCCGGTCGCAAGCACGCTCTCGGCGGACTTGCGCAAGACAGCTCCTCAAAGAAACAAAAACTCCAAAACCAAGACTCGACAGAACAACACACCTCAGCAACCACCCCCTCAGCTTCCCTCATCCTCACCGCCGTCCAAAACCTTATCGGATCCAAACTCTACAACCTCCTCCTAACACCCGCCCTCATCATCCTAACCCTCCTCGTCGTCAGATTCAACACCATCATCCACCCCTTCACCCTCGCAGACAACAGACACTACATGTTCTACATCTTCCGCTACACGATCCGCCGCCCGGGCCTGTTCCGCTACTGCCTCGTCGTCCCCTACACCCTCGCCCGCTGGCTATGCTGGGACGCCCTCGGCGGCTGCGGCCAGGGTGGGTTCCTCTCGGACCACACTGTGGATTGCTCGGGGCGGTACACCGCGCTTCGTCCCGGACCATGGCAGAATAACCCATTTAGCACCACAACCCCATACAGCGAAGGAAAGCCCCCAGCAACAGAGCCCTTGGACGACTCTGAACCCATCACAGCCGCAGAAGGAAAAGAGACCAAGGATCGTCACAACCCGTACGCGATCATCACTCTCGCCGATCAGACCTCATACACAACAGAACCAACCGCCTCGTCAACCGCAATCCTCCTCCTCCTCGCAACGACCCTCTCGCTCATGACGGCTCCCCTCGTCGAACCGCGCTACTTCATCCTCCCCTGGGTCTTTTGGCGCATCCTCGTCCCGGCGTGGAAGCTCCACGATCACGCAGGCACATATCCAGCGCTATCAAAGATGGAATGGGTCCCTGTTCTAGGCTCGTTGGTCAGGTTCGGGAAGAAGTTTGATATGCGACTCGTTCTGGAGACTCTCTGGTTCGTGCTAGTCAACTTAGTTACCATGTACGTATTCCTCGCCAAGCCGTATCTGTGGAGAGCAGAGGACGGCAGGGTCTTGGAAAATGGTCGGATGCAGCGGTTCATGTGGTAGAGGTATCGGCCTCTCATGTTAGAACATCACCATCTCGTGGCTGATCATCACAAAAATATGGACAAGAAATGAGGTAGAAATACTGTTATGTGGATTCTTGTCCAGTTGTCTTGCTCAGCTTGATGCTTTTCTCTTGCACTCTCACGTGTGCTCTAACCCTTTTTCAGGTTGCTAGTTGTTTCGAAAAAAAGAAAAGGCATAACCCTTCCAAACGCCAGTGACCTCATAAGTATGAGGATTCGTTCAATATGTTCCCTTCCCGGATGTATCGTGAAGGGGGCTCGTTGATGATGCCGTTTCCCTGGTCCCACCTATATACCCAAATCATGTTTGAAAGCCCTCGTCATGTCTGATCATTCTTTCGATCATCCGTTTCGCCATCATCCGTCATCATTGCCGCCGTCGCCACGGTCGTTAACTTCTATAAACTCAGTCGATCCAGACTCAGGCCGTCGTTACTGCGCACCCTTCGAACGACGCCTAGCTTGAAGAACTTTTCCTCGCCACCGGCGGTTCGTCCTCCGATATACCACTTATCGGCACCCAACACATCGCGGAATCCCTCGCTACTGCTGTCGCTTCCGCGCCGTCGGTTCGCGCTGCCGGGAATGGGGATGCCCCCGCGCGGGGAATGTAATGGGTATTGGTTCACGACTCCTGATGCCGACCGGGTTGTCGAGTTGGCGTTCGCGTTATTTCCACCGCTACTTGGGGATGTGTTCGAGGAGATGGCTCGTGGCGCTGAAGCGGCGGACTGTGTGGCGTACGATGACGATGATGTCTGTGTGGTGTGCTTGTTCGGTTGTTGTGATGATAGCGCCGCCGCCGAGGGAGACTGTTGTCTAAAAGAGTTGAAGAAGGTGGAGAGGAAGAAAGGTCGTTGAGAAGGCATCGTGAATGTACCGGACGGCGATGTCATCGGTCGCCTTTGCCGTGTTGTAGTAAGTAGTATGCGTAGTATGCACCCGGTCGTGCGTGTGTCGTTGCAGAAGAGGGAGGAGATTGCCGTGTTTTGACGGAAGACGTGACGGGGAGGTTCCGCCGACGAAAGGGTAAAAAGCAAGCGCTTCGGTTGGGGACCCCTATTCTCTGGTATGATATCCTTCCAGGTTGCTGGGGTTTATACTGTCATCCGTGCCCGAGCCGGGTCGATCCTGGGGCCAGACGTCCAAGCTTGCGCTGCAAAACGGTTTCGCACGGGGAAGAGAAATGAGGAGCCGCAGCGAGAAGGGCACTCAGACTCGGGATTCCGTTGTTTGTCGGCTCGTCAGTGTGTAGAAACGTCGTTCCGAGAAACTAGTAGCGATGAGTGTAGGAGCGTCGTTATCGTGGGTGATATATGGTGTTTGGCGGGGTGAAGAGCCAGTCTCGATCCTGCGCGCGGTATTTCGATCGCGGAAGCGCCTTGGGGTGGACTCGGATGAGTGATCGGCGTGGAGGTGCAGGCTTGCAGCACAGGCGCGATACGGGCGGGATGGATGGGGATGGGGAAGTTGGCTGACTGAGTCTTCGCTGCGGGATGCTGCTGTACGTTGGGAAGAATGCGGCGTGCGTCGGAGTGCTTCGCGTGTGCCCTGGTTCTGGCTGTCGAGCGTCGAGTCAAGTCGCAGTGGGGGAGGGCGGTCGAGTAGGCATCGGATGCAGGTTTGTGTGAGATAAATCCTGACGTCGACTCACTTGTGGCCCGCCAAACTGGATGTGGGAGGGGTGTGAGAGCCAGGGGGCGAGCGGAAGAGTCGGCTGGAAAAGGAGTGGTGATGGCAGATGGGAGACTCTGGAGTGAAGGGGGGACCTCTCACTCGCAGTCTGCAGAGTCGCAAGACTGCCCTTTCCCCCGTTCGGCCAATCCCGGAATCCGGATGTTGGGCCTGGCGACCGACTGGCGTGCACGAGCCTGGATCCACAGTGAGTAATGACCGGGTCGCCATAGGTCCATTTGAGGACTTGGTCAAGAGTCTCGAGACTTTTCCCCTCGGGTCCTGTCCCGGCGTGAGGGGGAAGGAGATACGTACCCACCTGTACCGACCAACGCCGACCTTGTGGGGTTTCGGCTTCTTGGGAAAGTCGGGGCAGGAATGGAAGCCACCGGCCTTTCCTTCGTCCACTCAAATCCGCTGCTTATCTTATCTTATCCGAGGTCAATCAACCATCACCTCTTTCCATCAGTCATTTCTCTCAGTTGTCGAATCTGCCTGCATCCTGAATCCTCTTCTAAGGTATCCGAACTATGCCGTGACATATCCGTAGACTCAGTTGAATGAACTATCTCCACGTCTTGGTCTTCTTGGGTAGCATCTCCAGGATCTACCTATTGGAGGTTTGCTTCTCTCAAAGCCTACAGCGCTGTCTGTCACTCTCAAAGTCTGATTCCTCCCCCTCCAAAACCATTAGTTTCCTGTCCAAAGGTTATCCCCACACACATATACACACCTTGACACCATCGACCAAGATGCCTGCTCCTTGCTGTTTGTACATGATCTGATAATTCAAAGCCCGTTTGATTCAGATCCCGTCCTATTCGCTGGCTCCGGGTAAGGCTCACCAGCGTCACGCAGATCTGGAACCGAAACGCCAGGAGAGACGCAGGCTCGCAGCGGCACAGCTGCGCAGGATTTCCACGTGCAGCCACACTTCTGCACTTCGCGCCTGGTCTCCTTGGTTGGCGCGCCGCACACGTTGGTAACTCGGTTGATCGGGTGCCTCTTAGGAACCCGTTCGCTCGCCCCGAGATAGTTCAGCTTGTCAACGTGAATGATAGATCGCTTGCGGCCCGCCATGTTTGCTCCGGGAATCCTTGAGGCTGCTACCTGGCCCAAATCGCTGTGCTGCCCCATCGTCCTGGGCTTCTGGACGTATCCGTAGTCACTGAACCTACAAAGCCATTCCCCAACCGCGGCGCCTAGTGTAACCTCGTTCGCCAAGCGTCACGAGACGTACTGTCTCCGCCGTCCTTGGCCCCTTGGGTCAGGTTTCGGTACGGGATATCAGGTATTGTAGCATCAAGGCGACGTCAGAGTGAGAATGCATTCTCTTGTTCGCAGCAACAGCACCAAAACTGTAACCTTACCACCAAAAGAGGCCCGTCGCCTTGGGAAGAGGGTTTCATTGGTCTTCTCATCTGAAGTCGCCGACCTGTTGCAACACCCACCTATTTTGATCTCTCGCGTCTTGACTTTACCCCTCGGTTCAGCTTCACCTTGCAGCCGTTCGTCGCCTATTGCCCATATCCGGGCACAAGCATTTTCGAATCGCGGTTTGACCCGATGTCAGCAGAAAGAATCCTCTTTGAGCAACTATCGTATGACCGTCTCACAACTTGTCCCTCCTCGGCCATCCTTCCCGTAGAACCAAGCCCGACGGGTTTCCGTCGAACCCCTCTCTGGCCGAGTCAGTTCCGTCTACCGGGACCTTCCCTCTTTGAGCGTCTCATCCGGTCTCTCTCTCCCTCTCTCCAGGTTTCTTTCGATCTGATCTTATCTTGCGATAACTGTCGTCAAATGCTTTAGAAACTTGCGGGGTTCTGCGGGGTTTCGCGGGGTTGTTTAGGCGGGATGCAAGCCACACACCAAGCCACCCCCCCCCCCCCCCCCCCCCGGCAATTTCTGACCTTTGGTATGCAACAACCCCTCGCAAATGGTTTGGCAAGAAATCAAACAAAACATGGGTACGCAAACGGAATGGTACAGAGTAAGATACTCATTACGGCAGCGCTGGGGGTTCTGCCAAAGACTATTAGATCTAATCCCTTGCGCCTGCAAAAGGCACATCAACCATGGGTATCTGCTGTCGAGGCTTTGAAATCCATCTCCAAGAGGACATGGCTAATTCTCTAGCAAAACCACATCCTTGGGTACAGGTAGGAATGACTGTGGCCATGAAGACGGCTTGAGTGATAATAAGGTAGTTCTAGTTAGAAGATACTGATCGATGCTAATCTCATTCATCGCTTCGTACATGCCCATCCCATTGCTTAAGTTTCCATCTCAACGCGAAGCTTTTTGTTGTACGCGCGGACTAATGTTTAACCCAGTATCATGTAGAGATCATGACTACTCCGGCCACAGACGCCGGTATTCTGCCAGATCCAACAAGGAAGGAATACTTTACAGTACCGTGCCCGAGTTTATGTGTATTGGAAAATAGACAAAAAGAGAAAAAGAAAAGGAAAGGAAATACGCTTCTGTTTTGTAGTAATATTATCCATGAACTAGGACATCGGCCGGAAACTAGAGTTTCCTGGCGTTGTTTTGAGATGTATGTGTCGGATTGGAAGCCCAATTCGACCGTGAGTAAGGATAGAGCAGGGGCCACCTCGAGAGGGTACAATTACACCTCGACGGTCCACTCAACCTCCGGTTGGAATCTCCCTTCTACTCCTTACGCAGAATCAATCAATACAGAGATATTGATACTTCGTCACCCCCAGGACCCTACGGTTCGAACCAATATCCCTGTGATAGGGATACCAACAATTCTATTCCTGATGCCATGCAGGCAGACTGAGAGTGCGACAGTGACATTAGTCTTGTGAGGCTACACCGAGACAATCAAATCTTTCCTTAGGGTGGCACGCTGATCTCACCGACACATCCTTCTGGATCGTGGCAAATGCCCCAAATAGTCTGCCTTGCACAAGTCTTACTTTACAACTGCCAAAAGTAGAATTGGCCATCCGTGAGGGTGTGTCAGCTGCACCTCTCCAAATCCTCCCTTAGGCTGGATGGCAAGGCTCTCGAGCCTCAAAATGGGGGTGCCTTCCCCCAAGTATATAAACCTGTGACTGAATTTCTGGAAAACTCAACATCTACAATCGAGTAACGATGGCTTTCCGCATTTGCTTCTGAGCACTCCCGACGCGATGGGCATCGCAACGTCAGGTACACTGGCCATCTTGGCTATATTCATGACTTTTCAAATCGTCTATTTCGGTATCGAATTCTCCTTCCATCTCTTTTCCCCCAAGAAGATGACCCAGAGATGGTTCGTTCTCTTCCAGTACTTGATCGCACCAGTGTCCATCGGAATATTCGGCCTCATATTGATCCCAAATATCTTCAGCATTGACAAAAAGAGTGACGGAGACGTGTTTGCATTCAATACGACTAGCAATCACACCTGTCAAGCTGATATTGATGCGGACATAGGAGGGTACGGCATACGCATCGCTATCTGGGCACAGGGATTCGTCATTTTCTTCATCGCCCTTGCTGGGACATTCCACTCCAAGGTCACGGGTGCTAAGGAAATTGGTGCTGGCCTCATCATTACGCACTTTTCCTTGGCTGTTGCTCTTATGGTCCAACTGAATCAAACTAAAAAGCAAAATCACGAGACACACAGCATACTCACCTCGGCGAGTGCAATTCTTGGCGCCATGATTCTCGACTCTCAGAACAGCGCTCTTTCAATCCTCCTAATTACCAAAGAAACTCTCGCATCCAGGTGGCAAGTCGGCATAGTGATCTTTTGCCAAGCTATGAGTCTGGTGCTCATACCGATCTTGGTTAAGGGATTCCTCCGAGAACTGCCGAACCCGCTAGCTAATGACGGCTGCAACCACATCCAGGTATTTTGGTGGGGAAGACTGCGGAGCTTTCCTTACGACGACGATGTCAAGTGTGACGAACCAATTGCTTTCTGGATTTACTACACCTTCAGATGCATCCTCTACATTCAGAGTAGCTTTCATGCGCTCATGAACACGCAAATCTTCCACGAAGCCAAAAAGGATCCAGCTTGCATCCTCAAGGGAATCACGCACCCATCGCTAGGCAAAGACGCAGACCGTGCCTGGAATAGATCCTGGCGCGGGAGACTCCGAGCTTGGCTTGGAGCACACTCACAGGATGTGAAATTTGGCCCATACCCGACGACGGTATCACTCATGTACATCGTTTATGGACTCTTGATGGTGACCGCCATGGCCGCCGCGGAGATGACGATAAGTGGCAAGAACGCAATTTTTGAAGAAGAAGAAAAAGAAGACGATCAAGTACTGTCTACCGGCCAGATCATAGCAATTGTTGTTGCTGCTGTGACAATTGCCCGAGGACTGTGGCTTTTCTTCACGCTGTTCATCAAGGATGGGAATATTAAGAAAATTACACAAGGATTGGACTCCTTCAGATGGCCACTACACTTCGGGTTTGACAATTGAGAGCGTCTCAGAGTGTACTTCCAACAATTATTTATGGGATCAAGAGTTGAAGGATCGTGAGATATGAAGAGGGGAACTTGTTGCTAAAAAAGGCTAATGGTAATGGAAGCTTACAACATACTGCGATTCTGTTCCGGGGATAAGTTGACAGAGAACTTGGTCGTTGTGGTCTGGTTTCCACACGCCCGCGGCCCAAATACCTTAATGGGATGTTTGTACTTTCCTAGACTCAGCCATAAGATTAATAAGAGTAATAGAGGCATGGCTGATGCATAAATGTAATCATTGAGAAAGCATACGGAAAGCAAGGATTTTTTAGTCTTCTGGAATGGATTGTATGTCAATTGAGAAAGAAACGCCTGCTGGCATCAAGATTGAGGCAGGAGCCCGGTTCTTGAACTTCAAGGCCCCCGCCTTCCGTGCCGATGAAGGGAAAGGCCCACTTCCGGCCGAGTTCCAGGGCCCGATCGCGATCTGCAAGCAATTGAGCCACATCACGTGGTCGGACGAGCATCGGCCGAGGCTCAGCTACCCATTTCTAAGCGGAAGATTCGAGAAGGCAATGACAGCCCGCAAGTCCCGGGCGAAGGTGGGGTCGGCGGGTAAGCGACCCTTCCATCGGCGCGGGCTGGCGGGGGTCCCGCGTCCAACGTCCACTGAAGTGGTGACAGTAGCCAACACGCACTGCAGCAGCGGCAGCAGCAACGTTGGAGGGCAGTGAATCTTCGACTGGCACCCATCTCAACGCTTCGAGGCTGAACTGCAGCCGCCGGTGTGCCCAACGGCCTCTTCTCCACACCTTTTACCAAGCGGAATGCCTGTTTCCTCATCACCGAACCGATCCCCCTAATTGTACGCCTCAACTCGAATTGAAGCTTCCCTTCTCTCCTGCACAGTCTTCTGTCCCGGTGCTCTGAGCCTCGACATACCTCTTTCTCTCGGGCTGATTCCTGTCTCGACGACACCACTTGCCAAGGTTGCACCGTTGCATTCGGCATATACTTTGCATCTTTATTACCACGACCTGTCCTTCCAGCCCGCCGCCGAAGCCGTTCCCTCTTCTTGCTAGTCCTATATATACAACCATCCACTGGAACCATACAATTCTAACCATAATTACACATCGCAAAGTGAATAACGAAATAATGTCGAGATCAATACAGCTGAAGGAAGAAGGTAACCGCCACTTCCAGCAGGGCGACTATGCTGGCGCGGAGGCATTTTATTCCAAGGCGTAAGCTTCACCTGCACGAATTCAGAGCCAGTTCCAACCTGATCTACCTGCTGTGTACTCAGGTGCAGCTAGCCATGGCGATCACATTGACCAAGAAGCTAATCCTTGGTCTATTATAGCATCATTGCCGACCCAAAGAACCCCGCACTATACACGAACCGCGCAATGGCACGCCTCAAGCTCGAGATATGGGACTCGGTTGTCTCCGACTGCGAATCATGTCTCGGACTTGCAGCCGACAACCTCAAGGCCCACTACTACCTCTCTCAGGCCCAGCTCGCCCTCAAAGACTACGATTCGGCCCTCACAAATGCTCAAAAGGCCCACCAACTCTGCGTACAGACTGGCGATAAGTCACTCGCGGCTATCACTGCACAGGTGCTGCGCGCGAAGAAGGATAGATGGGATTGGATGGAGAAGCGCCGAACACGGGAAGCACGACACCTCGAGAACGAAGTCATTGAGTTGATGGAGAAGGAACGTGAACAAGCTGTTGCGAACGCAATGGACGACGGCGAGAAAAGGGAAGTTGAGGCCGAGTGGGAACAGAAGATTGAGATGCTGAGGACTACCTTTGAGAAGAGTCGCTCCGCGGAGGAAAAGAGACGTGAGGTGCCGGAATGGGCTATCGACGACATTAGCTTCGGCATTATGGTTGACCCTGTCCTCGTGAGTTGGTCCAATTGCTGCTTGCTTGCCGCCTACTAACACGGACTTAGACCAAGACTGGAAAGTCATACGAGAGGGCATCCATCATGGAGCACCTCCGTCGTCACCCAAGCGATCCTCTTACACGCGAGCCCCTGCTACCATCCGAGTTGCGGCCTAATCTTGGCCTTAGGCAAGCTTGTGAAGAGTTCCTCGAGGAGAATGGGTGGGCGGTGGACTGGTAATCTTGAAGAGTTGAGCTTGCATATATTGGCGGCACCCTCTGATTTCAATCATTGCATAGCACGGCGTTCATGGTCCGGTTGGTTGCGAGGAATACCGGGTTGGATACGATTTTGCAATCGCTACTGAGCGACTATAGATTTACCATTACCAAGGGAAGCTTTTCTCGGGAGCTCTATCAATACACATAACGTTTCCGCTTCCAAAGTTCGCGAGGGGGAAGGGCCATTTGGACTCGACGATGTGGTTATGTGATTTGTACGATCTAGATGCTTTTCCGCAATGGAAAGCAGCTCCCGACAAAGTTCAAGGGGGGTTTGCGAGGACATTGGTGCCATTTCTGTAAGTCTTGTGGGCTTTTTAACTGTGAAAGCTTCGACGGACACTGCTCATATAAACATTCCGAGCTAAACTTGATCATTGCGTCAAAGTTACCTACAGGCAGTGCTTCCTGGCATCGTCCGGCATAGTCGGTCCAATCGTTGTGCGCAACCTTATCTCCGTGAATACTTCATGTCTATGAGGCTTGGATTGCATTGAGATCTTTTTTTTGTAGGCTCCTTACTATCTGGGTCCGAAGAGAACGACTACCCCGCTCTCGAGGCCGGCGTTCTGTCGTGGCACACACCTCTACTACGAGTGATATTGCTGCCAGCTTGCATTCGTCCACGTCAGATCAACTCATAAGACGGCTATTCCGGAAGCAAAGAGACGTCCGGATCCTAACCAGGATGCGTCATCTTCAGTTATCAAATATCCAAGGACCAGACATGTGGCACAGAAAGAGCCATGGCTACTAAGTTTGTCAAGTACTGAGGAAAGGGTATGACCAACCAGACACTATCAGCAGGCTGCATGAAGTCTCCCTAATTACTTCCAATATACTTCATTCATCACCTCCATAATTATGAATGGGCAAAAGCTCGATCCCCCTCACAAGGGGCCTACGAAAGTCCATCGTATCCCATCAACTGCTAGATAGCATCATTGCATCCCTCTCTAGTCTTTCATAACGTTTACTCTATTTCCCTTACATCCGTATATAAATAATCCCGAAATAGAGCGAACTTAGAGAAAGACTAGAGACGGGTGTAGTGACGCCATTTAGTAGTTGATGGGATAACACCTAGGAAACTCTTACCAGCCCAAGGTGTAGTGATGCTATGTAGGATCTTTCACGAACTCGAAGTCGTGATCCACGGGAGCTGAGAGAACGGGACAGGTCCTTGTGTGCCCTTGCCTAAGGTTCTCTCCTTTCACCAAGTAGAGGTGGATGTGGTCGACGAATTTGTTGAGGAGTTCTGCAAAAGCCAACTCGATCGCCTTCGTCGCAGCCTCGACCACACATCCGGCCTTCTCTTTTGGTTGACTCTCTACGGTCCTACGGGAGACCCCTTCTCTATTCTAGTGCATGTATAGATTGACTAGAAGCAGATTATCAAATACGAGAATCATACCTAGACCGAGGTCCTGGCTTCCTCTAGATTAATTCACCCAATCAGAATAATTGAAGGCTCGTCGTCCCGGCTAAGCCTCAGATGATGCAGCCTGCCGCCTACAGCACATTACTATCCAATAAGATACACAAGTGACAGCAGTCACCTCTCATATTTGCTTCCTAGGTTCCAGAAGTAGCCAAAAACGCCAAGGTTGGGAGGCAATCACATCAGGCTGCGTCCCTACTGTGTTCGCCCAACATGCCCTTCTTCACCTCTTCTTTCGAGATCACTTTAGTCTAGATCAAGGCATGATAAAACATTGTCTCATCGGCCTGCGATTGGCACTTCTATATGTAATCATCCTGCTATATTGAAGCAAATTTCATGCTTATTCCAGCCATGCCATCTCCGCCCAAGATCTCGACATCCAATCGATTTGACGCATTATCCCAGGATGGTCACACCAAAACTCGGTCGACAACATCGCCTCCATCAACGAGGAAACATGAGGTTACGACTGTAATAACCTTACATACACATGGGAGGACGTGCAATGATTCTGACGAAGGGTGGAAAGTGGTCGACTCTAGACAAAGCAGTCCACCAGATTGCCCGACACCCAACCTTTTGGGGCATATTCTAGAGCTTTCAAGGGAACTGCCCAAGGGCTTCATTGAAGACTTACCTCATCAAGCCTATGATCATTACTTCGTCATCAGCCAGGTTTCCGGGACTGGAGACGTCAAGGTATGCATGGTAAGTCGAAACCAGTCGAGTGAAGAGACAGAGCTTAAACTGAGTTCCATGACCTGAGATCACCTCAAATCGTAAGGCCAAACAGAAGAAAATTCGAATCAAAGGGAGCGAGGCAGAGCGCCCTGAGACTGAGGAAGAGCTTGTAATCGAAGGCAACTGTCCACTCCAGCTCAGATCTTGGCTCAAGGTAGGAGAACAGTGCGGAATATGCGCCTCATGATGAAAACTGGCGCCGAAGAATTTCTCGTTCCAAGATGTCGACTATCTGCCAAGTCGATAAAGAAAGTCAAGCGTGCCGAAATCACGTAACGAGCTCCTTCTCAAGGAGTAGATGAAATGAAATTAGTCTGCGGCATGAAAGGGTAGAATGCCCTCCCGTTCAACGCCGAGTTCTTGTCTGGCCTAAATCTATCGCCTAAGCTTACTCAGAACTACATTGTTGTCTTGACTAGTAGTTCAATCAACTTGTGGAATCCAGCGCTCTCATGTTGGCTATCAGTGCAGGTGTACCACTATTAAAGCTACAGCTTACGCAGAGATTTTTCGACAATGAGCTCATCTTCTCAGAATGATATAGTAAGGTACACAAGTTGTTGCAACCTCATCCGATAGTCTAATAGGGTGAGATGAGACCATTAAGCCGGATTCGTGACTTGAGATGGGGAAAACAACACAGACCATCAAGAGTGAATCTCATGAAATCAATGGTTCTTTGGCTGACATAAAAAGAACTAAATCTTGCTAAATGCTATCTGAGTCACATGTACTTGGGCCAGAGTATATCAGACTTCGCCCCTTGAAAATGAACATGCTTCATGATCGTTATTCCCTCTATGCGGTCGTGCCCTTGATGAGATCTGCAGCCTAGATACCAGAACAGTCAGTGAATGATCCGATGTATGATTCCAAAATGCCTGGGTTGTTAAGAACCTACCTTCTCAGCAACAGCGTAAACTGTAGTCATGATGTGAGTCGCAGGGACAAGAGGCATGATGCTGGCGTCCACAACACGGAGTCCGCTGATGCCATAAACCTTCAGGCTGGCGTCAACGACACCACCCTCCTCTCTCGCACCCAACTTGCAGGTACCGACGGGGTGGTACAAAGTGCCACTCTGCTGGCGGACAAAGTCGGTGATGGCAGCGTCGCTGGTGACGTTGGCGCCGGGGACGACCTCGAAGGGCTGAAGGGGCTTGACGGCTTCGGTGCCGGCGATGGTGCGAGCGAACTTGACACCCTCGACCAAGAAAGAAACATCGAGGGGGTTCTTCAGGAACGCGGAGTCGGCGGTGGGAGCGTCGAAAGTGCTGGAGGAGGCGGCCTTGAGGGAACCGCGGGAGTAGGGGTGCTGGAGACCAAGAACGATAACGCCATCGGCCCAAATCATCTCGAGCAGCGCAGAGTCGGTGGCGGAGAGACGCTCGTTGAGAACCTTCTGCTGTGCCTGGTATCCCTTCACAACCTCGGCGGGAGCGCCCGAGGGCAAGAAAGTGGTTCCATCCTGCGCGGTCGCCTCGGAGCTGAGAGTATCGACAGCCTTGGAGTAGGTCGAGAGAGGGAGGAAAGTGATGAAGTCGCCGGTGGGAGAGCTCAGAGGGCCGTTCTGCTGGCTGTCGTACTGGGCTCTAGCCTCGACGGCGAAGGTGGCGTTGCTCTGGAGCAGGGAGCTCACGGGCAGAGTGGTGTTGACTAAGTTTCTCAAGTCAGCTTGTGTCAAGAAAACTGCTATCTCGAAGTATCATACTGGTGTTGACAACAGTCAGCATCACGTGGTCGTGGAGGTTCTGGCCAACGGCGGGGAGATCGACGACAGTCGGGACGTTGATGCTGGTGTGCAGAGCAGGGTCACCAATGCCGGAAACCTGAAGAATCTGAGGCGAGTGGAGAGCACCAGCAGCCAGGATGACTTCTTTAGCGGCGGTAGCGGTTTGCGCCTGAGCGCCCTTGCTGGCAGCAAACTGAAGCAAATAGTTAGCTAGGTGGTTCCACCGGAACAGCTCTGCAGCCCAAACTCACCTCTACGCCTGTGGCCTTTACGGCATCTCCAGATCCGCTGGTGACAACTTTGGTAACCTGGCGGCCGGTGAGAAGGTGGAGGTTCTGGCGTCCAGTGAAGTTGTCGTAGTAAGCCTCCCTGGCAGAGGAACGAGTGGATGAAGTCGGGTCCTGGTTGTGAGGGCAGAAGTATCCTCCAATCGGGCTGCCATTGGCCTGGTCCTTCGCAACGGTGATGCCAAGCTCCTTGACAGCGTCGATCATGAACTCTATGGTAGAAGGTTAGATCATGACCCTAGATGTCACCGTTATTTGAGTATGGGGAGACTCAACTGGTTGTAGGCCAGAAGAAAGGCGAGTAGGTAACCTGCATCAACCCATCGCTGCCGTGAGCGGTGTCATCAACCTCAACGCCCCACTCGGAGACGATATCAGCCTTCGGGGGTGTGAACTTCTCGTTCTGTAGGGAGAAATAAAGTTAGATTGCAGACTCGGTTTGCCTTCACGATTTGCACTAGGGGGCACAGGCACTCACCTTCTTGAAATAAGGGAGCAAAGCATCCCAGTTCCATCCTGTAGCTCCGAGGGCTTCCCAACGGTCGTAATCAGACTTTGAGCCCCTGTCGAATACCATGCGGTTAAGCTTAGTTGAACCTCCAACAACTCTTCCCTGAGGAATCGAGACGGATCGGCCTCCAAGGGCGTCGTTTGCGGCGTAGGTCGTGTTCCAGTCGTACTTGGTTCCAACGGCGCCGCCAGCCAGTCCAGGGATCTTGACAAAATCCTCACCCGCGTCACTGGAACTTATGTTAGAATACCAGAAAGGCGCATAGTGTGTTTGGCTAAGCTCACAGGTCACCAGCTTCGATGACGAGAACAGTCACAGCTATGCTAAGTCAGCTAACTTTTTCTTGAAAGCCGCAAAACACTATATGTCACTCACCTGGGTCTTCCGAAAGGCGGTTAGCAACAGTGAGTCCACTGGCACCGGCACCAACAACGATGTAGTCGTAGCTAGGCAGCAGATTTGTGTCGTTCTGTCGCTTGAGGTAAACTGAAGGAGAGGACGGACGAGCAAGCGCTCCAAGGAGCGGCATTGCTGCCACAGCCACAGCCATCTTCACGACGTACGCCATGGTGACTAGTGTCTGAGTGGGACTTTAAGAGCAAAAGGAACGAGTGTTTGTGCGTATGTACAAGCGTACAGTAACGAGTGAGTAGAAACGCAAAGAGTTGCAGAATTGTATCTCGACTCGGGATGACCCGATATATGATTTAGCCAACCCCTAAAGATGGGACTACTTCGTCTGATAACGACCCTCCAAGACTTCGAATTTGCCTGCCATTGATGCTGCCGGTCTCACCTGCCGGTTGTGAACTCTCTTCCCCACAACGGTCAGGGGAATCAAGGCAGCCGAGAGACAAGCGCCGCTCGCGTTAAACGACATATTGGCCCAGACCGAATAACACCTACGTATACGGAGTACGGTATCCGTACCTGCTCCAGTAGAACGGTCAAGAGCAAGTCAAGGGACCACGGGAAGAGCATCAGGGGAAAGGAGGGGGGCCAAGAGTATGGTCGGACAAATTCACGTAACATCCCTGGCTCTATCTGAGCTGTCTTGGGTGGCGCAATATCTGCAGCGTGTTAGCGATTGCTTGCTCAGCATCAACAGCTGTAACTGCCATACGTGGTTGACAGGCCAAGTGGAGTAGAACCGGTTTCTGGGACAGGTCATCCGGAGATTGCAGCTAGGAAGCGGTTGCGAGAAATGTGCCGATGCATGGTTACTGAATCATTCAAGGTTCATGCTGGTCGAAACGTCGATTTCGCCCCGCGCGGCAGCTCGTGTAGTCACGCTGACAAACATTCTCAGCTGAGCTCACAGTCGAAGATATAGTCTTTTGGAGTTGATTGAGCCAAGAAGCCTGTAAAGTGATCCTCGGTGGTCTCGTAAGGTCTTGATGTACGCTGCAATAGCCCATGGCGATCGGGGATGATCGCCGGTATCCAGATTCGTCCCATCACCGAATAAAATCCCTAAAAAGGATGCGCGGCACCCCAGACAACCCTGGTTCCGCGATTCAGATGCATGGAACCCTAGTCTTATGGATCCTGGCGACCCTCTCGATTCCGTCCCTCCTTTACCCACGTCCCCAGAGTCGGCAGGGTGCCGACGCGAGCGGCAAGGGACATCTTCTTGCCCACAGCTCTGTACGGAGTAAGTCATTGTATTGACTAACCTGCATATTTGGTGTTTGACACTGCCACACGGCCACCAGCGAATCTCATGTTCCGCCTGTTTCGATAGCACAAGTCCCAAGACATGCCACAAGTATGTCCTATGGGCAATTGGACATGCCCTGATAAAGTGTTGTATGGACTGTATTCTTAGACGAACGGATGTGCAGAGAGCACGACTTGAAAGGGATGGGTGGCTTCTTGCCTGGGCTGCCTTTCACAGTCTGCCCGTCCGTACGAATACAAAACCCCTACGTCAATTATGAAGTGGGAGGACGTGAGCACCGTTACGCACTGTATGCTTGTCTAGGGAAGGTGTTCTGTCTCACCTCGCGAAACGGACGCATTTGAGACATGGCGCAGCACAGATCCGCTAAACCGATGGCGCTAGGGATTTGGTGCGCGGGTTCTCGCGATTTTCTTAGACTACCTAGCTGACAACGCTTTGGTTTACTGATCAACTTTTCTCTCTCGGCACAAGAAGACAACAGACACAACAATACGGAGTAGGTAGCAAGCACATGTGAAGTTGGCCACCCCGGCGATGCGATCGATGGGAGTATGCAACCTTTACTAGATCGTCTTGCTGCATGCCACGCTCCGCTCGCACGTACGGATACAACTTCCTCTCAAGCCCTGCCGTTTCCGTGGCTAGGGGTTACATCCACTTGGCCCAATGCAGCGGGCCGTTGGCTTGGAATGTTCTAAGTGTCATTCGCAAGCTACTCCTACCCTCCCACGCTTCTAACAAGCACCCACGGCACCTTGAGTTCTCAACGGCGCACTTTTGGGGAACTTAACTTTGTCGGTTATGCTAGTAGCCACGTTTTAAGCCGAGGCAATAAAACGGCCCGGGCTTGCTTGTCCACCAATATTCAGTGCCGTCAAAGCCGACCTAGTGTTCCATTCACCACTGTCAAGTTGCTCGCAAACCTCAATATGGTAATTTGCAGACCCGTCTGGCTGCAAGTCTTTGGTGAGATCTTAGAAATCGCTGAAACTCGACTTTGGCTCGATTACTCAAGTACATAAAGGATGTCGAAATTGGATGCGATGAATCAGAGAAGAACAAGAGTTCAAGGAGCCTTCGATTCTTCCAAATACATTCTAGACCTGTACGTCGGGAAGTTAAACCATAACGAAAGTTGTTTGACACATGGACGTTTCTTGCACTCTAGTTGTGTCGTTGCAAATAGGACTGTGATGTGATCTCTTCATCTCTGTAGAAGTCTAGAAACAGTTTGGATGAACTTACATGCACGAAGCTCAAGTCACCAGTATGGCAGACTTCCAAATGTGCGACTTGGTGCGAGTTTCACCTTTCACTCAAGCTAAGTCGGCGACCTGCCGACCTGGCTGAAGCTGGCCAGGGTGGTCAAAGCAGCACTGCAAACAGGTTACTCCGGCAACTCAGTATCCTGTGTTCTGGCCTGCATGACATGAAGATGCCTGTCAAGACTCGTTCATCTGAAGCCTCTAAAACCTAAATCAGGCGGCCAATGGAGTCGATAACTGGGGCAGTGTCACACCCCAAGCCTATAGAAAAATAAGCGCGACCCATGAGGCATTCCGAGAAGCTGGTTCAATCTATCGCATGCAAGGGACTATCATAGCTCTACATTCTATTAGTTCCCTTGGTTGAGGGTCTTCTGCAACCTTCCCCTTTTGCAGCGTGACCTCGCAGGAGCCGCAACTGCCGGCTCGGCCGACATCGTTTTGACGGCCATCCCACTGGTTCGCCAAGGTCGAGTATTGATGACTGATACTGCCACAATCTGCTGTTCTGTTGGCAGAGGGCTTGATGTCATTTGAAACTGGGGCTTGTAGGCTTTGGCCCGGTGGATTCGGGATTTAACGCTGCCTCCATTTACCAGGCGTAATGGGTCGCGCAAAGATAATTTCCGCGTCGTCAATCAACGACATCACTTGAGCCTAGGTGGGCAGCGAAGAATGCTTTGTTCAGGTTCACCTTGTCCAGATCATTCAAGAGGACAGGAAAAGACTAGTCAAGTTTCCAGGTGAAGGCATCAAGAGAGCCCCTTCTACAAAAGATAGGGTTATTCTGCGACAGACATGGCCTGCACAGCAAAGACACCGGATTGCGCAGGTGTTTGAGAGTTGCTCAGCCCCCATAAACTTCCTGGATAGAACCTGTTGGTATACACGTCAGCAGGGCAACCGTACGGTTGGAACGAAGTGTCAATAATGGTCTATTATTGCTGCGTCTGGAGGTGGAAGGAGGAGATTGTGGGCAGAGCCCACGATCTCCCAGAAGTGGTATATAAGTGAAAGGGCCATTTGTAAGTGCCCATACCGCCTTCCAGATCCATCTTTTCTGCCGACTGCTCAGAGATCCAACAGAACCCCTTTCAAGTTTCTAGTGATGGTTGAACAGGGGAGTGCTGTTTCTTTCTAGTCAGAAATAGGAAGGCTGAGAAGACAGCGTCTTGTGTAATTATTATCCCAAGGAGCGACCTCAATTCCTACCCGAAATAGTTCCTTTCTCAGAGTTTGAAATATGGGACCTAAGCGCCGGAGTTCGGCCTACGAGCGAATGCCGCAGGTGGACCCGAAGGCATTGCCGGAGCCCCGGAACCGGCGGGACCCATAGCTTACACGTAGGTTCAAAGACTTTCCCAGAAAGGAAACCGCCATGATGTGTAATTATTGTATAATGGATGAATGAGCAGATGAGGGGTATCATGTATGGCTTTCTCAGCATCCCGTCCAACTTAGACTTCATTATGACAGCACCCGCGACTGTGTCATTTCCACACACTGATTACTGATGTATTGATGCGTTGAACTCTAGCGGTGGACTCCGACCGGATGAAGGGGAGTAACGTTTGTCTCGGGCTTGATCGATTGGTAAGCTTGAAGACATTTTTTCCGTCTCCGGGTAAGCTTGGAGAACTATACTATCGTTCCCGTGGGTTCTAGCTCGAGAATCTAACTTATGGTGATTCTTCTGCACCACTGGGCCACTTGAACGTACTTATCCTTAAATGAACAACGAAGATACTGCCATTGGGATATTTCTTCCACGCAAAGGAGGACCAAGTCTTCGACTAAAACGATCCTGATGTTCTTTGTCATTAAGCCATATCGATGGCGAGCAGCTAAATGAAGCCGACATGCTCTCCGCAACTTAATTTCACCGAGGTAGTGACTGCAACGCTGATATTTACGGCGCCCTGGAAGCTTGAAAGACGGGATGCGACTGCCGCTCACTAACCGGCGCCGACACAAAGATTTCACCAAGCCTGGTTTGGGCCTATGCGATGGAAACGTCGCAACACTACTCGATTTGGCTCTACTTAGGTAGCAGCGAGCCCGCGTCTCGCAAGGCCAGCCAACTTGGCTTTTCTAACGATGCCACTGGCTCTTGATAGGTGAAGAACCCTCGGCGAGCCGGTGGTATCGAATCTTGGTCTAAAAATGCCGATGGAAGAGTTCAGATTGCGATATTGACGAAGCTACCGTGACTTGGCTCTTACGGGTGTAAACATTCGTACCTTGTGTTGCTGTGGTATGCTTAAATATTTAGATATTTTGGTGAATCAGAGTAGAGCTTAAGTTGGAAGCGAGTTTGGCTAAAGGAAGGATGAAATAAGACCTCGTGGTTTTTCTTCATGTTTAGCCTGTCTCCTGGCCTATGATGAGCATATCGACGGTAACAGATGCGTCAGAAACTTAGAAAGCCTATATAGCCTCCGTGAGAACTTGTCTCACATACCTTAACTAGAGTCAGAGTGTGACAGATCTGCGGTCTGCTACAAATAAACAGTAGACGCATGAATCTTCGCTCTACTACTTTCATCCGTCGCATTCAGTCTATCGAAATTCTCAACCGGAACTCTGCTTTGGCGACTGCATGGCCTTTAATCCAAATAGAAGATTTGTTCATCGACCTAGTCTCAACCTGAGTGATCGATGCTGACTCACGAGTATCTGGTGGCGATTCGCGGGGACCTTTCATGTGTTGACGGCGCTGGTGTTGGTGAATTATCACTCTTTCCTAGCAAGTACACATTCCGTGTGCTATGAGGCTCAGTTAGGTGCGATGGTAACGAGTGAGTATACCTTCCTGTTCTCTTTCTGCCCTTTCCGGGAGTATACGCAGCCCCACCAGCACCTTCCCGTAGCTGCGTCCCTCCTTCCGCTGAGACGGTTGTCCACGTGACGTACCTGTCTACCTACCTTACTTAAGGGGTCTAATCTTCGTTCCTGTCACCAGCACAGCAGCGTCCGTCTAGGTCGGCGAGTCAGGTCAAGCTGTGTGCGAGGTGGTCGAGTGGTTAAATAAACAAGTACTACAATGAAGTCAGATTCTGGGTTGACTGAGGGGCGCGCTGTTCGATTCCGGGCAGGGGCGTGAGTTATAATGTCAGTATTCCCCTCTATATTCCCTTCCTTATACTTTTTACTTCCTTTGGCACTTTTTCTTATATTATTCTACGTATTTGCGGGCTCTGGGTCGAAGGATAGGAGATACTGGCGGAATTGCGTTCTAGGGACGACCATAGCACTGTCTCGGGCAAGCCAGCGGCACCCAGAGACAGGTTAAACACATAGTTGCCTTTGGGCACGATTTGGAGGACGAGCTGGACTGTATCTAGTGATAGCTATAGGCCTACGGCCCTCCACGCCATATACCCTTCGGGAGGTCTGCCGCAAGGGCGGCTGCGCCCTTGCCGCTACGGCGTTAAAATACAACAACAACATTCTACGTATCTACGTCAACTTATCCAGGAGTGATAGGTGAGGCTATTTGCACTTGCCTCTCCATAGTTCCTGCAACCCATCTTCTTAATAAGTTTCTATCCGATGCGACCGGACCGTTCCGTATCTATACCCTCCGAGTAATATAGTCCACAGGACCAGCGCGGTCTTAAGGTATCTCAGGGGCGGGCCGTCGATAATCTGGATGCTAAGCGACCTGAAATGATTCCCGTCCTGTAGAAGGCACCGGGGGATATACCGTCTTCTCTTCTTTGGATTAGCCTTTCTTATTCTCCCGATAGAGTGCGCTTCCGAAATCACTATTCTGTAAAGGATTGGAAGGGGATGTATCTAAATATCGGTCTTTTTGGCGTTCTGTCCTAGTGGCCTCTTCCTACGTCGAATTCGACGCCAGTATATTAAACCCTAATAAGCAGACTTGCGAGATTTCCGACTAGCTATATTTGGGGGCGGTATTTCATCTACCGTCTTTTAAGCATTGTTATAGCGTAATAACGGTCTAGGATAACTGAATATATACCTCGAACTGTATAAAAAGGCTAGAAACTAGAATAAAGAATAAGGTAAGATTGATATCTACTTGAGCTTACAGCCTATATATAGGTAAGTACGAGATTAATAGTTAATAGGATATCTCCCGCGGCTAGAGTTCTCTCGAATTTTCTAGTAGATGGAATCTGGCATCTCTCGCTCTACTCCCCGTCCGAACTCTAGTCTTAACTTCTTAATTAGTCTTATTAAGGCTATACTTATACTTCTAGGTTAGTTAGATTACTTATTAACTAGTGTTTAACTACTTACGAACCTTATGTTACGCCCGCCGCAACTTGTCACTGTGGGCGCGTAGCTATATAATGCGGAACAAGGGAAAATGATGCCGGAGTCATCATTATCGAAGCTTTTGCTTTGTGCCACAGTTGGTTGCTTTGACCTGCTCGTAACACCTTAGGCTTTATTCTTACGATCTTTCAGCCTAGCCAAACGGAGGTTTAGAAAGTCAATATGGGCGGTGAACCTAGGTAAGCCGTATACGATAGGGAGTATCCGTACCGAGTGCGGAGTCGCGGTGGTGCTCGGGCTTGGCGTCGTTCGGGGCTGTTGACCGTCCTTGGACCAACCGGCAAATGGAGTAAACGGGGACGTCACAGCTTTAAATTCCCCGCGGGTTATGGAGCCGTTGCTGGCTATTTGCGGGGGCGGGGGAGCACATTGGCTCCAGAGCCTCGCAGACCCGTTCCACTTAGCGCCAAGGTTACTGCCGGGAGTCGGGAGAGCTACCCCAAAGCTCTCCAAATGGGGCAAATATCGCCGGCCAAAACCCAACAAAAACATGTTCAAACCCCATCGGGGGCTGCTGATTATGATGTAAAGCAAGACATTCCGAGCGCACGACTCGTCTGATTTATATATCACTGCGGAGAGCTCACCGAGCTCTAGGAAGATCAGTTCATTCAACTGACTGGCCTTTCCGCGCGACTGCTCTCTTCAACCCTCGTCTCCTCAACTTACGATCTTCCCCTCACTCGCGACAATTCCAGGCTCACATCAAACCGCCAGCAAAAACACAGTCAAGATGGGCAAGCCAATTGTTCTCCAGCTCGGCGACGACATCAAGTGGAACCATGACCTCAACAAGGAGTTCACCTCCAAGTTCGACATCCGCCGGTCATACAGCATGCCGCGCGCCGAGTTCATCCAAGCACTAAAGGACAAGAAGTTTGGCGACTTCTTCGCCATCTACCGCCCCTTCTGGAACACGGGAGGCGAGATGGGCAACTGGGACAAGGAATTGATCTCGCTTCTGCCATCGTCATGCAAGGTGTACGCCAGCGCTGGGGCTGGATTCGACTGGGTTGACACAGAGACTCTCGCAAGCAGAGGTTGGTTTCCTCGACATGAGCGCAAACAAGAACTTGCCTGGCTTCTTCGCGCCTCAATTGAACCAGAACGACAAGCTGACAAGAAACTTCCCTCACAGGCATCGTCTACTGCAACGCCGCCGCAGCATGCACAGAATCCGTCGCCGACGGCGCAATCTGGCTCATCCTCTCCACCTTCCGCCTCTTCTCCTGGTCCTCCACCGCCGCCCGCTCAGGCGACCCAGACCAGTTCGTCGACGCCAACAAGAACCTCGGCGCCGTCTCGCGCAACCCCAACGGCTTCAGCCTGGGCATCATCGGCTTCGGCAAGATCGGCCGCCGCATCGCCGAAAAGGCTCACAAGTCCTTTGACATGAAGATCCTCTACAACGACGTCGTCCGCATGCCCGCCGACCTCGAGAAGTCTTCGAATGCGACGTACATCAAGAACCTCGACGAACTGCTTGCCACGGCTGATTGTGTGTTGACGGCGACGCCGTTTGCGGGCAAGACGCTCTTGGACGCCGCTGCGATTGCCAAGATGAAGAAAGGCGCCAAGCTCATCAACATTGCGCGTGGAAAGCTGATCGAGGAGGAGCCGCTCGTTGCCGCGCTCAAGAGCGGGCATCTCTCGGCTGTTGGCCTGGACGTGCACTACAATGAGCCTCACGTGAACAAGGAGCTGATCAAGATGAAGAACGTTGAGGTTCTGTCGCACAACGCCGGTGCTTCTCTGGATGCTCATATGGGTTTTGAGAGGCTTGGTATGGAGAACATTCTCTCCTTTGCGAGCACTGGCAAGGCCGTCACGCCTGTCAATGTCCACCTGATCAACAAGAGCCGTCTGTAACGAGGATACGAAGTTATGAAAAGGGGATCTGGATTGTAGTTACAACAACGGAAAACTTAGGAGTTACATACTGGATTGCTTGGGTAAATTGAAGTTCTGTTTCAAATCCCTCGGGACACTCACTGCCTGGCACACTTTTGAACGAGTTGAAGAAGCACCGCTCAAATGCCGGAGGTTGAGCTTAAGTGTTGTTAAGTGGTCTGAACCGGAGGTTATCAGAATGAAATCTAAGAGAGCGAAGAAGAGCCACGCACTGTTGACCACCATTGACGATCTAACCCTTGGAGGATCATCTACCTCTCTTCATAACTTCCAACGTCATGCCTCTCACTCATCTCGTGAACATAATCTACCCCTACGCCATATGTTTCTTCATCTCCTCCACAATCGGCCCCTCCCCCCACCTCAACTTCGCCAACCATCCCCCATCAACCAAAACATCAGTCCCATTGACATACCGACACCCCACAACAAACCCAACAGCATCAGCAACCTCCTCCGCCGTCGCAGCCCTCTTGAACGGATGCGCCTTCATCATCTCCCTAATCCCCGCCCCACTCTCCCCCTCCATCTCCGCCGCCAGCATCTTCGTCTCCGTCATCCCCGGCGCAACAAGATTCACCCTCACGCCCTTTCCCGCATACGCCTCCGACGCAGCAGCCGCTTGGACGCGCAGACTATTCGCCTTCTTGGCGATGCAGTACGCTGTGGCACTTACCCCCGCGATAAGCTCGTGAAGTTCCTTGTTCTCGAGGAGGGATGTCCGCGGGGCGGTCGCGAGGTGTCGTTCAAGGGCGGGTGAGAGGGGCGGAATCATGTGTTGTCCCATACTTCCCACGCAAACCACCGACGACCCGTACGGCATCTCCACTTCTTTCCCAAAGACTTAAATCACGTTTGCTGTTCCGACTACATCTACAGCTAGAATCATCTCCGCGGACCCCATTGTTGGGCCAAGTGCCGAGGTCAGGACGACCGTCTCGATCGCGCCGCCTAGGGATGAGGCCGTTTTCGCGAGGGAGGCGACGGATTCGTAGGATGTCACGTCGACTTGCTGCGTGGTGACTTTGTGGCCTGCTTGTTTGAGGGATTCGGCGCCGGCGGAGATGGTGGACGGGGAGCGGCTTGCGAAGAGGATGTGGTGGCCTGCGCCGAGCCGGTGGGCTGTTGCTAGGCCGATGCCGCCGCCGCCGATGATGACTATGATTGGGAGCGCGTCTAATGACATGGCTGTGATTTCCCTCTATTCGTTCGTGACAAGAAGGCTCGGGACAATGAGTAAAATACAATTTCACATATGAAAGCCTTCAGAGCAGGTAGCTTGCGGAGCTATGGCCATTTTAAATAGGCACCCTTCAACATACGGAGGCTCGGTTTCGCTTTGGAAGCGACGGAGGTGAGATACTCAACCCCTCGAAGTTTGTCCGAAGCTTTTGCTTGAGAAATCAGACGAGTTCACCCAGCGGCGCGTCCATCTCCCGAATGAAGACAACGGTGAAGCTTCGGAGCTTCCTGTCGGATTGGAAGCCCAATTCGGCCGCGAGTAAGGGCAGAGCATGGGCCACCTCGAGAGAGTACAATTAGACCTCGACTACCCACCCAACCTCCGGTTGGAATCTCCCTTTTCCTCCTTACGCAGAATCAATCAATACAGAGATATTGATACTTCGTCACCCCCAGGACCCTACGGTTCGAACCAGATTCCCTGTGAAAGGAATACCAACACTTCCATTGACCAATAATACCTGACGATGAGTGTTATCACCCAAACTTTAGGTTAAACTCTTAGAGTGTGAGGAGATGTATTACGCACACACCATCTCTCATCTCCCCTTTTTTTTTTTGGCTGTCAGAACCATCCATGTCTTTGGGCTGGCGGTCTGGCTCTGTTCATATTTCACGTGAGAAGCGGGAATTAGTATGGCAAGCTTTTGCGATAAGAGAGGGCATGCTAAGAACTAAAGCAGACCAGTCTCGCTATTCATTCTTGTTCTAGTTGTGCAGGACAGTGTTCAAGCTTTCCGAGCTTAATTGACTTTTCGGACTCGGCTGTACGGACTTCTGGTCATTATATCCGCAGGCAAGCTGACGACCAACTATACGCTGGATATGCGGTATTGGCAACGATAAGCTCTCTAATGCTCGGAGAGCATCCAAGCATCAACTTGAAGGTAGTCGAGCACAGCCAGATCACACGCACACGACAACGAATGATATCTTTGAGGATTGTAGAATTCTTCGTCTGTCTGGTATATCCCGAGCTTGTCTAGCTCGCTATCGTGCTGACAGAACCATCGGAAAAGGTATCTTCATCGCCCGTCGATCATCATTATCATAATTGATGCACCTCTACCGTCGATGCTTCGTATGTTGCTCGATACCAGGTTGAATCGGTGTGACGGTGACTCAGTTCTTGAACTTGTCTCCGACGCACTGGTCCTGAGTGACAGCACCCATGTCCATGAGTCCCTCGCCAATGCAGCCGGGTCGAATGGTGTCAGGCACATCCGCTTGCAACATCCAGACAGGACCCTTCTCCTTGGGCGAGTCGTCGGGCTTCCCATTGTAGTACCAGTCGAACTCGTAACTGGAAACATCACCTTCAGCACAAGCGTGGACCAACTTAAAGAGATTCTCTCCGCCCAAACCAATGACCCCGGCCTTGAAGTTCGAGCCACGGATGTATAGCGCTCTCTTGCCCGGGACCTTCATGTTCCAGAAGTAACAACTGTTCCAGACCCAACCTTGCTGAATGCTGTCGATGACGCTGTGAGCAAGCGCCACGCCGGGAGCTCGGTAGACAGGGTCTTGCTTCTCCATGGGCATGGGGATACGAGTGCGGCAGTCGGTGTAGACGAAGATAATGACGCCGTCAGGGACCATCTTTCCAGTGTATGCGCCCTCCATTTTCTCTCCTTCGATCATCCACATCTGGTTATCGCAGGACTTGAAGTTGGTGGGCATCAAGTTTAAGCTGGTACAGCCGTACCAGTCCCACATGGACGTGCCAGGAACTCGGCTGGCAGTAGTCATGCCACCGCTGAAGTGATGTTGGCGTTAGCAAATCACGATATTGACAGTGTAAACCTTAGGTGTATAACTTACCATACAACCTTCTTGACAGGAACAAAGGTGAAGTAGCCACACTCACCCGCTTCCAGTTTGATATCCCATTTCTTGCCCTTCGCTTGGCCATAGTTGTGAGACCAACCGCCGGAGATTCCAACCTTGAATGCCTTCAAGAATTGAAGCTTGGTGTTTGCTCCAACACTCCAGCCTGAACCCACCGACTCAGAATCAGTCATGCCGCATTGGATGGGAGCGTGACAGTCGGAGCTTGGGAAAGGGACTTCTTGTGCCCATTCAAAGGTGGTTCCTATTGCGGAAAACAAATCAGCATCTTGTTTGAAGAAGAAAATTGAAACTTGGATAATAATACACTTTTCAAGTTTGAACTTACGTTGCTGACAGAAGGAAGTGCATCCATCGTCTTTGTATCTGAGAAGGCCACCAGAGTCCCAGCCTGAACAGGTATCAAAGCGCATCTTGCCTTGCTTGAACGGAAGAAAATGGTTCTTGGGGGGACAGTCCTGAGCCTTATACTCATAATAGAGCGTGGCAGGCTTAGTCTTGTCCGAACAGGGCTCAACGAAAGCGGCATTGGTATGCTCGCTACTGGCCTTGGTGTTGGCATGAGAAGGGTCGTCACGATCCTCGGGGCGAATGGTCCAGAGCGGCGGGTTCTCGGGGTCCCAGGTGTAGTTGAGAGGGGTGATGGAGCTGAAGTTGCCGATGTTGTTGTCGCGCTTTCCAATGTTGAAGATCTCATTCTCAAGGTAGCGCTCACGATCCTCTGGGCGCATGGTCCAGAGGGGAGGATTAGCAGGGTCCCAGTCATACTCGAGCGGGATGACTCTGCCATTCTCAGCCGGGGCGCCGTCAACACCAAGAAGGAAGAGAAAAATGAGCAAGAAGATGCCAATCATGACTCCCTTACCCTTGGGTGAGGCAAAGGCGAGACCCAAAGCTACCATGATCTCTGGCGAAGCAGAATGGTGAACTTGCGTGAAGGAAGTTGTTGACAGCGCAAAACGGCAACAAGAACCTGGTTGTGAAGAATGGGAGGGCAACAAAGGATTTGAGGATGGGTTTGTTCCGTGAAGTAAGGGAAAATCTCCAGGTTTGAGGTGCCTGAAGAAGAAGAGGGTGGGTTGAATGAAGGGTTGTGTAGAGGAAAGGAAAGAATCGCCTCACGGAAGCTTCTAATAACGAGATTTGTGGGAAGGGGTAAGGAGCTAAAATTTCAAGCGAGGCGGTCAGTGAGGGTGAGGATATTCAGGAGGCCCAGAAGTGATGGAGGTGAATACGCAAAGTGATCAAGAGGGAAGGTGCAATGCAGGAGGGCCTGGTCGCTTCTTCCACGATGTTGTTGACTGGCTTGAAGAAGATAAGGTACACAAGTCATTTTCCTATCTTCATGTACCAACACCAAGGATTTAGCCAAAATACTTCAAATGATTATATCTGCATAGCTCTACAGATCTAAGGTAAGGTACGATTCGGAGGTTGCGTGAACAATCAGAATGCATGTCAGCCACAATTATGGATCACAGACGCATAATCTCATGGCTGCACAACCACAAGGCACATGACTACATCTGAAACTTTGGGTTTCTTTGCTGGATGTAGTTACAGATACTAAGAAATCGTTTCATTTAGATAGCATGGCTAAGATTCTACGACGTTGGAGTAAGCATCTAAACACATGACGAAGTGCCTCGTGGACAAGCAAACAGCACCAATACGACTCTCCCATAGGTCTATTCCCGATGGCTTATTCAGACTCTTAACTGTTACTTGAGCTTTCGATTACTCTAGCTCTTGGATGGAGATACCGAATCTTTGGGGCAAAGAGCTAGATGCAAAGCTCTACATCTGGAGTCGCACCAAGTTTGCGCCGCCGTTTGCGACTTTGCGTTTGTCCCTTGCATATGACCGAGGAGCATATGGCCATAGCCTTGAAGGTAAGATTCCTTGCCTTATGTTACTCGTGCTACTCGAGTGATGAATGCAGAGATCTCTCGGGAGCCCTTGCCTATTCCGCAACTTGACACTCTTCGGACGGGAGACGGAAGGTATAGGGAAGACACGCCGAGGCAGACTTTTGCATTTCAATTGCAAAGCATACTGATCATTCGGCTGACTTTTGAACGGGCGTTTTACGAGCCTGGTTGACTCAACACCTAGCTTTGACGCATAATTTCAAGAGATAGTGGCTAATCGATACCCTCCACACGTGACACTAACCATCAGGAGAATGAATCACCACGCCGTCCTCGCTCGTATATTCATCCCCCTCCAAGCCCAATACACCACAATCACAAGCCGTTATATACCCCCTCACTCCATTCCAGTCACCAGCACAGCAGGCGCCTTCCTACGTCGGTTAGTCAGGTCAAACTGGCTGGGTGATGGAATCGTCCAAGGTCAACAATCAAATTACGCCCACAGCCTACTCGACGACAGGCTACGAATTCCGAGTTCGAATCCCAGCACGAGCACCAAGAGATGTAGCCCCCACCGGGGGGTGAACTCTTTTTTCTGTCTCAGTTGATTTTTACATGGCGTGCTTTCCATAGGTACTCTGGAAATCCAGTACTTTATATAATTCGAGGAGTACAAGACGAGGTCATGTCTGTTTCTGCTCAAGTCGACTATTATGGTCGCAAGTATTCGTGAAGAAATGTTGCCAAATCTGTGGACACCGATGCCTGCGGCAAGTCGGAACGACGAATGTTTGCTTGACGTGTTTGTATTTGTGTTTATATAAGTATTGATAAGCCAATAATGGCCTTGCTCATGTTGCAGGCTCTCGGGCCTGTTCTACCCCATCTACAATCGACCTCCAATACCTCCAATGGTCGGTCCATCCATCTCATGAGGACGCGGCCTCCCATAATGCTGTTATGTACCTACTCGTCCATTAAAATTTTTTTTTTTTTTTTACAGAGGTGAAGAACACCCAAGGCATCCAAGCAGAAAGCCTTCCACGTCATGTCATATTCGGCGTTGAATCAATCCAAAATCATGCTAATCATACGCTCAGAGAAATGCGTTAGGGCGGCCACCGCCAGGCTGTGACCGATGAGGAGGTGGTGTGGGTGCTTCAGACTCAAAGTCCGTATCACGTCCATCACTTCCTCTCCGAGGCGGGGTCGTGATACCGCGTCCGTATCTCGATGCCTGTGGTGGGCTCGGGCTCGAGTCCACATGCCTCAACTTGTCGTCATTAAATGAGTCCTCCTCATCATCGTCGTCATCATAGCGCTGCAAGGCAGGCATCGAGCGAGAGTCCCCCTTTACAAGGCCGAGTCGCTCCTCTTCAGTAGCGTTCTTGACTTGCGGACTGGAGTAACCCCGCGAACCAAGGCCGTAGCGGCTGGTAGGTCGAAGCTGCGGGTGTTCCTGCTGCTGCTGCTGATGATCGTCCTCGTGGTGCGGTGAATCAGCATGATGTCTTTTGAAGACATTGGAAAAGGAGAATTGCCTCTTTGCTGAGTGTGGCGGTGGGGTAGGTGCAAGATGCGAGCTGGTGCCGCTAAAGCCACTACCTTGCGACACAGCACGCTGGTCATACACGCCAGCAGCACCGGCGTACTCCAAGTCGCCGTGCTCACCAGCTGGGAGCCCGTACACATGCTCTCTGCTCTTGCCGTAGTATGGAGCATGGTCGTCATCTGATTTGAGCGTGGATACGGCAATTTCTGTCAAAGGAACTGGATGCATGGGGCTCTGAACCCTTGGATCCTGGAACTGGGGTTGATTCGGCGACAAAACACTTCGTGCTCGCTCTCGGATGGTACCCGCAATGCTGGAAAGCATGCCAGGAGATGAAGGGCGATCATGCTCTGCCATCTCTTCTTCGGTGGGGAAATGCGACATGCCGAGAGGTGGATGAGCCTGAGGAGAAGCGGGAGGGATGACCGTCGGTGTACGGGGGATACCGGCTTGCGAGGCAGGATAAGGTGATCGTATCGTTCCTCGGGTGCTTCGACTTCCAACCGTCATAGTTCTCCGCCTCCTTATTCCGTCCCATTCGTAGACTGGCTGACCGTTTTCGCTCACAGGCTCCAGCGACTCTCGCATCTTCTCCTCTTGTAATCGCTTGAACTCGTCCTCTTCCATCTTCTGTCTGGCGGAGGAGAAGCGGCGCACGATCGCAGCAGCTCCACGAATAGCATCGGCCTTGGGCTCGGTCTCGGGCTGTTCTTGTTCGGCGATGGTGTGGATCTGGTTAAGATCGCCTGCAAAGACTGCGGTGTCTGGCACGTCCTTGGCAGACTTTGAAAGTTGGAGGAGCACAACACCGGCACAAATGGTCAAGAAGCCATTGACCACGGTAATGATGGCGGTAGGGGTGCCCTTGAATCCTCTGAAGAGCACTGCCGAAGTAATAATGGTTGTGCTGGTGAAGTAGACGTAGTATGTTGGCGTGACGAGGGCTGCGTTGAAAAGATTTAGTGCTTTCTGTTGGTTACGTTAGCCTCAGTTTTCCAATCATGCCCGATCATGTGGAAAGGGGTAACCTCACGTTCAGGTAGATGATTTCTGTTAGCAAAGTGCCAATGACGAAGACCAGCAGCACATATGTGAACCATTTGTTGAACTGAGCCTCTCCACCTGCCTGGGCGACGATGGCCGCTCCCAGACCTTGCGTGGCTACAACGCTCAAGCCTCCAACCCAACTGCAGATGGAGATGTAAACCAGCATGTTCTTGTTACCCCATCTCGGACCTGCGTACCACGCAGTGATGGCGCTGCCGACGAGAATGACACCGGCATAGGATAGGAACCCGGGTTGGATGACATAGCTTTGCATCTGTTGAATGTTGGCAACGGCAGAATTCTCGGGGGCATTCATGACAATGACGACAGCGCCAACAATGCAGAGGAAACAGGCGACTTTGCCCACCATACTCAAGCGTTCCTTGAGGAAGATGGCGGAGAGGATGGCAGTCAGGACAACGGACAAGGCGCCTAGCGGGGTAACGAGGATGGCGTCGGTGAAGGCATAAGCGACAAAGTTGCAGATCTCGCCGACAATCATGAGACTCATGCCTGTCCACCACCAGGCGTTCTTGAGATAGCCATAGCCTTCACCGGGGGCTTCATTGTATTTCTCGTTGGCCTTCAAAAGGCCGAATTTCTTGATGACGAAGGAGGTTCCAATAAATGCACCAGAGGCTACGGCCAAGGAAATACCAATGGCCTTGTATGCGGGAGGTCTCGTGGCAGTGTCGCCAGTAGAACCGCCCATCCGTGCATATATCTCATGCGCCGCCGTCAATATTTCGGCGGATTGCTCCATTGCGGCGGTTGGGTACGCCGGCGACTTGGTCGCCGGGGTGATGTGTCGAAGAGAGGAGCTCTCGTTATTCGAGCTTCGTGATCATTCGCTTAATCTAGTTACGGTATGCAAGATCGAGGTTGGAAATATTGAAGAGAATCTCCAGGGCGGTCGGCATAGAAACCCGCAATCAGTGGGAGCAATGTAGGAAGTTGGGTTGTGTGGTTTGACGTTTTGCGGCTGTTAGCTGTCGGGAAGATGCGAACGTCAACAATCTTGGCGAAGCTTTGGACGAGTCGGATAGAAGTCGCGGGGACAGGGGAGTGCGCAAGACGCCGGATATGAGTAGACTGTGTAGGCAGTAGGGTCGGAGAAAAGGAGTTTGAGGTCGATACCGGCGGAGGGTTGAATTGCGACACCTTTTTTTTTGGTTTTTTTTTTGGTGGGATGTGAGTATGGGCGCTCGATAGGAGGCTGTGTCGAGGTATTGGGTCCGAGTAGGATGGAGTCGGCGCAGGGTGCAGAGGTAGCGTGGTGAGCGTACGGGTAGTTTGTGGTGTGGTTTGCTCGTATTGGAAGTCTGTCTTCGCCACACCAGCTTGCGTCAGCGCACTTGCATGCAGAGCTGAGCTTAGATGAGACTCGAAGAAGGTGGTTCCGGATCGAAAAGGTCGTGAAAGGTCGTCAACAGAAGGTATCTGTAGGAAATAGGACTTTGTAGAACCGTATGCAGGAAGCAGACGCTAGGTGCGGGACGAGCAACAGAGGGGACGTCAGGTCTTGTTCGCCTAGGTGTTCGTAGGTATCTGCAGAGGGAACCAGAGGTTCGCGAGAGAGCAGATGAACGGCGGGAGCTTGGCTGATAAGAGAATGCAGAATGGGGGGAGGGGAACAGGAAGAGTGCTTGGCCCCGGTCAGAAGAGTGAACAAGATGCGCAGTGCAGCATGAACATGGGAGAAGCAGAAACAAGCGAATTGCGCAGGCTGGGGATATTCAAAATGGGAAAGAAAAAAAAGAAGAAGAAAAGGACCAGGCTGGACTGGTTGGTTGAGTGACTGGACTGGGATTTGGGGGAGGAAGGAACACGACGGGACCAGGAAATGCTGGTGACCTTGGTCTAGAACCCCCGGTGCCTTCCACGAGCTGAGGTCATCTGATTGGATCAAGAGACTCGTGTGGGTGGGCAGGAGTGGGGGAAGCTGTGTTTAGCGCTTTCCCACAGCGCGGGACGCACCCTGTTCTTGGAAAGAGCCAGTGGTGGGGCCCCAGGGGCTTTGCCTGCCACCTCTTACGGAGTACCTACACCTCAGTTCCCTGTCTCTTCACAGTGTCACCGATGTTTTCTTTGAATCCCATTGTCTGGGACAGCTTGTTTGAAGCCAGATACCACACCAGTCCATGGCGGTCATGGGCCTCGTTGGGCGGTCGGAGACGTTGCAGTCGGGAGATACTGCTGTATCATGTATGCGAAAAAGGTAAATTTAAAAACAGAACATACCCATACGAGTACATGAGGCTTATTAGGTCACAGTTGGCGCCCCATGGCATTCTGATTCGCCTTTCTTCATCGGCCAGGCCCTCGATATCGGACTCCGAGAGTGAGAGTTGGCCGGTTGTCACTTCAACACCCACGTTCCGCCATGTATTGAGTATTCGTATGGAGTTTATCGAGGAAGGCTTCAATGAGAGTCGATACGTCGCGAGTGGGAGGTGTTGTCCATCAGCCTCATTACGTGCGCATAGACAAGACACAGACAAGACGGGTGTACTACGTTGACGACACCCACCGAGCGCATTAAGCAACGACATGCACACCACCTTCAGACCATCCCAACACCAGCACGTCCATTGCGTCTACTGTCTGCGAACATACACCTTGTTCCGCACCAACACCTCCCACACCACTACATCACCAGGCTTCAACTCAGTCGCACCCGAACAGTTCAAGCTGGGAAAAAGTTGGGGACTCCAAGCACCCGGCAGGTACAATCCCTAACAAAGCCTACCACACTACTTTATAGTCGTGGACAGCTACTCGTGCTCGAGATTGCTGCTGACCGTTAAGTCTTGGTGTTTCGCAAATTTCTCGAAAACAACTCGACGCAATGACCGGACGAAAGCGCCAACGACAGCCTGTCTCCCACGTCGCCCCGTATTCTCCTGCAACGCATGTTTTGCGCAAGTCAGTCAGCGCTGTCATCTCTTTGGCTCCCGCCTGCAAGCCTATTTGTCTGTCACAATGCGACACACGTCAACCGCTCTCAAGGCTCTCTCAAGTCGACCGACGTGCCAACCTATCCCCCATTCGAGTCCCAGTGTGCCAGAATTTCAATGCCTGTGCCTGTGTGCTGGGAAACCAAGGTCGCATCGAAGCGTCCATCATCCCGGCCGGTGATGTCAAGACCAGCCAGGAATGTGGCTCTCTGCAACGGCTGATAGGCCCGTGTCACCCCAACGTGCGACAACCACCCTAGATTTGGATGCTTGACGGCCTGGGTTCGGTCGCTCTCGCCCCTGGCAACGGATTCAAGCTCAATCTTTGTTCAGTCAACAAAATCCGACACCACGCGACTCGCCTGTGTTGACCAGTAGACACTGCAACGCCAAGATTCCAGACAATCAATGCTCAGCAGTCTAGACCGGCGGCAACTCACACAAAAGCCAGAAGCATTCAGATGAGTCGAGCTAGCTCCGGAGAGCAGCCCACTTTGCTTTGCGAACAATGACGGCAGTGTTTGGGGTCAGGTCTGGGATGATGGCAGTGCGGCGGTGGTGCAGCGCATTTGGCTGGATTGCTTCAGCTGCCCGATTAACCCCACCACGCAATCTGAACCCGACCGGTGCGCCCCAAACCGATACGGATAAGGTACGTATCTTCCCTCCACCTGGCAATCGAAGCTGACAATCCCTCGCCAGCTGTCGATGATTGGCTAGCGGCTGCGCCCCTCCATCTCATGCTTCCCCTCCGTACGAATACTCTCGCGTCGGCCACCACTGATGGATGCTCCAAATGCCTCCCCGCCCGTCGACGAATAACGGTGGCAAGGCACGCCAGTTTGCAGCGGATACGGACAAGGACGTCCCATTGAGGGTTCACTCCCATTGTTGGCCCTGACCGCAATTGTTTCAACGAGCGCCTGCAACTGTTCAGGTTGGCAATCACTTCAATGGCATGCACAAGACGCCGCAGCTGTGCCAGCCTTAGCACCTAGCGACGGCCCATTGCTCCAGACACAAATAGGCAGGCGGTTGTTCCTACAAGAAGCATCCAGAGCCTGCAGCGATCCGCACGGGGGCCCCAGCAAAGCTTCAAATTCCGTGTGCCCGTCTATCAAGCTTATGAGCACTGCCTCGGCGCCATCAAGCTCAGTCCAAATGATACGCCAAATGATGCATGTCTCCGGACCTCAGTCAGCGCCGAGGTGGGGACTAAAACCATGCTGACTTGAAGGATTGCGGGTTTGCTGCATTCCTCCCCGCGCCTTACGCATGCTTGGCTTCGTGTTGATGGGACCCTTGCTGAGCCGCACCCGCGTTCTTGGCCGAGATATTCAGATGCCTCGCTCTGCAAAATACTTCGAGCCAGCTGTATGCCGGAGAACTCATCGATGCCGCCTACTATGGCGCAAACTCGCCCCAGCGATTCACATATGTCAGCATCTCGAGCTCTCGGCCCGGCTTACAGATTTTTAGTCTGGGCAACGTTCGTCTTGAGAGGGTTGATAACCAACGGATGCCGTTTCGCGCACGGAACGGATCTGCAGAAACGAAGCAACATCCGATCGAGGCTTGTGCGGGGCCCGGGATCGGCCCTCCACGGCTGTTGCCCGCGGTAGGGTTCGTCCTCTTGTACCTACGAGTTTTCTCGGCGTTTCGATGGACCTTAGCACCATTAGGAACATTTTTCGCTCTTTCTGTGACGCCGTGGGGCATGCTTGAAAACATCATTGTCAATGAACGCTAGATATATTATGGCAAGTAGTAGTCTAATCAAACATATGGACGTCGCGCTGCCAAGTTTCAACTCCTAACTCCTTTTGCAGATATTAAGCTGGTGGACACCCTTTTCACACTGCGACTCTGAATGTCTTGGCGACGCTAGGAACACCAGCTTCGTTCACAGCAAACAACATCCAGTAGCCAGGGAGTGCGATACCGGCGTCTCCCGGAACAGTTACAGTGTACTGATTAGCGTTGGCCTGTGCCTCCAGAGGGCAACGTCTCTGGTCGGTGTTGACTGCGTGTGTCGATGTGCCCATCCTGATCATCGAGAAAGTGTAGTTCGCCGCCTCTTCCATTGTGATGGTGAAGCTGTCGCCGGCCTTGCAGTCAGAGACTGAGAGCTCAGAAACGAAGGGGCGCTTGGCAAGAGTTTGCCCGTCCTGGAACCAAGTTAGCATGGAGTTTATCTTATAGATCAGTGACCCAGCATGGTTCCTTACAGATTCAAAGAGATAGGGCGGCGAGAAGAACTGCCCATCAAAGTGATTGGCGGTACATCCATTGCAAAGACCACCGCCGCCAGAGAAGATGGTCGCGTCGGGCATAAGAAGCGCTACCGAGTGGTAGTTGCGGGGAGTGGTGTGAGACTTGAGCTGGGAGGGAGTCAGTCTTGTAGTCTTGCCAGCTTTGTCAATGAACTGACCGTGGTGAACTTCTTGGTAGCAGGATCCCACATCTCGGGGAAAAGTTGCGGGTTGGCATCCGAGAAGAGGGCAGTACGGCTCTGGCCACCAACAATGAAGACCTTGCCGTCGGGAAGAACGACACCGTTGGCGAAACCGCGATTATACTTGGCGTTCTCGAGCTTCTCGACCTCCACGGCACCGCCAGCCTCGCCGATGGTAAGGACGTGGGCGTTGGCAGTTGACACAACGCCGTCGTAGCGAGGGGCACCTCCCACGGTGAGAATTTTTCCGGCAACAGCGCTACAAGTTGTGGTTAGCGACCAGACTCGGTAATGCTGAGGCCGGATGATACTTACTCATACATGACATTGACACCACACATGGCGTCGTTGTCACTTCCTCGGTTTCCAGCACCCTTGACGCTTCCCGAGTCCCTCGTCGAGTACCAGTTCATCGCCTTGCTGGGGCCGGCCTGGAACACGTATCCATCCTTCCACGCGTGAAGCCACGCGTGACTATCGGCCCGGAAGGAGCCACGGGTATCTTGAGTCAACATGGGCGTCACCGAGCAGCCATCGAGCTTTTTCCATTCCTTGCTCACAGTGTCGTAGATCTCACCGTGCTTCCCCTGAGCACCTCCACGGAACGAGCCGCCAATGGTGAAGACCTTGTTGTCGGAGGTGAGGGTACTAGACTGGTATCCACGCGGAATCTTCAGGTCACCAGTGGCGGCCCAAGAGTTGCTGTCTTCGTCAAAGATGCTCGTCTTGGCGGCAGTGGAGCCTCCGCTGACGATGATGTGGCCATCGGCGTCCATGGAGATACCCGGGCAGAACATGTCATGCTGGGTGTTCTCGACCAGGGCCTCGGTGACTTCCTTGCTGGAAGGGTTGTAGATTGACGTGTATGTCTTTCCGTTGCCAGGGAAAGTCCAGCGGTTTCTGATTCGTTGTTAGCTCATCCACGTTGATCAACAAATCAAAACTTTCGGCAGTCGCGGAAGGGGCAACTCAAAACTGACCTCCAACCAGAAGACCACGCCAGCAACTCTCCAGTCTTGGGCAACAAAGCCACGGCAACCGGCACGACCGGGAACTTAACCAGCGCGCTCCATTGTCCAATACTCTGGAACTGGGAAAAGTCAAGCTGATACAAGTTGTAATACCCAGCCGCGCCGGTCCCTCCACCGCAGAACGCGCCCTTGTCGCCCGCGCAAGCCGTCTTACAGAAGCTGCCCCCGCTGTTCCCGCGATCGCTCGGCACGTCGCCGCAGAAACAGTCCCGCCCGCCGCCACCGAGGCCAAAGCACTTGCTCTGGTAGAGCCCGCAGTGGTCCTGGCACATTTGCACCGTCATCTGCGCGGAGCGGAGCTTGGGATACTCGGCCAGGGGGTCGCCGCGCGCGGGCATGCGCTGGCACCCGATATGTTGCGCCTTGGAAGGGGACGCCGCGGCCGTCATCATCGTCTCCGGGCCGTAGACGTTGACGTAGTTGACGCCGCCGCAGAAGGCGCCGTCGTCGCCGCGGCAGGCGGTGTTGCACTGGCTCAGCGGGGCGACCTGGGTGTTGGAGCGCAGGGCGTTGCCGCAGATGCAGTCGGTGCCGCGGGAGAGGCCGTACATTTTGGACTTGAACTGGGAGCAGTAGGTGGCACATGTGGACGGGCTCATCTTGTCGGAGCGGGTGCCCTGGGAGGTGGAGGCGTCGGTGGTGCCGGCCTGGTCTGTTGCGATGAGGGCGGTGCCGCGGGTGCGTTCTTGGTAGCAGCCCATGTGGACTTGGCCCGAGGGCGCGGGTTCTTCGGCGGGCATTTGGTAGACGTTGAGGGTGTTGTCTGCGTCTTGGGCTGAGGCGAGGAGGGGGAGGAGGAGTGCCGCGAGGGACACTGCTCTTGGTGGGAGCTGCATTGTGAATGAGTGTAGATGATACTAGGGAATAAGGAAAGAAAGACTTGATATCAATGAATGATAAATAAAAGAAAGATGGACTGGAAAGAGATGGAGATTCGAGCTTCCTGCACAGAGTTGTCTGGATAGATTGAAAGGTAAAGTCATGGGATCTTGAACACTTCATATACAACTTGGACCTGCTGAACTTCCATATAGTCACGATATCCTCGCGTCGACCAGCCTGAACTACCTGTTCGACTCTAAAACAGAAAATCGCCCTGATTGGCCGCTCACAAAACTACAAAGCGCTGCCACCGTCGACGGGCACACACAGACATCAGGCCGTGGTCAAGATGGGACGGTCGTCGGTCGAGCACATCTCCTTACTTCCCGTTCCCCGCTTGCCTCTTCGGGATAGACTGTAGAATCACAGATAGTGAGGCACGTGTGAAGGTTCTATCGAAAGCAGAACCCTTGCCGGGTAGTCCCCCAGAGCTGACGTCCTACTTTGGGAACGACGAGGCTACTTGGCTTACTCAGGTCGACCAGTTTTGGCAAGGGAGAAGCTGACGATGATTGAGTCGGGGTTAGGTCGCCTGCCAAGAGTTGAAGTGTCATAGCGGGGTCTGGTTCCTAGTCTCGTTGGGCTTACCTTGAATTTGGGGAGACTGAGGTTCTGTGGCTGGGCTATGTTTATTCTTGTCGAGGCGTTTGGTGATGGGACGCTTTTGTGGCGGGAAATATCGTCAGAGAGTCTTGCAATCAATGCAGGATATGGGTTGATGGTGAGAAGTAAACACGATACAGTTCCGCTCAATTGTAAGCCAGCCTGTATTTTTTCCATCATAAAATATGTTTTCCAAGTGCATAAGTTGTGACGATTCCAGAGCAGAAACTCTCTCGTGGAAATAAATTAAGCATATCCCACCAGGAACGTGGCCGGCTCTGCTGACCCAACTAAACCTAAATAAGTCTAAAAAGAAGGTTGCGACCAGCCCAGCCCAAGCTGATCAACTTTTAACGTGTCTCAGGTCGCTCACTTGGCAAGCTTAGCTTCATAGGTGACCTTTTCCCACGCGGGCCCTCTTCATTTCGTTTGGTGGTGGCACTGGCTCTAGAACAATCTGGGGAAGAACGTCTCGATTTTAGTTGGGAGGTAAATGATCCTAATTCTTTTCCACAATGCATCGCGTCTGTGATTAAGCTTTTGTTTGGATTCATCTGATCATGGTTGAGTTCCTTAGATCCGACGATCAGTGTGAGTCTGCATCCGTACTTGCAAATTTGGGACGGGTTCGTCCGTTGGGATGCATGTATGAGCGGGCCCGGCGTGTTGAAGGTGACTTTCCGCTGAGCTCTTGGCCGTGCATTGCTTGGAAAACACGAGGAGAGGGATCCTTAAGACTTTTCATGAGAGTGGCCATCCTTTGAGTGTACTTGGGATTCTTCATGTATTTCTTGATCGACTCTGTGTTAGTCACCCGTTTCGACATCCCACTTCGCGACGCCCACCTCCCTGAACATGACGCGTTAAGGAGGTGGGAGCCGTGATGTGCCACAAATAGCCCACACTGGGATACGCCAGACGATCAGAATAGTTCATCGCACATTCGCAGAGCTTATATCTCCGTCGATACTGCTTTACTATTATCCTCCTTCTGGGCTTGAAGGGCTAAAGCCATCCTTCAAAGGAAGAAAATCGACGTCGCGACTTCGTCTTGACAAGCTATGTTCTGAACGTACTTGAATCAAAATCGTGTTCAGTGAGGGGTGACAACCAAGTGTTAATATCGATAGAAAACGCTGATAATCATTTCAACCATCAATGTTGGTTAGCAATTCATCCATACTGATCAACTATCGACTCACGATTGCTCTCTCGTCTTGATTTCCGGTCGTCGGAGTTGTAGAATCTCAGGTCTGGATGAGCCCGTAATGGTTACTTCTTACACAAGCTCGGCCAAAGTCCGAACTTCCAGGAGGCTCGCAACTCATTACCTCGAAACCGGATTTGGTAGTCGACGAGGAAATTTCCCAGACGGGTAAAGATGGAGATATTCCGCGGTTCTACGCGTATGCCGGTGCACAGCCGCCGCGGAAAGGAGGCGAAGATCCTTAACACCCGTTATAACACCAACATGCTAAAGAGCTCAGCCCTAAATTGAGTACCATCTTTACATCAGTACCCATCATGCCGTCGAATCACCAATAGCATGTACGCATACAATGCGTAGGCTTAGCAAGACCCCTCCCTTAATGGTAATTCGACGGGTAGTCCGTAGCCAAGGCCTCGGGTTCCGTGGCGAGCGCGGTCGCTATATTCCTCTTCAAGAGCCTCAACTCCACAAACTCTCCCACTTCCCGGCCGACAACGTAGAGGTGGACGTCAGCCGCGCAAGGGGGCTGTTCCAATCAAAGTCGTCGCAACGTAAGCCATTAAGGAGAAATTGATTAGCGAATGGCTACAGAACCCCGAGCAATGCCAAAGATGGTGATGGGCGATGGAATACGGAAATAATCGAGCGAAGACATTGCCATATAAGAGATGATGGGATCCTCGGAAGAATAACGTGGAGTTAAGAACTTTACTCTCATCACTCAGTCTCAACACGACCTAACTCTCATTCCAAAAGTCTTTCTTTGCGATATTCATCTCCAACATGCTGTTCACCGACTTGTTTCTCTTTGCCCTGGCCGCAGGGACCACCCTCGCTCACCCAGAGAAGCTCACTGCCGAACAAGCAAAACATGAGGCCCGTCTGATCGGCCGAAGCACCGACAGGTGCGCCGCGGCCATTGAGGAGCGCAAGGCGGAAATGTTTGCGAAGCGAGCAGCTCGTCTGCAAGCCCGCCGAGTTCAGAACGGCCATGTCGATACCCGGGACCTGATGTCCCGGAACTCGTTGCAGTACACCACCATCCAGAACGACACTTGCGTTTTGGCCCCTGACACCGTCTGGGGTCCCTATGGGTAAGTCGACTACGATGGTTCCGGTGTCAAGGTTGATGCGGAGACTGACTTGGTGACAGTGTTGATGGAGAAATCCACCGTCACGATCTTCGTGAGACGCAAGGAGGTATCGACTTCTACCTCGACATGGGCGTAATCGACATTGAGACATGCGAGCCTCTCGTCGGCACAGCCCTCACGATTTGGAACTGCAACGCGACCGGCTCGTACTCCTCCTTCACCGGAATCGACCCCAACACCGCGGAGCTCCTAGACAACTGGTCGACAAGGACGGACGGCACCACCGACGACGAGACATTCCTGCGCGGGATCCAGACGACCGACCAGAACGGTGTTGTGGAGTTCCTCACAAAGTTCCCCGGATATTATATCACCAGAACGACTCATATCCACGTCACCGCGCAGACTAACATTGCGAATGGCACGTCGTACTCCGCCAGCAAGGTGCAGCACATTGGTCAGCTGTTCTTTGAGGAGGATCTCCTGAGCCAGGTGTATGCTGTCAGCCCGTACAGTGAGCACCTCACGACGTTGAACCGTACTACCAACGAGGAGGACTCGCTGTACTCGGATGCCAGCTCCGACGGGTACAGTGCTGTCATCAGCGTCAGCCAGTTGACTGACAACATCGAGGATGGTCTCGTTGGATACGTGAGTAGATAGCCTCTCAGATTGAATCGAAATCCGAAGTTTGCTAACACGATGTAATAGATTACGATTGGTGTCAACTCGACTGCCGATGGACTCGCCATCACTGGAGGTGGCGTCAACCCTCAGGGATACCTTCCTACTGTCAGTGTGGATGATGCGAAGTTGGCTCAGGCAACCGCAGTCGATAGGGCTGATGGATACACGTCTTAGACGTGGTCTCGAATGACCATGTCAGTCAATGTTACATCCAGTCTGCTGGAACTATTTGTTGTAGATGCACTCTGCATAGGAGTTGGTTTCAAGTTGAAAATTCAAGAGCTAGATACCCAAGCATATAGAAACTAGAGCTTCACGTGGGCACTTGTGGAACTATATCTTGGTCGTGAATGGTGCTACCGATTTTGAAGTCTACGCCGCCCGCCCAACCTAACCAAACACCCTCAACAGTCTTTTCAGTCACATTGCTGGACCCTAAATCATTATAAACAAGTTGAAACATCCGCACGATAAATCTTTGTTACAAGACAACGATCTTTCGCCGACGCAGGTTCTTGCTGCCATTATTAATTGCAACATTTGAAGAGACTTGATTGTAAGTTGCGCAGATTTTTGGCAACCTTGACTCAAAGATGATGATTCCTGGACGGTATCTTGGAGGCTCGAGCGTCATTTGACTCCAGGCTTCTAGCGACAAGATTGTCCATTCTTAGCTGTATTTAAACTTGGGGGTTTTTATGCGGAACCACGACCTCAATGTTGCAGAAGCACGAGATCAAAAAGCAAGCTGCCCATAAACATATGGGCCTTGATGCGCTTCCATCGTAGGCAAGAGTGGGATTAGGCTATCTATGGCTATCTTCTTGGCCATTGCTCGCAACGTCTCAGTAGATCACGTTGCATGTAAGATGGATCAGACGCTATCGGACCTCGTCCGATGTTCGCAATTGACAAGCTGTCGTCACCTCGCCAAGGCCTTTCCAACAGCAGGTGAGAAAGGTGCAATGCCCCAACCTCAGAGCTACAGTAAGACTACCTTATCCCATGCGCCAAGGGCGGGATGCCGGACGTACTGCCTCGAAAGTCTGAGATGCCCGCACTACCACTTCTTTAAAGTTGTGTTCTCAGTGGTCTGCGATGCGTTCTTATCAAACCTGGGGGAGGAGGTGTCGGACCTCCTCCGCTGCCACTGGTCGATCTCGACATACTCCATCTACATTGCGCCTTGATAACGTGATCAGATAATGCAGGCTTCGCATGCAGTATCGACATCCTTCAACCATTCCTCTTATTTCCGATGCCGGTCGGTAGAATCGCCAGGGTGTATTAGCCGACGCTAGACCAACTGCAACCAACATCACATCCAACGTCTGCTAGGATTAGATTGTACCCTTGAGGCAAGCAACGTGTCCAAGGGAATCATTGGTCCAGGAGATGCTTTGTCGAATGTTTGAGGATAGTCCTTTGAGTAGTCTATTCCGAATACAGATTAACATCCAATGAGACTTGGAAGACTTTCATCGACAGACAATGATAAGCTAGTCCCGACTGGAAGAGGGTTTGCATTACCGAGGTGGCAACGCACCAACACTGCTCACAAGCACATCACGAAGATCCGCAATTGCATGCTGCTCCCTCCTTGTGAACAATGAACGGGGTTTCGATCGATTTACTTATACTTCTCGGAAGCGTCGCAGTGTCAACCCTACATTTTGAGTTCTGTAATGCCATCATCCAACCATGTCTCAATTACGTGACGAAAAAGATAATACTGCCCTGAACGACTCCAAAGAGTCAACCAACCCTAAGGTGGCCGTTGATTCTGTCTTTGAGACGTCGGAAAAGCTATTCCTTGGAGGTATTGACGATGGCTCAGACGGAATAAAGAGAGGATCGACCGAAGACTCGGAACTAGAGTACGACTTCAAATCTGAAGAGTTCGCCAACATCCCCAAGCTAGTTCGCAATGTTGTCGGATTTGAAGACGACCCGACTTTACCAGTCCTCACCTTCCGGGCAATCCTTCTCTCTGCAATCTTCTGCACGACTGGAAGCATTGTTTCGCAGCTTTCTTAGTACTTCTTCCATCTCCATCATGCAGCCTGACGACTTACTGATAGCAAACCAGTTTTCGAACTACCACAGCTCCGTTCCCTGTATTCTTCGTCATCTTGGCCTCTGCTCCTCTTGGTCGACTATTAGCACGTATTCTACCTGCTCACACGGTGCCTCTTGGGCGTTTCTCTTTCTCACTTAACCCTGGACCCTTTTCCATCAAAGAACATGCAATCATTGGTATTGCTGCCAATGCGGGCAGTCAAGGCCAATGGGCGAGTAAGTTACCTTCGACTGCCTGCGCTCCTGCTCCCAGCCCCAACTTACACGGATTGCCTTAGCCTACTTGCCGACCAACGCAGCACTGTATTATGGCATCACAATGAATCCAGCTGTTGCGCTCTTCTTTGGATGGGTGAGATTGAACATTTCATGACTTGAGGTTTGAGTGCTAAGAGTAATCAGGGTGCTTCTCTGCTCGGATTTTCATTCGCCGCAATGGGTAAGTCCAAATGCCTTGCACTATTCACAGATTTCCTGACAAGCCGAAGTCCGGAAGATTCTGATTGATGACCCCGAGTTCATATTCCCTTTGTCTCTTCAACAGGTCACATTATATAGGAGTATGCAAGGAAAGTCCGAGTTACACAAAAGCGTTTCCCAGAAACAAATGAGAGTAAGTTGGGCATCATCAGCCACCCGCCCTCAACTAAACTAACACTATGATGAAGGTTTTCTGGTGGATTCTGCTCGGCACGTTTCTCTGGCAATTTCTCCCCGAGTATCTGTTCCCTTTCGTTGCTGCTCTTGCTCCTCTATGTTGGTTTGCGAGTCGCAATCACACTGTCAACTTCCTTGGTGCCGGCCGTGGAGGCATTGGGCTCCTCAACATCACACTCAACTGGTCCAACATCACGTCCACCGTCATTACATATCCTTACAGTGTACAAGTAACTATCTTTGTTGGCTTTATCATCACAGTAAGTTTTAGTGTCTCGTTCCGACACATGTTCTGTACTGACTGTTATCAAGACATGGATCTTGATTCCCGTTGCTTATTTTGGCAACTTGTGGGGATCCCCCACGTTCGACATCATGTCAAATGGCGTATTCCAGAAGAACGGCTCCTCCTACCCGTTTGAGTCTCTAAGTAAGATAACAACCAAGTGCCCTTCTTATGGAGGGCTTACTATTAATGCTAATGAACACGATCCAGTCTACACTGACTCAAGCGGCGTTCAGCATGTCAATGATACAGCATACCATGAGGTTGGTCTGGCGTACTCAGGTGCTCAGTACACATGGGAAATCTTCATGGTGAGTAGTCTCTCGACATTGAATCTCCCGCGAAGCTGCTAATAATACATCAAAGTGGTACGCATCATATATTTCTTCCTTTGTTTGGTGTGGCCTGTTTCTGGGCCCAAAAGTTGTCAAGATCTGGAAAGCAAGAAAGGCCGAGGGAGAGTATCACCAAGATAGATTGAGGTTGGTCACTTATATCCAGATTCTATGTGCTATTTCCTGACTTATTTAGCCGAATTATTCAGCAGTACCCGAGCCTTACACTTTGGTAAGTTCACTGTCCTCCTAAGATGCTCTTCAGTCGAACTTCGGCTAAGTCCGTTATTAAGGGAATGGGTCCTTCTGACGATCATCCCCATCGGGATTCTGCTCGTGATCGTTGCCACAAAGTCTGTCTGGATGCCGACTTGGACTTATTTCGTCGCTCTGGGCTTTGGTGGTGCTGCCATGCTCCCCATGAGTCTGGTTTATGCCATGTCTGGTTATTCGATCAAGGTTGGGTTCTTCAATGAACTCATATACGGCTGTTAGTTCAAGCATACTGTGGCTTTGCTTGTGAAGACATAATGGCTGACCGGGGGCCGTAGATATGATCGACGCGAAGGGATCGTCACGCCATCCCCTTGGCCAGCTAGCGTATCGCATCATTTCTGGCAACGTCTGGTACGATGCTCGTATTGTTCTGGAAGACCAAAAGGTATGTTTTATTCTGATTGGCGATCTATCTGTGCAAAGAATACTAACACACAACCTAGATTGGGCATTACCTCCATCTTCCTCCACGAGACGTGATTGGGGTCCAAATCATCGCGAATATGATAGCTCTCCCTATCAATTACGGCGTCATGCGTTGGGTCATTGCATCCAAATTTGACTACGTGAGCGGTCGAGTTGCGGATCCTCAAGGACAATGGACTGGTCAAGAGTTTAAGAGCTACAACACCGCTGGCATCCAGTATGCGCTTGTCGGGCCAAAGAAGCTCTTCGCGTCGTCTTTTTTCAAGCCTGTACTCTACGGCTTCCCTGCTGGCGCGATAGCGCCGATCATCATCTGGGTCCTTCACAAGAAGTTTCCAAAGGCCCGTTTCGACCTCTGGAATTCGACCATCTTCTTCGCGAGCGCGGCTACATTTCACGGAAACCTTAGCACGGGACCCTTCACAACTTTCCTTGTTGGAACCTTCTTCAACTTCTACCTGTACCGTTATCGACGTGCTTTCTGGAACAAATGGGCATACATCAGTGGCGCAGCCTTGGACACTGGTTTCAACGCCAATCTGTTGTTCATCTTCATTTTCCTTGGCACAACCGGAGCTGTAATGGCGCACTGGTGGGGGAATAATGCGGAAAATATTGAGAGGTGCTTTGCCTTGAAGGGATGATGCATGGGCACAGAAAGAAACACATGCTACCTCAGGTCCAACGAAGTTACAGCAATACCAAGAAAGTATTTGACTCAACGGGAATTGCATCTCGAGACCGCAAACACTTCGAGCTAGCATAGCAGTCGTTGAAGCGGAACATGACTTGGTTAAACAATGGACTGGGGCGAAATTGGAAGTTTTCTCTGCCTAGCTTATTCGTATTTTTGTCAATTTGAAGCCATTCCCATCCACCACAGTCTTTATCTCCCCACGCATAAGACCATCCACGAAGCACTGGGAGATAACTTTCCAATGGCCATTTTCCTGCCGCATAATAATGGGCGCTGAGCATCCTGGTAGAACGAAAACTGAGTCTCCCTTCTGTATTTGTTGAAGAATTGCGGTGCCGAAAAGCCCCTTCTCCGTGGTGAAGACCGGGTACACGATTCCAACGTGCTTGTCAAGTGATTCCAAGAAGGGCTTAGGATCTACACAATCTCCGACGTCTTGAACATGGGGAAAGAAGGACTGAAACTTCCGACCCCAAGGTTGGAAATTGTCGTTAACCTGCTTGCGAAACTGAGTCAAATCGTTGAGATTAGCGTGTCTGAGAACTTTGCCCCAGCCACGCTTCTCCAGCACCACGATGTCTGGATCGTCGGGACTCAGGCTCTTGAGCCAAGGAATATCAAGAATCGTTGTTCCTGAGTCACAGTCGTAGACCGCAGCTCGATGAAGGGTCCGTACGATTGCCGCCTTGGGATCACTCGGCATTTCAACAGATGCCGGCTGGACGGCATCTTGCCAAACACCGAGCCCACCGTGCTTCCAACCCAAGAAAGGAGCCAACCCATCTACCACATCGACGAGATATCCGCTAGTAATCAGGACCTTCCCGTCGTTTTCTAGCCGGAACTTGGCTTTTTGTCCCCAGCTGGCGTTACAATCTGACCCCCAGAGATAAGGATCCCACGGAGATGTCAAATCCGGCACCCAGGAAGGAAGCTTGAGAGTCGATTCCGTCGTCCCAGTCAGAACTATGTCGAAAGATTCGAAGCCAGTGATAAGAGCGCTAGCAAAATCTGAGAACACATCTTCTACATTCTTCGTATAGTCCGGTTCGATGAGTTTGGCCACATATTCCGGTATCATGCCCATTAATCCGTACAAACGGTCTCTCAAGTCGAGTGAGCCTGCCATTCTCCCAATCATCAAGAGCAGTCCAAGATCGTCTTGATCTTGCCTACGCTCCTCGTCTGTCTGAGCTCGACCGCGGCGAACACGGTCTTGAGTCGCAGTTACTAACTCAACCAACTTCAAGATTCGCCACACTTTCTCACGAGCCCTCACAGCACCGTGGATGTTTGTGACACTCTGGAGGAAGTTATGCAACGGCACTAATCCCATTCGAAACGTCCCAAAAAGAATGGAAGGGTTGAAGGGACCCAGGCATTTCTCCTGGATTACCCAAATCCGTGACCAGTATGTCTTCTTAACAACTACATCGATGGCCCTCCGGATGGTTTCCTTCTTTTCTGGGTCCGCCATTGCTACGTCCAGCACCTCAGATGCTGCAGCTTTGTCTTCTGATTTGATTATCAATTCGTGTAGCTGAGCCATGTCGGGAACCGATTCGTTGGGAATATCGCCCAACCAGATCGAGACGATGAGCGCTTTGCCATAGATCTGACGCATGCGCTTTACTTGACTATTACGCTCGGCCAGGTCTTTCTGATTGATGCAGATTGCATCGGCCCAGATTTTCACACCGTCGATATAGTCCGGATCCGAAGATAAAGCTCGCAGAGCCGACTCTAAGCTTTGACCGACCAGCACCACCTGATCATTCACGATGATCGGCACTTTCACAGTCTGGTCTCCCCAAGTGTAGCTGAGGGCTCCGTAGTCACCCCATGAAAAGCGATGATAGCGATGATGCGCCCGTGGTCTCTCGAACGGCGAGCTCACTCTTGTCGGGCTCAAGGATCGATATCGCTCATTCGAGAACCGTCGCCAGCGCTCGTCGCTATTCCTCCGAGACAGCTGCGGTGTTTGTGACGACCAAGCTCTATAGTCTGGCAGATGTGCATCAAGTGAAACATGCTCTATCGTACAGTGTACGAGGCCATGCCATTCCGATGGCTCATCGCGAAACTTGGCAAGAGGTGGCCGTTCGATTGTCTGTAGGTTGAGGACCCGGATCTCGTTCCGATCTTCGTTGAGCGGGTAGTAGCTGAATGCGGCAGCTTCTGTGAGTCTTTGAGTTGCCATTGTGATAGAGAGATGGTTATTACATATCCTACACTCACTCCAGAGGCGGTCTTTGCGGTATTTAGTCTTGGCTTCCACCGCCGGAGCCTACGATTAGATGTGACTTGTTGATTCGCTCCCCAGGTCGAGTGCCATGCTTACGATGTTGCCTAGCATGAACCCGCCTGACATTCGGCAAAGCCCCATTCCAGAATAATGAGGGGCTATCTCGCAACGCAATTGGTTCAAATGCGAAGATACCATGCAAAAGTAGGCTCTTTTGGGTCATTACTTTGTTCGAGCTTTTTTCCACTTTAATCATTCTGACTCCCAGCCCCACACCTACTTTACTACCTAGTTACATGCTTATTGCATAACTGGGATTCTTTACGCTGAAGACATCCTCTACGAATAGAAACATTTCACCTCAGCTATCATTTCTAATCCATGAAACCAATGTTCTTTCGGCTCGGTGTGGCTATTGGGTATGATCTTCAGGACTATCATTAAGCATTCTCAAGGCAAGCGGGTCCACAGCTCGCTCGTGAAAGTCACATCCAAGAAGTTCATGAGGTGGACATTCTCGGCCTTCTTCCCCTACACTTACAGAGAAGCAGGCATTGTACAAATGATGATGTCAGATAATCAAAGCTTATTATGAAATTGTCATTTGTCAACTAAGGTACTGATCGATTTGAAGTCATGGGCTAGGGAATAGACAAAGAGTTCACCCAGTTTGGCTAAGTTCTGCACCACTAACCAGCGTAGGGTTAAATCCTGGACAGCTCCTTGATCCCATGGCATGCGAATTGACCTCGCAGTCAGAATTAATGTTCTTGGGCCTTTTCTACCAGAACTCAAATCCGTTACTCGAACTGCCACCAGTCAAAGTTCAATAGGTAGTCGGTTCCCTCTCCAGTAAAACTGAAGTAAAGATCGTGGCTGCCTTCAGCGTCGTTGACAGAGCATGTCACGGTCGTCCATGTTTGCCATCCACCAGTGCCTGTAACAGCGCAAGTACCGATGAGGATTCCGTCTGAGCCGTCGAGACGTATCTCAATGCTACCACCGGCGGTTGCGGATGATACACCGGCAGTGAACTTTGCCACGCCATTGCCGAATTCGACACCCTTGACCTTGATATAGTCACCATCGTTGACGAAAGCAACAGCCATACCGCCCTCGCTACAAACTTCAACTTCAATGCCTTGAGACCAAGCAATCAACTCTGCCTCTTGTCTTTCGAAAGGATTCACACCCTTTCTTTGAGCCGGGCCTTCGGTAGTCATCTTCATTTCTGGGATAGATCCATCGGAAAGATAGTTGAAGCTCTCGACCGCAACAGATCGAGTAAACCCACCCCCACCTGGCAAGGCGCCGTTGTGGTAGAAGAAGTACGAGATGTCGCCGAAATCAACCACACCAGGATGGTTCGTAAAGCTGCCGCCTTCCGAGGGCATGACAAGACCTTGATAAGTCCATGGCCCCATGATCGTAGGGCCTGTGCTGTAGCGAATATCCTCCGGGCAACACACAGCTGCATAGATCATATAGTAGAGATCTCCTCGCTTGTAGGCCCAGGGACCCTCTTCGAAGGCCGAAGGGCGTCCTGTGGTATCATTGCGAGCGCCAAACCCGTCGACAGTGAGCTCGACCTTTGAAATTTCGCCGCTGAACGAAATCATGTCTTCGTTGAGCTTGACATACCACAGATCTGGGTTGCCCCAAAACATGTAGGCTTGCCCGTCATCGTCGATGAAAACGGTGGGGTCAATCTGGCCATTGCCGAGAAGAGGGCCACCAATAGCATCAACAAATGGGCCAGTGACACTGTCGCTGACACCAACGCCGATGGACATGGCGCCGTCGCGACTGGTCACCGGAACATAGAAGTAGTACTTCCCATTCCGGCCGATGACCTGCCCAGCCCAGGCATTGGCGCTCGCCCAAGTAAATGTGCTGATATTCATGGGGCTGCCGTGATGTTGCCAATTGACCATGTCCGCGGAGGAGAAGAGAAGCCACTCTCTCATGTCGTAGTTTGTTGAACCATCCTCGTCATGGCCGGTGAAGAGATAAACTCGGTCGTCGACGATAAGAGGAGCAGGATCCGCAGTGTAGGATGTTTGGATAATCGGGTTGTCGGCGTACACTGTGCCGAAATTGCAAAGAAGAACTGAAGAAAGCAGCAGAGCATGCTTCAAACACCAGCTGTGCATATTCGTCATCGTGGTAGATTGTCGACCAGGAATCCCTTGTTCTTGATGTAGTTGTGCCCAAAAGAGTGGTGGTTCACTGGACTGGTGTTCACGAGTTGACCTGGTATACCTTGCGTGAGGTTGAGTTACAAGTCTTAAGATTATTGACATAGTATGTCTTGCCATATAATATATAAAAATCCTATTGTGAGCTTTAGCATTATTCATCGCGTTACTAGAGTCTGTAAAGGTTTGTATGATGGATACGCTGTACCCGTAGATGCTAGTGTAACATGAGTATTTCTCCGTCCACCTGCACTACACCGGGTGCGGATAAAAGTTACGATGACCAACCGCATCAATGGGATCCTACCGTTACTGCGGGTGACACGAGGTCGCACCGACATGCGGAAGTGGCGACGGTATTGGTCATCGGCAGACCAGCAACGGGGAATACACTGCAGATCTTCGGAGGCTTTCTTTCACAGAATGGGCTCAATTCTCTCTTTTTACCCACTTGACTACAGAATAATACTGGGTCTCTGTTGATAGCCGACATTTGAAGTCCTCTCATGTGACCAATTGTCACATATGATACCTGCCTTGCCTACCTACTCCAGCCACCTCAATTACTAGAGCCCTTGACACAATCATTACCTTACGACAAGTTGTTCCAGTCTTGAGACAGACGCCCAGTGAGTATTCGCAATTCAGGGCCGACATCATTCTTGCCCTTGCGCGTATCTAGACAGTCTACACAGTACAGAACAACTACTTGTATTCTAATGCTTGGCAAGATGCAGAAGAGGGCCAAATAGGTAGATTATGGGCCCTGTTAGCAATAATGAGCTGCAATGCAACCTTGAACTCTTGAAGCCCCTGTAAAGTCTCTCGATCTCCGTGAAAGCACCTTGATCTTCTAATCGGAAGCCTTATAGATCAAAAGAATTCAGACTCGACGACGGTGTGTCTGTTCCCTGCCTTGACTACTAACAAAACGCCGAGGTTCGGAAGTGAAAGTTGCTTGTAACGTTGCAATTCTCAGAGGTTTCAGTAAACGGCCCGTATACCGTGGAATAACTAAAAATTCGTCGTCAAAATCACCAGCATTGCCTTGCTTTGGGGTCTCAAAGGTGCGCGTAGAAAGATCCTGAGAGTTGGCATCTCTCAAAGTAATTTGCATGCTTGATTACCACAAGGGTCGGCCCAATTGTCAATTTGAATTGACACATAGTTGTTAATGATCAGAATTCCTTCCACGCTCTGTCTCTTTGGCATTTCTAGAGGTTCATTAGACGTTTGGAGGCTTTCATACTCGGGATTGATGCCGCTGGAGCCTAGATGTGATATTTGTAGTCGGGCTGCAGGCTCATTCCTTCGCTGGCAGCTACCTAGTCCTATGCTTGATATCTTCGTCAACGGCAACTGAAATCCGTGTTCACGTATCAAGGGGCTCAGTAAAAGAGAAAACACCAAGCCCAACATTAGGATGAATTATATTATGCGGTTAATGAATATTTCAGATAGAACTTGTCTCCACAGCATCTTGTGACCGTTTGCGAGCACTGTTCTCGACCTTTATCTCAATTGTTTTAGTGATCCCTGAGGCGAGAGTATAATCGATCATGCCAAAATCGCGTGTACTCCTGTCTGAGCCGTCGCTCACATTCTCTGGCGGGAAGAGCGAAGAACGACTTGTGCCGGACTCCCTCCGAACCTGTAACTTTACTCGCTTTCCACCGCTCCAGACGGAGGCGACCTGTGTTCCATTGCCTCCAGCCGACGGCAGTCGTTCTTGACTTGAATTCCGTCTATTTGCAAGCCGGAAAGATGAATTCTCATGAGTCGTCTGTTCATGCACTAGGCGGGAGACCAGTATGTCAATGCTGCAATGGAAATTAGTCTTTCAAAGTAACTTAATCGGTGAAGAGACAAACTTACAAGATCATTACCGGAAACATACACTCAAGAGTGTACACAAATCTGTCGATTTGGCCTGCCACTGTCCGGGCTTGCTGAACTGCGGGTTGAAAAAAGTAGGTGACTGCCCTTGTAACTCCGATTAATGCCAGGATGGCGAGGCGAATCTCTGTGCTTCGCATCAAATGCTGGAAGAGCGTCGATGCGATTGATGCCCCTTGTGATATCGACTTCGCCGCGGCAAATTTGCGCAGGAGGAAGAAAGCGCTGAGACACTCAAGGACAGCCAGGGATGAGAAATAGCCAACATGGAGACCGTTGATGGTCGGCATTAGATCAGACTCTCCATTTACGAGTATCTTCACCCGAGAAACCAGTATCATCATTCTGAGAACAAAGATGGTGCCTATCACTATCCAGAAAAGAGTCATGAAAACGATACGGTCGCGGCTGCGCAGGACGCGGGTGAGAATAGCATAACTGTAGAAGGAAATGCCTGCTTCTTGAATCTGAAGTTGGATTAGATTGAAGTCTATCCGTATGAGCCTGTACTGGAAAGAAAAAGCAAACGCGGCGTACCATCCACATAACATCCGCAACACCAGACGCGACCGCCGTATTCAAGATGGGGTAGTCTGCATAGAAGCTGTAATAACATAACCCATTTGCGATAGAGCCTGCGACAGAAACAACAATTGGTATAAGTGATACTGGCGAAAAGGCCGTGATGCCAGCAATGATGAAGCCAAATAGCGTATTGGCCACGCCGATAGTGCTCAAGATGGCCCAGCTTGTCTCGAAGTAAACGACAGCCATCGCGGCGCCTTGGGTTGCAGGCGCATATGCAACTTCACAGGGTCAAAGCTTCCACATCACGGCCTCCACATTTGTCTTATACACTTTGTGATGTGCGGCGGGCGCAGTCAGGAACATAGAACGCCCGCTACGCCCCCCCCCTTCCTTCTTACTGCAGAAGCTGAATCTGTTACGTAGACACCATTTCCGGTTCCTTCTCTTGCGCTCCAATGGCTCGTTTCCGAGCCACATCTTGGATTTGTGGCTGGCATCAGGATTCGACGCGCACCAATGAGCATTGCGGAGGGCTTGGACTAATACCGGTTTGTGGGGTGAAAGCTGGGGAAGACATGAATGATCGTTTAGAACATGCGCCTATTTCCCCAGCTTTTGTCCGCTCAACGGCTTGATTGGTTCCCCGGTGATTGTCATCACTGCCATCACTGCAAGGTCGTATCACCACCGTTGAAGCCGGTGGGATATATCTTTCCCCGCCTGCGGCCTTCAAATGAGAACCTTTTCACGCCTTCTCTACTCGAATAATCAGTCGCACGGCTGCCTGAGGCGTTGTTGGCATCCCTAAAACGTGTACCATGTCCCTCCAGAACCATGCCCATGCATGCTGGATCACACGAGAGATGGTTCACGCGTGTCTGGCAGTTTTGCGCTAGACTAGTAACCATACAACCTTGAAGACAGGAAGGGAATAGCGAGACCATTATACCTAGAGTCTTGCAGGTTGAGTGGCAGCCAACAGAGGCTGGTCAGACGACTCTTTGACCTTTTGTCCAAGCATGGATGTCTTCTAGAAAGAGGTTTAGGCAACCGATCGAGGAATCCTTCCCCTCCTGCGGGCTCACCTTCCCAGCATGGATTGAGTGTCCGTCATCTTGCGTGCCTCAATACCAATGAGGGCAATGATCTTAACCTTTCAGCTCGACGGGCGCCCCGAGGGGGATATTTGCCGGAGCAAGAGAAGCGGTTAATATCACAACCTTGTCTACAGGACTCTGAAACGTCGAGTTACACCTGCTTTAACGTCACAACATAGTCGTACAGGTACACATCTTCTTCTGAAATTGGCGGGGTAGAGATCAAGCAATCCGAATTGGGCCGCTTCTTCCTGCATGATGCATCTTGGCCACATGTTTCCCACATGGCAATAATATCGGCACGCGATTTCCTGCAGATCCTTTTACCGGTGAGGTTCGCATGGAAGACTTTTCGAAGAAGGTTATTGCCATCGCTTACGCACCACAGTCTTCCGCCATCTTCCACGAAGGCATATGCTTTAAATTGTGCTTGAGGTCAGCTCGAGCTGCGCCACTTTCCGACGGCTGTATTCGAATGCAAGACACACTCTCATGAGTTCATCTATGATTCAGTTCTTTTCCATCACGAAAGCATCCTAGACTTCACATCATCCAGCATGCTGCTCTTCACAAAGCCTATGCCCCCGAAGATCAGAAAGAAGAGAGCGAGGACAGGTACGTAGTCAGACAGGTGCCGAGGACGGGATGGAACATATAGCTGACAGTGTCGACATATAGGTTGCTCTAGCTGGTAGGTGATCTCATGCCTCGGCTGATTGGTAGTTGCTCACACCTTCCCAGCAAAGAAGCGAGAAAAAAGTGCTGCGAGCGGAAGCCTCGATGCACACGCTGCACAGAGAGAGGGTTGGAGTGCATCTACAACCCTGTCGAGCCGCGTCGCAGCAAACATACCAGCGGGATAGCCTTAAAGACTCCCCGTAGTGTTTCTCCGACGCAACACTTCAGATCAAGACGATCCTTAGAAGTTGTCTCAGATGGGGGCTTCACTGAACATCCAAGGGACGCTCACTCTACATCAAGTCACTCGCCCCCTGAGACACTAGATTGGGCCAGCTTCAGCCAATTCGACTTTTGTGACAAACCAGTTGACCAGCTCACAAATTTCGATCGAGAGAGCGATTCACTGAGTAGCTCACGGTTCGAATTTGTCCCGCTTAACGCCGAGTTATCCCAATCCAATGCCATCGATATCGCGTCTCTTCTATCTGGGCTGGAAATACCGCAGCCGTCATTCTCTAACATGACAGACTGTGCCCATGAAAGGAAACTCGTTCATCATTTCTCCAGTGTTCTTTCCCACCTGATTGTCTTCACGGAAGAGCCGGACAACCTTTTTCAGGGCCTCATTCTACCCCTGTGCTCTGATAACTCACCCGTCCTAAACGCTATGTGCGCCTTCGCCAAGGGACATCTTGAGTACATGGGCGTGCAAGACTCCAAACATTCTTCAAACTACAGAGTTCTTGCTGCTGAGGGGGTCTTTCAACTTGTGCAGCAGAATTGTCGGCAGGAAGAGGTCTTGGCGGCAACCATGCTGCTCGTGTACTACGAATCTGTGAGCATTTTCCCCCAACAGCCCTTGAGGATAAGGCCAATGCTGACTAGTAGAAGCTCACCTTAACAGGAGCCACCAACATGGTTCTTGAGCACCTGAGAAGCGCCTTTCTTGTGCTGAGTTCGATTACTCTATCCAAGAAGACCCGTAGTATCTTGTTTCTTGAAAAGGTACGTGTGTTGGCAACCAAGATCTTACTGAAGCCATGACTAATTCAGCGAGAAGGCTTTCCAATTTTACGACGTCATCACAGCCCTTTCTTTAGGACGTAGTCCCGTGTCTACTGTACCCGCAACTGAGCAGGTCTACTCTATGGCATCACCCTCGTCCAAGTCAGCCCCAAACGGTCCTGTCGATCCACTCCTTGGTATGACTGGCAATCTGTGGCCAATTCTTTACCGTCTCAGCACTCTCAAGTCCTTAAAAGGGGACTTGGATGGCGCGGTCTCCAACAACCAACCAGCCAAAGCCGTTGTTCTTTTGATGGAGTACGAGTCCACAGTCAAGGCAGTGCAGAAGGCTCTCCAAGATTGGGCGCCTCCAGTACAGTCAGATGAGGACTTAGAACCCTTTTGCGATTCGGATGCCCAGGGCGCATTCCGCGCCATGGTCCACAACTCTATGGCATATCGTCACGGTGCTTTGGTATACCTGAATCGGTCCATCCACGACCACCCAGTCGACCATCCTGCGGTTCAGGAAAACTGCCATCTCACTCTGGAGAACTGTGTTGCGGTCATCGCATCCGGTGGACCGGTCAATGCGCTCCTCTGGCCTTTGTTCGTAGCAGCATGCGAAGCTATCACGGACCAGGACCGGGGCCTCGCAAGATACGCCTTCATTGAAATCGAACGAAGGCAGGGCATGATCAACATTGAGAGGGCTCGTGCTGTTGTTCTTCATCAGTGGGCTGCTGCGACGTCGGGAAAACTTAATGGCGGCTGCAACATGGGCGCTGAAGCCTGGAGGGAGGTTGCGGGGAGTATGGGAATGACAATTATTTTCGGTTAGGTTAGACACGGTAGAGGGGGCATACGGACACAGGACACTCGCTTCTTTTCATATTTACCCAAGGTATTTGTAGACACCATAATCACTAGACCATAATGTGTACTCCAGACGCCATAGGCACCACTAATCGACGGACACTATACACGATCTGCACACCACTCTTTCTTTGACAATTAGCTTAGCTTGCATGTTGCCGATGATGGTTTCCCGAGGTTGAGACCCAGGTGGGCGTGTAACCCCGGTCCGGTCCGTTGTGGGTCGATCGGAAGGCTCAGGACCGGGCCGCAAACTAGATCCCGTCAGCCACCGCCCTTCTCGGCTTGCCTGCAAACGTTTGGGCCAAGGAGTGAAGGAAATCATGGGCAGATGTCTGCTTATCTACACACTTCTTCTCGAACTCTCAGTAGGATGGAGTATGGCGTCTTCTTAACAAGACACCTTAAGCGCCCGGGATGTCTCGGCGCTTAGCCACCCCCATTGCATTGCCTCTTGATCAAACCCTGCAATCCAATGGCGTCCGCCCAAGCCTGGGATGAGTCTCCACTACAACGTCAAGGCAACACCGTGCAGGCCTCCGATGCCCACACTCTCGGTTTATCTAACGGCCCGCGCCTAGTGCGGCTGGTGGCATGATCCGCGATTCCGCCTCTCATAGACGAGCGCGCAGGCTGATTGACTTCGAAGTCCCGTCTTGATTGGACTATCTTTACCGGGATATTTCACTTCCACGCGGACGTGAGGCATTCGAGTGGCCCGTCTTAAGCCCCCCGGCATGGCTTGAAGGTATGTATGACCAGCGCAGTCCCAACCTTTTCAGACGTGAGTGACTGGACCTTTGTCCTACTCTTGCTGTACAATCTGTGGTGCAATCAGTCGAAGATGGACGACCAAAGACCTGTCCGGCTTCTTTCTTTGGGTGAGTCTCCCAGGTCGTGACACTCCTTTTCATGGTTGTCGACTTATACATGTGCTACGTTAGATGGCGGGGGTATCCGCGGGCTCTCCTCCATCTTGATTCTGAAAGAATTGATGCGCCATGTGAATCAAGATCGCGATCCCAGTAGCCAGCTTCAACCGTGGCAGGTCTTCGATCTCATCGGAGGTACAAGTACGGGCGGGTAAGGAAATAGCCTGCATCTCTCTACATGGTTTGGATCGGTTAATCTGACGGGGATCCCCCAAAGTATTATCGCCATCATGCTGGGATGTCTTCGAATGACAGTCGATGAATGCGAGGAGGCGTACATTCGTTTAGCAAAAACAATCTTCAAGCCGAAAAGATGGAAGTACAACGCCTTCAGCCGTAGTGTCGACTTCTTCTCCGCCAGCGAACGCTACGACTCATCAAAGTTGGAAAGTGTGGTCAAAGAAATCATCAAAGCACGAACGGGTAGCGAGGAGACCCCCCTGAGCAATTTAACGGAGGACGGCGTTGGGAAAGTGTAAGAGGAAGCAAGATCAACCACCTCCAGAACCTTGAGCTGACAGTGGAAAAGATTCGTCACCACGGTTCAGACGGACGATAATGAGCTGCTTTTGCTACGCTCGTATGAAACGAGGCAAGAACTCGACAAACATTCCAAACAGTTCCAGCTGTGGGAGGCACTTCGTGCCACATCAGCTGCCACAACGTACTTTAAAGAATATCGTCGCGGTAATGCTGGGTATTTGGACGGGGCGTTAAAGAGCAATAACCCGATCTTTCAAGTCCACCAAGAAGCTCGAGACCAGTGGCCCGATAGGGAGGCTTTCTTGATCAGCATCGGAACGGGCACAAAGCCTTCGGTTCCTCTCAGAGGGAATCTTATACATCTAGCGAGAACGCTGACGAAGCTAGTCACCGAGACCGAGGAAACGTGGAATCGATTCAGGGGGTCGCATAAGGAAATGTTGAAAGACAGTCTCCTGTTCCGTTACAGCGTCCCCGAGCTTGGAGGCGTGGATCTGGGAAACCACAAGTTGATGGGCGTGGTCCGCTCAAGTACGGAACGACATCTGCGAGAAGCATCGACGGAGAAGTATGTCAAGACATGCGCTCAGAAGATGGTGGAAATTGAGGAGGATAAATATGCATCATCGCGTACAGGAAAGCCCAGGGCGCTACGTTTAGAGGATCTCTCAGATCAGGAGAAAGGTGAGTAACGATTTCCTGTCTTTCTTGGATCGAACTGCGAGAATGTGGGAGCTGACTCAGTCACAGACTGCTTGCGAAGTCTTCACGCAACCAGCGGAGATTACGAAAGCCAGAGGCTCGGTATCGACAAGCCCGTCCCTGGGACCTGTAAATGGTTTCTTCGACACCAAAAATTTGTCAATTGGGAACGAGGCTCTGCCTCGTCTCTTCTCTGGGTGACGGCAAATCCTGGATGCGGCAAATCAGTTCTATCCAGCTTCCTAGTGGACACGTTGAATGACGAGAGTAGTCAGCCCATCGTCTGTTCGTTCTTCTTCAAAGCTGGCATCGATAGTCGCCGATCTTCACACCAGGCTCTCTGCGTCCTCTTGCATCAACTCTTCATCGCTGTTCCGGACCTGGTTCAGGCAGCGATGGGAGATTACTGTAGCAAGGACGTTCCCTCCTTCACCAAAGACGTCGAAGCACTCTGGGCTATTCTTTGCGAAGCCGTAAGCCGCCTCGGCAATCGTAAAGTCATATGTATCATCGACGCCCTTGATGAATGCTCAGATCAATCGAGGAATCGTCTCATCACTCAGCTTGTCACCGCAATTTCAGCCAACGGTTCCCTGAGTTCTGTCGGTAACCTAAAACTTCTCGTCACGAGCCGACCATGGCCGAGTATAGAGACTCGCTTCCGCAACTTGCTCTCCATTCGACTTCGGGGCGAAGACGAGTCGCCGTCGCTCTCTGCCGATGTGGAGAAAATGATTGAGCATCGAGTGCAAGAGCTCAAGAGATCTTCGTTTCTGTCCACGGAAGCCAGTTCCATGGTAGCCAAGATCTTGACCGAGGGAGCCGACCGGACGTTTCTCTGGGTGTCTTTGGTGTTCGATGCCATCGAACGGCTCCAGTCGCGAAAACTCAGCTCAATCGAACGGTCTTTGGAATCGTTGCCGGGCGACCTAGATCAGCTCTATGAGAGCGCATTGGCAGCATTCGTCGACCCCGAAGCATCTTACAAGCTGTTGGGTATAGTTCTGGCTGCCAAGCGTCCACTCAAGCTTGACGAGCTGAATGTAGCTCTCAATTTCGAAAAAGACACAAGCTCACTCAAGGCGTTAAGTAGAGAGCTCGAGCCCAATGTTGAGCATACCATCAAAGAGCTGGGAGGATTCTTCATCCGGATCATGGACTCGACAGTTTTTCTCGTCCACCAGACGGCGCGAGATTTTCTTCTTTCTCCGTGGCCGAGCCATCTTCATAAGCAACCAATTCACAAGATCGACCTCGAGCTGGCCAGTTTCGCTCTAGCAAGAACTTGCGTCGGCTTTCTCCAGCTCGAGGGCTTGCCCGTAAGACCGCATCTTCCCATGACAGAAGAAGAACGTGTAGAGTCGAACGAGACTTTGTTAGCCAAATTGCCAGGCTGGGTAAAGAGCTTTTATGTCTATGCCTCGACGGAGTGGGCGTCACACCTTGGGGGCGACGAAGTATTCAAGTCTGCGTCTGACATATTCAATGCTGTCCGTTCCATCTGCGACTCTTCGAAACCATATTTCAGTGCTTGGTGGTACCTGTACGTGGATGGTGAGTTCTTCGCCGGCAGTGAAAAGCGGCATTCCCGGTTCGGTGATTACGCCGGTCGTTGTTTTGCCCATTGGTCAACATTGAAAGGCTCTCCGGCTGCTACGCGAGGTCTGCTTGAATCGGGGACAAGCGTGGCAGGAGAACAGGATCCATATGGACACGACCTCCTCTATCACTGTGCATCCCATGGAGCTGAGCAAGCTCGTTGGATTCTTGAGCATACCGATCATACAACCTTAAACCTGTTCCAATCTTTGGAACATTCAGTTTTGCGAGAAAATCTAAAGATGTTTCAACAACTTCTCCAAACAAAAGTACGAATCAGTTTGACAGAGGACGAAGCACACGCGAGATTCTTGTTTTTCACTCTGCCTGCTCTCCAACGACACACGTTTCTTGAAGCTCTACTGGACAGGGGCATGGCAATCTATGGCAAGGACTTTGTGGCAGCTGCTTCTGACGGATACAATAAATCTTTGGCTCTCCTAATAGACCGCAGGTCCCAAACCATCAAGGACTTGACGCAAGTTCTCAAAGAAGCATTGGTTCGAGCGACGGAAGAGGGCTACCCGCGTTGCCGGACTGTGTTGCTGGAGCATCTTCCTTCCGATGCCGCCATCGGCCTGGACTTGTCCCCAGGCTTGTTACAAGCTTCCTATCGGGGTGATAGTCGCAGCATTCGCGAGCTGGCTGCCATAGGAGCCTCGGACAAGGGGGAGGGTCTTGCCTTCAGCTGTACCGTAGGACACGCAGAAACTGCAAGAGCATTGGTCGACAGCGTAGCGTACCCTCGCGAGGTTCTCGTAGAAGGTTTATCGACCTACTACGACACTAACATGGGGCTCGAGTTGAAAGAAAACTGCATCAAAGTTATGGGGAAAGTTGTGGCTTCTCGGGGCAAGCTCTTTGAAGGATTCAGAATCGTTCCAGTATTTGGGTGCTCCTTCGAAGAAAGCACGCAACTGCTCGAACTATTTTCGGCAAAGGGCATTCGCGTTTCCCGCCGGCGTTACGTGGAGGTGACGGCGATGGTTGTTGCGATGGACGACCGGTTTGGCCACTGGCTGGCAAAAGCTGCCGGAAAACTCCAAAACGACGATCCTGCTTTAGCGGCCAACGACTTTTTTCTGTTGGCCTGTTTCTGGGGTAAACCCTCCCTAGTTCAGCTCGGCCTTTCTGAGATTGTCGACATCAACAAGCAAGATGGCTCCGGAATTACCCCTCTCATGGCAGCGACAGCATCCGGTAGTCTACAGATTGTGAGACTGCTTCTGGAAAAGGGTGCTAACCCCGATCGGCGATGCAAGGCACTGATGCCACAACGAGACATCATGTCGGATATTGAGTGGGAGTTGGCTAATCTGTGCACTCATTTCGCAAGAGGGCTCGGCGCCGAATGCCTGGAGGGTAGCCCTCGCTCTCTCGCTAGGCAGATGGGGCAGGTAGAGATCGAGGAAGTATTGAACAAGTTTGTATGAGTTGTTGTGATGGATTTTAGCTCGGGCGTTGTCTTGCAGTCAAGGCTGTGTCCGGACATTGTAAGACCGGGTCTTTGAGAGTTCACCAGATTCGACGAGGATTTTCTTGTCACATTAATAAATGTGATCCGGGCTTCTGGAATTCGTTGGATGTTTGTCGTCACTGCGCCTTGTGATGCGACTTGTCATGCAGGAGTAGGGCGTTGCACGGTTGGATCTGCAGCGGGACTCGGTAATAGCAAGGATTATTCAGCCTCAAAAAACTGCATCGTTACCAATGCCAATTGGAATTGCCTGCAAGATTTTGTAAAGAATGAGCCAGATGGGGGCGATGGGTCACCGAGTAATCGCCGTCCTCTCTAGGATTAGAAGCCCGAGCTGAGCTGAATCAGCAAGACAATGATCAAACAGAAGCAGTTCGTACGGAGTACTTAGAGGCCTATCGGTGTTTGAAGGCAATCTGGAAGGTGCGTTGTTGTAACTTATGGAATCATCACGGGCAGCGACAGCCGAGCTGACTTCCACGCGACGGCCGAGCCGTTGCGGCAGGGGAAAGAAAATTGGAAGGGAGTCAAGGGACAGCGACCTGGAGGGGTACCTACTGGACAGCGACCCGAGATATTACTTGTGTTTGTATGAGAACTACTACTTGAACATAAGTATATGTATATCGGGTGTCCCGCAGATGGATGCGTCTCGCGTCATCGATCCCCTGTACCCCTGACAAATCAAGAAGGAAATTTACTACGGAGTAGCAGCGTCCATGTCACTACCCTACTCCGTTCTCCGTACCGGTAACGCGCATTCCACACAACTGGGAAGCACCAAATCCGAGCTCTCCTTCCTCAACTTTTGCTGCATTACACTATCAGACGCCCATTGCTCGCCCAACCACACACGTTCCTTCCCCCCTCCGAGGTATATAGTTTGTTTCCTCCCGCGTCACCGCCGTAGTGCCCCTCCTTCCATCCCACATGTCTACCAGACTCTTCCGTCCTTTTCAACGCATCGCGACATCTTCACTTTCTACAACATACCGAACCTTCCATTCTACATCGCCCAACATGGTTGTCCATAACGTCCGCAGGTGAGTTCTACCCTCATCATTCATGTCACTGACACGGCCTTCAATCTGCATGCTCCAAAGGGAACTCGGATCTGCTGCAACATTTTACAATCTGCTAACCGTATGTGTGTTCTAGCGCCGAGGAGTGGAAGGAGACCCTCGCCAAACACCCTGTTGTCCTCCTTGACTGCTTTGCCACCTGGTGCGGTCCTTGCAAGGCCATCGCACCCCACCTGGTCAAGTAAGTTTCAAACACTCGAAAAGGTCAACAGTGCTACATGGACCACGCGCTGATTATCCCACCTTGCACACAGGCACTCGGACAACGAGGAATTCAAGGACGTCCACTTTGTCAAGATTGATGTCGATGAGGTCCCCGACGTGAGCCAAGAGCTCGGCATTCGTGCCATGCCTACCTTCATGTTCTTCAAGGATGGCAACAAGGCCCAGGAACTCGTCGGCGCCAACCCCCCCGTTCTTGAGAAGACCATCAAAGCTGTTGTCAAGGAATATAAGGATGCGGAGGCTGAGAAGGCCAAAGCCGCTGGATCGACCGAGGAGGTCCCCGCCGAGAAGGCCGCAGCAACTGAGGAGGTGAAGCAGGAGTAAGGAATGAACATGTGTGCGTCAAGAGGAGGGGGCCGAAAGGAAGACGGCTACCACGTGTAGGGCGTGTCCATAATTTAAGATACCATATAAGAAGAGAAAAAAAAACTGATCTTAAGACTTGCAGGAGGTCCAGGCCGAGAACAGTGTTGCTGCACTTTCTAGCTATGTACTGTCCGATATTGGCCACTCGGCAATGCTTTCAATTTGTTGTGCAGAACCATACAAGCCAAAGCAAGCGCAAGCGTCGCAGCATACTAATGTAGTACTAGAGGATGTGTTGCTGTGACATCATAACATTGATTTGACCTTACGCAGACGTCGTGATTCCTCTCAAGGTCTTTCTTGTGAAATATCATTGCAGTGAACTAGAGTCACTCTCTGGAGTTGACTCTAGCAAAGCGACGTCTGACATAGGGCCGCCTGTCGTGTCACTCTGTTTGAAGCGCGACAGGCTGTCCATATTAATGACCACTAATCTATCGTCAGGATGGCGGACGCGCAACGGCATTCATCGGCTCTTGGCGGTCGGTTTCCGCTTTATGGCCGGGAGGTGACTCAAAAAATAGGCAAAAAATACAGTAAAGTTCATGACCGTTGGGCCCCGCGCCGGTTTTCGGCTCGGCGTGGGCGGGGACACTTGCCCGCGGGAAGGGGGGGCGCCCTGAATCGACAACATGGGTGTTGTTAATTGGGAGATAAACATGGCGCGATAGTGGGAGTGCATGCAGACATAAGTCGCCCAAAGGCGTTGGTTGACATATTTCAAAGCTCCAAGTTCACTATCTTGGTTCGTCCATGATACTTTAGAGCTGAGCAGATCTATCCTGCCCAATTACATCCAAAGATAAAGAAGCTTGCAACCAACAATACCTTCCCAAAAGTACTTATTCATTATATATACCTCCCCAACTCACCAACTTTGCTTGAGATACAATCACAGCATTGAGATGTGATAGCTTATATCGCGACAAGAAGATTTCACAATGACCAACAACATTGTTGTTCTCGGGTAAGCAGACTGCAGACCCTCTCGATATCCAGTCACTCACCGTGTCCAGCGCCGGCGTCTCAGGCCTGACCGCCGCCCTGCTGCTATCCAAGAGCAAAGGCAACTCCATAACTGTCATCTCCAAACACATGCCCGGCGATTATGATATCGAGTACACTTCGCCCTGGGCTGGCGCCAACATGCTGCCGTAAGATCACGCACCTCCCTCAGCGCCAGAGACATGGAACTAAAGCTAGATTCACAGCATGGCCCCAGAGTTTGACAGCAGGTGGGAGCGCAGGACGTGGCCTGAGCTGAACCGTCTCGCCGACGAGGTCCCCGAGGCCGGTATTCACTTTCAAAGTGCGTAGTCTCTACCTAGAGCGCAGCAACCGTGTATGAAACCCCCCAAAACGCTGACCCTCTCACCAGAGAGCCGCGTCTTCAGACGCAAGAAGGACATTGAGGCCGGCGGCAACCCGTACGACGCGCTCTACGCCGTGGACCCGTGGTACCGCAACGTCCTCCCAGACTACCGGGAACTGAACAAGGACGAGCTGCCGCCCAATGCCTACTCCGGCTCCGAGTTCACCTCGGTCTGCATCAACACGGCGCTCTACCTGCCCTACCTCGTAGGCCAGTGCCGCAAAAACGGCGTCGTCTTCAAGCGCGGCGACATAGCCCACGTCAACGAGCTCACGGCGCTGCACCACTCGGGCCAACCCGCCGACATCATCGTCAACAGCTCCGGGCTGCTAGCGTGCAAGCTAGGCGGCGTGGAAGACAAAAAGGTCGTCCCCGCGCGCGGGCAGGTCGTCGTCGTGCGCAACGAGGTCGAGCCGATGGCGACCATCTCCGGCACGGACGACGGGCCGACCGAGGTGTGTTACATGATGACCCGGGCGGCGGGCGGCGGGACGATCCTGGGCGGGACCTACGACAAGGGCAACTGGGACGCCAACCCGGATCCCAACATTGCGATCCGCATCATGAAGCGGTGCGTCGAGCTGTGCCCTAGCTTGACGGGCGGTAAGGGCATCGAGGCGCTGAGCATCATCCGCCACGGCGTCGGTCTACGGCCGTACCGCGAGGGCGGGCTCAGGCTTGAGATTGATAAGACGACGTTGGCGGATGGGACGCCCATTGTGCATCATTATGGCCATGCTGGATGGGGGTACCAGGGGTCGTATGGTACGGCTGAGGGTGTCGTTGAGTTGGTGAACCAGATTCGGGCGGGTAAGGGTGAGAATTTGGCTGCTGAGCCCAAGCTCTTTTCCTGGGACCGGCCGAGCAAGTTGTAAGCTTGTTGCATGGTGTGAGGTTAGATTTGAGTTTTTGAATGGCCATTGAGTTATATGAAGCGAATAAAGAATTAGAAGAAACAATAATACGCAGTAAGCTGAAGTTGACAAACCAAAGCCGTCTGACAATGGGTGCCTCTTCCACCACAGTGTGGCCGGCCCCCAAGATGGCAAAGGCGGCACCGTGCAATTTGGACCCTGCAGCCACGAGTGCAACCTCCACCTGCCGTTCGCGACAGCTTTCAGAAGCTCCCCCGTGCATCGCCAATCTTTCCCGACCTGCGCAATTCAGCCCGCGACGCCTCACCATGGCCGAGCCAGCGCCCCCAATCCCAATCTACGTGCAAGCGTCTCGCTTTGTGCTGGACGTAGCCAATGGCCGGCATGCGCTCTCCAAGGCCGTTCCGCCCGTCCTCCTTGCCCTGGATGCCGTCCTCTGTGGGCTCATCATCTGGAAGATCCCCTGTGAGTAGCGCCCACCTCCAGAAAGGAAGTGGTCGGACGATTTACTGACGTGGCATTGTAGATACGGAAATCGACTGGGTAGCCTACATGGAACAAATCTCCCAATACGTCTCGGGCGAGCGCGATTATACCAAGATCAAAGGCGGCACCGGACCTCTCGTATACCCTGCCGCCCACGTGTACACATACACGGGCCTATACTACCTCACCGAAGAGGGCAAGAACATTTTCCTGGCCCAGCAGCTATTTGCTATCCTATACCTGGCGACTCTTGCCGTTGTAATGGCCTGCTACTGGCAAGCAAAGGTACGCCATCTGCTCCTGCCCCCCCCCCCCCCCAGAATTAAGCTAGCTCGACGTTTGAATGCTGACGATTCTCTCCCACAACCAGGTCCCGCCGTACATCTTCCCGCTCCTGAGCCTCTCGAAGCGCCTCCACAGCGTCTTTGTCCTGCGCTGCTTCAACGACTGCTTCGCGACCCTCTTCCTCTGGCTCGCCATCTTCTTCTTCCAGAAGCGACTATGGACACCGGGCGCCGTCTTATACAGCTGGGGCTTGGGAATCAAAATGTCGCTGCTGCTCGTCCTTCCCGCCGTGGGCATCGTGCTCTTCCTCGGACGCGGCTTCGGGGGAAGTCTCCGCGCGGCATGGCTCATGGCACAGGTACAAATCGTCATTGGGATCCCCTTCGTCTCGAACAACGCAAAGGGGTACCTCGGCCGCGCCTTTGAGCTGTCACGGCAATTCTTCTTCAAGTGGACGGTCAACTGGCGCTTCGTGGGCGAGGAGACCTTTCTCAGCAAGCCCTTTTCAATTGCACTACTAGGACTGCACGCGACGGCCCTGCTCGTCTTCGTCTTCACGCGGTGGCTCAACCCCACGCAGAGACCCCTGTCCTCCCTGCTCCCGGCGATGCTCCAGGGCAAATCTCCCTTCTCGGCGCTGGAAGAGGCCCAGGTGGCCAGCCGTGTGACGCCGCGCTACATCCTCACGACGATCCTGTCGGCCAACGTCATGGGCCTCCTCTTTGCGAGGTCTCTCCATTACCAGTTCTACGCCTATCTAGCCTGGTCGACGCCGTACCTGCTCTGGCGCAGCGGTCTCCCCTTTTACGTGGTGTATATCCTCTGGGCGGCGCAGGAGTGGGCGTGGAACGTGTACCCCAGCACGGACTTGAGTTCCGAGTTTGTCGTGGGCGTGATGGCGGTCACCGTGGCGGCTACGTGGTTCGGCACGGCGGATGAAGGGGCGCCGGCCGAGAAGCCAGAGTCGATGAAGCGGTGATGCGGTGGTGGTGGTGGTGGTGGTGGTGGTGGTTGTGTTTGACCAGGGGGATCATTCAAGTCATGTAAAAGTAAAGTCGCATTTCGCATCAGTAGTCGTCCTCGGAATCGGATGGCGGCATCTTGCCAACATTGGACTCTTCTTCGTCGCTGTCTTCGTACGTGTTGGTCTTTACAAACTCTTTGGGCCTGGCAGTAGTATGTGGGTCAGTAAGTGAAGTGATGCAGTGTTGCAGATATGTGGATGAGCTCACCAGTAAGCTTGCTTGCGCCAGGCCTTCTCGTCGCGGACAACATTGATAATCTCGCCCATGACGCGCCCATCATTCTCCTCATACCTCTCCGCCAAGACGAAGCCGCCGCGCTTGATCCAGATGGTGTTGCGGAAGCGCTGGGCGAGCTCGAGGACAAAGTCCTTCTTGTTGGGCAGCTCGCAGGCATACAGGTTGTTGCCCTCAGCTTTCACGACGCGCACGATGGCCTGGTTCTTTTCCAGGGTGGCGGGAGGGGTCAGGGTGTCTTCGGCCGCCTGGAGGGCGGAGCGCTTTGGTTTCCCCATGGCTATGTGGCTTGGCTGGCTGGCACGATGTTCGAGATTCAGCAAGATGATGGGATCAGGGAACTTTTTTTTTGGTGGTGGTTGTGGTGAGTGACTATGGTGGGGTAATTTTCCCATCTAAGGATTTTTTTTTTGGAGGGTGAAGGCGGGGTGATGGAGTACGTACTCCGGGCACCTTGATAGCTCTCAGGTTCTTCGTCTCAAGACCAAAAATCGAGAAGCGTTCAGTCACTCCAACTACTTGAAGAGCAATTGAAACAATTACCAAACTGGTGCTTTATCTTCTTGCCTCATTCACTCCGTTTAGTATCACACCCAGCAAGAAATTGACCACAACGGGTATGGCAAAACACCGGCATCTCCAACCGGCGCACACCCCGCAGACGACCCGAGCTTCTGCCGGCGGAGCTTCTCCGCGCCCCGGCACCGGGGACAGGAACACTGGACCGACAACCTGGCCGCGCTAACATGTCTTTTCCCACGCGGTCTCGGGTCCGCCATCAACAAACCCCCTCCAAAGAGTCTGGAAACCATTTTCCCTCTCTCCCCAACCTCCCGTAGCTAGTGCTCACCTTGCTCTAGCGTTTGACGCTGATCAATCATTGCTCGTGACACAACAGCTGTCTAGGTAGCTCGCTCATCATCCGTACTCGATATTCGTACGTCCAAGAGGACGGAGGGCAGTGGCCATCACCAAGAAGTCTTGCGCATCTGTTGCTGCAGCATCCCGTTTGCTTTCACACCGTCTCGATTCCATCTCCAATCGCAATCGGCCCGTCCCCCACATGCCTGCTTTCCAACCGGGGATATCTATCGTATGCCATCAAGTCCCCCTCTCATCACATCCATGGGAAGCTAGACCGACTCCAGCTCGCCGGCATAGCACGAGGCCGCAACTTCACGAGATCGGACCCCATTTCTCTTCCTTCTCGCGAGCCTAACAGTTTTTTAGTTTTTCTCTCTCTGTCTATTCCAAAGCCCGGGTGGGGTTCCATGCAGGACTATCTGAACCCTGCATATGCTTCTTGTTCACAGGCTTGAGATAATAAAACCCTGACCCGCAGGGGGAGAGGAGGCTCGCACACCTTAGACGCCATGACGCTCTGGGAAAGTTGAACAGTTTTGTCAAGGATCCACGGTGGCTGCGACTATCGTGAGATTTTCCATTACTGTACAATTTTGCAACCTCCTCAGGTGGTCTTTTAGCCCTTTAATCGGATTACCTGCCGTATTTGTAAAAGCTTTCTCTACCTTAGGTACTCACCTACTTACTTACATAGGTACCTTGGTGACTCACTTATTTTTTCACCACTAATCACATAATACTTGAACCATTGAACTCCTCCCACATCGATTCCTTCCACTCTCACTTCCCTCAACCAAGGCCTTGGCCAGCGTGTTCCCACCAGAACCCTGAACCCAATTTCGCCAAGTTCCCCCCCGCCCTAAGACTCCAAACATGGAGGCCACAATGTTCAAGACCCTCGTCGAGGTCGAATCCCGCGACCTAGACGCCCACCCTCCCCTTCTCCCCGCCGCCCCCGCCAAGGCCGTTCCGCGAACCTACCCGGGCGCACCGCACCACCGCGACGGAACCTCCATCGAGCTCTCCCGTATCGACACCACCACTGCCAACTACAACAACAAGAGCAGAGCCGAGACACCGCGGGGCAGTGCCGGCCCGTCCCGGGCTCAATCGCCGTCCCGGACCCCCGGATCCGGAAGCGATGTCGAGATGAGCCGGCCCTCGACCCCGACGGCATTTGACGTCTTGCAGAGCATCACCGACCCGCACATGAACCGCTACCGCATGGCGGCGTCGTGCCTCATGAACTTTGGCAACGGGCTCAACGACAGCGCGCCGGGTGCCTTGATCCCCTACATGGAGAAGTAAGTCCTCCATACCTTGGCCCGGAGAGCGACAGACTAACACCACACGCCAGACACTACGACATTGGCTACGCAATCGTATCCCTAATCTTCATAGGCAACGCAATAGGCTTCATCTTCGGCGCCGTCTTCCTCGAATCCCTCCGCCTCAAACTCGGCCGCGCCCGCCTCCTCGCCCTCGCCCAGTCCATCATCACAGTCGCCTACGCGCCCATCCTCGCCCAGGCCCCCTTCCCCGTCGTCGTCGTCTCCTTCTTCCTCATCGGCTTCGGCATGTCCATCACCCTCGCCGTCAACAACGTCTTCTGCGGCTCCCTCCGCAACGCCACCACCGCCCTCGGCTTCATGCACGGCGCCTACGGGGCCGGCGGCACCGTCGGTCCTTTAATTGCTACCGCGCTCGTCACGGCTGCGAGGGCGCGGTGGAGCACGTATTACTTCATCCCCCTCGGCCTCGCCATCTTCAACGGCGTGTTTTCGACCTACACGTTCTGGCACTACGAGCGCGACCTCGCCGCCGGCGGCGCCCAACCCACACCCGCCGAGGCCGTGGCATCCACAAAGTCCTCCTCCCAGCTCCTAAGCATGTTCACCGCCCTCAGAATCCGCATCGTCCTCCTCGGCGCCCTCTTCATCTTCGCCTACCAGGGCGCCGAGGTCTCCATCTCAGGCTGGGTCATCTCCTTCCTCATCGCGACGCGCAACGGCGACCCAGAAGCCGTAGGCTACGTCACGGCCGGCTTCTGGGCGGGCATCACCATCGGCCGGCTCTGCCTCTCGCACCTGGCCCACCGCGTCGGCGAGAAGCTGTTTGTTTTCCTCGCCACGGCCGGCGCGGCGGTCTTTCAGCTCCTCGTGTGGTGGGTGCCCAACGTCGTCGGCCCCGCTGTGTCTGTTGCGATTGTCGGGTTACTGTTGGGGCCGATTTATCCCTGTGCGGCGGCCGTGTTTATGAGGGGGATGACGAGGCGGGAGAGGGTGAATGGGATGGGGGTAATTAGTGCGTTTGGGAGCTCTGGCGGGGCGGTGGCGCCGTTTACGACGGGTATGGTTGCGCAGGCTGCTGGGCCTTGGGTTTTGCATCCTATTGCGATTGGGTTGTTTGCTTTGATGATGGCTTCGTGGTATGGAGTGCCTCATAACAGGAAGAGGAGCGTGTGAGAGGGTGGTTTACAAAGGGGGTGACATTGGCGGGAACCTCGAACCACCAAAACGAAAGATATCTTGCTATGCATGACCATCTATATGGCTGGCCTAGCAGGAAGGCTCCCAGGCTGTAACGAAATTGGAAGGTAGCGTTTGCTTTACACTACTTTGGATGAATACAAAAATGAACATAATTCGGATTGGCCATGTCCTATACCAGGTTCTTATGGCGTCAATACTATGAAAGCTGTACATCTGCAAAACATAATCAAAGGCAACAGTGTGGCATTGCTCGTTTGTATATCCCGTAGACCCCAGTCTATGTCTATATCTAACATCAAAAACGGAAATCCCTATTCTACCGTCAACGCTTTATTGGTATCTATACCGCCTCTGTTCTCTACCATCCTAGAGACCCATCTTGTATCCCTCTACATGTCCATCGTTCCGTTACGTTCATCGTCTAGTGGATACGTCCCCGCGCGGCGTCCTTGACGCTGAGCTTGCCCTCGACAATCTGCTTGACCGTGGACAGGATATCGGAGAAGTCGTTGAAGGTGACAAAGGAGATGCCCTCCTTTTCGCAGTACGCGACGAGATCTATCAATCATTGTCAGTGACATCCCATCACAGTCGATATCGCGAGACAGCGAAATCATGGTGGGGGCGGGGTAATTCAGAGAGGACTGAAAAAAAAGAAAAAGAAAAAACAACAAGGGTCTCACCTTTATCGCGCTTGGCAAACAACAAATCCGTCTCGCGCGCAGCAGACAAATCAGAAACACCATCACCAGCATAAAACATGACAGGCCGTTCAGGCAGCGACGAGTACTTGCGCAGCTCAATCGACTTGTCGTGCCCGTGGACGCTATCATCGTGATAGACAATCTGCCACCCGCCCTCCTCGTTGATACTCGCCTTGCCCTCGCGCGCCGCAACCTGGTTGCTCACAATCTGGATATGCCCATCCACCTCCTCCTCGCCCAGCCACTGCACGAGCAGCGCGCGAATGATGGGCCTCATGCCGCCCGAGATAATCACGACGGGGACGTTGTTGGCGCGGCACCAGGTGTAGAACTCCTTGAAGACGGGGTCGAGCTTGACGTTGCTCTTGAGGTACTCGATGCACTGGTCAAAGGGGAGCTTGACGGAATCCATCATCTCCTGGAAGCTGTCGCGGAAGTGCTTCTTGCCTTCGAGGACGAGGAGGTTTCCGGCGCGGCGGTTCTCGTAGCCGTAGCCTACGTTATCTGTGAGGAAGTCGTTGGAGTCTTCGAGGGTGATTGTGCCGTCAAAGTCGGTGAAGAAGATGAAGTTTGGGTTCGTGGCCAGGGCCGGGGTTTCGCTGACGTGGGAGCCCATTTTGGTGGTCTTGATGTTTGTAGATGCTGGAGAGCAATGTCAAAAGGTAGGATGCTTGGAGAGATGGAGAGAAAACAAGTGAATGTTTCTCCGGAGGGTGCGAGGGCGGGAAGTTGGCGGGTGGTTGTGTTTTTTCTTTGGGGGGTTTTTAGGGACTGTAATATTTCAGATGGAGGGGGAGGGGTAAAGATCTAAAGGCTCGGAGGATTGCCAACAGATTTAGCACAGACTATAGATCCTTGTATGCGCCAGTACCTGAGATGCAGATTGAGGAAAATTCCATCGATGCTTTACGTGGAACGGCACGCTACATCCCCAACCGGAGGCTTCAAATCGAGATACTCCGCGCTTCTCACTGCCTGTACTTATTGGTCGTACTCACTACGACCATTGTGGCCCATCCTTGAGTCAAGCTGGGAATACAGCATCCTCAACACTCGGTAATACTCTCCAGTCTCTAACAAGACTTGGTCCAAGTCAGAGGGAAAATCCACCGTTAAGTCCCGCTCCAGTGACGACATCCGCCCCTCCCATCCGACCGTCGCTTTGACGGACCCCTGTAACGAGTCAGCGCGCGGACAATGGACCCTGAGGACGCAGATGGCCCGTGGCTGCGGGAATATGGTAGTTGCTTCAGTGCTTACTTGGCGAGTACTTTGCGGATTAGTCTCCGAGTCGAGGACCATTCTTAGCTGCAAGTGACAACACGTGGGTGTCGTGCCGTATTCTCAGACTCTTCAAGACGAGACATTCCCAGTCAACGAGCTGAATAGAACGATAAAATCCAGTCAAACAGATGATCAGCTGTGAAAACAAATTTGTTCGATTCAATTCAATTCTCAATTCATTCTAAGGGTTTATCTCCAAAGTCTTCTAAGTTGCCAACGCACCATAGCAATTGTCCAAGGTCAAGTAAATGATTTCTTCAACTTACAATTCTTCTCACGCTTGACACAATATCAACGTGAGGAATGACTGCCCTAATATGTTTTTGCCGGCGTATCAAAGTCTCTTGATGAGAGTTTTGGAAAGGCCACTCTTGCTCGGCTCGGTAGACATCCCGGCCTGTCTTCTTCGCCCTTCTCCAGCCCCACTTCCAAGTGGACATCCTTTCCCCCCGGCACCGGCCCGAACAGAGCATCAGCCACGGCAGGCGGTGAACCACCACCAAGCCCCCAATTGACGGGAACCTCTCCGGCAGAAAACCAGCTCTGACCCGCCCGGCACGCCCATCACGATGCCGAATCCAGCCCCGAAAAAGCCCACTCGCTCCGCCCCAGAAGCACCGCAGCTAACCACCTCGCCTTACTCCTCGTCCAAACTTTTGAACCTCCCCCCCCAAATTCCCTTCCGTCCTCCGTCTGCCGACCCGGCTTCCCCGTGCGTTCTGAACCAACCTCGGCCCATCCCCCAAACCCGCCAATTGGGCCCTTCTCTCCTTCCTTTGCGTACCCAAGGTAACGAAGGAAAAAGAGAAGCTCGGCTTAGTCGCTACACAATCGTCGTACTCCGACAAACCTTCAACGGGAGAGGATGCACTCCATCGCCAGGCCGGCGTCGCGCCTAGCAGTCCACGCCCGCCTCGGAACGGCAAACCTCTCACGATGGAGGACCCTCGCGGCTCTCCCGCCTCCGCGCCATCATAACCTCCCATTGTCGTCGTTGCCGCCCGCCTCTCGACGCCTCTACTCGGATCTGCCACCCATCTTCGCTCCTCCGCCGCCGAAAGAAGAGCCAAAGCAAGCTTCCCCGACCTCGACCTCCTCGTCGACGACGACCAGCGACCCGTCCGCTCAGAGCTCCGATGCGACATCCTCAAGCTCCACCACAGCTCCCGGCTCGTCCTCAAGCTCGACACCAGACAATGACACCACAACGAGCTCCTCCTCACCCAAACCCGACACCCCCAAACAACCCTCCCCCAACCCAGACGACCCCCTCCCAGACACCGCAACAAAAACCTACACCGCCCTCCCCCCAGCCCTCTCCGAAAAACTCTCCCACCTCCTCGACACAGCCCAAACCCGCCTCCTAACCGCCTCAACAACCCTAAACACCCTAACAGGCTACAGCCCCATCGAAGAAATCAAACGCCAAAACACCCTCCTCGAAACCCGCCTCGCCGAAGCCCAAGATCTAGTCCGCACAGCCCGCCTAACCTACAAAACCACAAACGCCAAACGCGCCACGACCCAACGGGAAGTCACCACCCTCCTCGCGCGCAAAGAAATGTGGTCCCCGACAGATCTGGAACGCTTCACCCAGCTCTACCGCCAAGACCACTCCCTCGAACAGGAAGTCTCCGCCGCCTCAGAAGCCCTCACGGACGCAGAACACGCAGAGCAAGCGCTAGGCCAGCAACTCAACGCGGGGATCCTAAAACGCTACCACGAGGAACAAATCTGGTCCGACCGCATCCGCCGCGCGTCGACGTGGGGAACTTGGGGGTTGATGGGCGTCAACGTCCTCCTCTTCATCGTGCTGCAATTCGTCGCGGAGCCGTGGAAGCGCAGACGGCTTGTGCGCGGCGTCGTCGAGGAAGAAAAGGCTGTGCTCGAGGGCGTGACGGCCGAGTTGGCGGGGCTAAAGGCCGCGTTGGCGCAGAGGGAGGCTTATGACGACGCCGCTACTGCTGATGATGTGGCTGCGTACATGGCATCCACCACCGCGGCGGCGGCGGCGACAGCGACGACGATACCTGTGGCGGTAGAGGAAGAGACATCACTGGCGGCTGCGACGGAACCCACGGCAGAGGAAGCGGAGGAGCTCCTAGCAGCAAAGGTCGAGGAGCCGGCCGTCCAGCACGAGATGGAGCGCGAGGTCGCGAGTGCGCTCGAGGTCTTGGAGGAGCAAGTCCCCGAGACAAAGTCGTGGCGCGAGCTGCTTTCCAACCCAGAGTTCCTAAAGGCGAGAATCGCAGATCTGTACAGTGAGCGCCGCATCGATCTCCGCATGCGCGATGCGTCCATACTGGCTCTCGAGGGCGCTGCTGCTGGGGCGACGTTCGCGGCGGCTCTGGCATTGCTGCTTGTAAGAAGGACATGAAACAAAATCACATCACCACTAGAACGTGATTGTAAATACATCTGTACAATATGATACCATATAGAGAGCATGGGGGACATCCTCTTCGATATTGGCACAAGACAAAAAACCACAGCGGTCATTAGGAGACACGAGCAAGCAATCTTGTCATCCGCTGAATGTTCCGTCTATTAAAGAAGCTGCGGCGGGGGTGCGCAAAACCTCGCTGATATAACTCTAGTCACGATTCCACCGACTTGGTCCCTTTTCCAATGTTCACTGGTGAACAGTCGGGGCCATCCTACTTTTTGCTTCATATATCGTGTTCGCCCATCACTTCGTTTTTTCCGCCTGCGGGTTTATCGTCACAACCCCGACGACGCGCAGCGTCTTCACGCAGCAGAAATAAGCACCGCTCGTGCTTGGCGTGCCTATGTGGCGCACATCGAGCTGGCGCTTATTCACGCTGTACCTGCTCGGCACCGACTGTACCTGCTCATTCACGCTGTACCTGCTCGGCATTCTCCTTCCTTCTTACCCTCGTCGACGATGTCAATGAAAGGATTCAGCAACATCCTGTGCTTAATTTCAATCTGGTTTCCATCATCCCTCTAGTCAAAGTCGGCAGTGTACGAGAAGCCACGGAACTCTTCTTGCATGGCTTGCGACAAGACTATGATATGGTTAGCTACTGAAATCTTTGTGATTATAACGAGTATCCACATACCTGATTGGACAGGAGTCAAGACGGGTGTGACGCTTGTGAACTCGGAGTCGAAGTTGCTGGTATCGGTCGCGCTCTTGATCTGTGGCATGAAGGGCGGCGCAACACGCTTGTGGTAGATATCATCCCAGTTGATGTTCCTAAAGAACGGCTGGTTCATGATTTCCTGCGCGTCGGTGGGACCACTGCCAAGTCGCTGATCGGGCTCTCTGGTCAGGAGCTTCTGTAGGATCGACACAGAGTCTCTGGGCATGTGAATGGGGTACAGAGGCTCGTCGGCAAGAATGGCATCGTAAATCTCATCCTCGTCCTCTCCTCGGAAGGGTGATTGCTGAAGAAGCATCTGGTAAATCAGAACACCGAATGCCCACCAATCAACGGCACGGCCGTACTTCTTGTCGAGTAAAATCTGGACCAATCGTCAGCGGGAGTATTATCAAAAAATCACAATTAATATACCTCAGGTGCCATAAACTCTGGGGTGCCGCAGAAGGTGCTAGTAGTCGAGCCGAACCACATGTCTTCCTTGCAAAGACCGTAATCGGCAATCTTGATATGTCCGTCTAGCGTCAAAAGAATGTTGTCAAGCTTCAGATCACGGTAGATGACACCGTTCTCATGGAAGTACTTGAGCGCCAAGCAAACCTCGGCGGCGTAGAATCTGAATTCGGTTAGTTAAATTCTTGCAATAGATGGACGAAGGCTTCGTACTGAGCTCGCTTAGTGCCAAACTGGCCTCGCTGAATGTGTAGCATGAGATCACCACCGCTAACGTACTCCATGACAAAGTACACACGGGTCTCGGTTTGGAAACATGCATGAAGGTTAGTCAAGAATGGGTGCCTCTCCCGGTTGGCGATGAGGAACACTCTCTTCTCAGAGCGTATGCTCTCCACTTCGTCATTCTCGATGATGAACTCCTTCTTTAGCACCTTGATAGCATAAAGCCTCTTGGACCGCTTCGTTTCCGCAAGCATGACCTTTCCGAAGTTACCCTTACCAAGCACAGCCAGGAAGTTGAAATGGTCAAGGCCAATACGTTGACCAGTTCCTGGATCGGTGGCGGAAGGCAACGGCTTACGTCCAGCGCCAGAGCTAGGAACACCCCCAGATGTTGCAATGGGCGAAATTTGCGGTGGCTCCTGCAGCTTAGGCGAGGAGACGGGCGACTGCTGGTACATTTGCTGCTGGGGAGGTTGCTGGTATTGCTGAGGGGGAGGCTGTTGCTGCTGCGGCGGCTGCTGCTGGACAGGTCGCTGCTGTTGCTGCTGTTGCGCAGGAGGATGTTGGCCATATCCAGCTTGCTGGTTGACTTGCGCGTAGTCAGCCGGGTTATACTTAGATCCACCGCTGTTGTACGAGTCTGGCTGCTCTGCCTGGGCCGGGTAGCCAGGGCGTCCACCGTAACTTGAATAGTCCTGGGACTGGGGCTTTTGTTGGGAAGCCATTGATCCGCTCATGGCCGCCGTTGCTGCCGCTGCCGCCGCCGTGCTTGAAGAAGTACGATCAGGGTGCATAGGTCGCTGGCCAGGCGGAGACTGTTGCTGCTGCTGTTGATACATCAACTTGGCAGCCTCGGTTGCCTCCGGAGACCCTCCAGCATACGGTGGGCCTCCACTATGAGGAGAGCCAATAGTGCTTGTTGGGCTTGTCGGCTTCTGCCTCAGTGTCCGATCGCTCAGGGAAGTGGAAGTCTTGTTCTTCGAGATCATTCTAGTAGACTTGATACCCTCCAAAATCTGGTTCGCTACGGCCATAGACATTCCACAGAAGTCGGGAACAAGGTGTACACATGCCGCGTGTGCCGTGAGACCACATTCTACTCAAAGTCAGCTTTGTCTGCAGGCTATTTGTTACTGTATCCAAACACTTACCCGCACACTTCCTGCAGTTCTTCTTGCCAAATGGTAGGATATAACCGCAGTGGCAGCACCAGTTGGCCGTCATGTTCGAGAAGGCCTGGAATCTGTGGGGGATGCGGTGGTTGATCTTCTCTTCGTCCGGATCCGTTTCGGCGTTGCTCTTGCTGATACATTTGGTGACAACGCTAGAGTAGCATTTAGTGTGGCAAGTGTACTTACAGTCCTCGCACTGCATGCCAGTCGAGTACTTGAGGAAGTCTCCGCATAGAGCGCAACGCATGATGTTGTAGAACTGGTGTTGAACAAACTTGTGTCCGTACATCTCGTGCACCTCCTCCTTGCGTTGACGAACAGCACCCACACGGCCGAGACCTTGCAAGTTGACGGGGCGTCGGGCGTTGTTCTCCTTGAGGAATCCCAAAGACAATTGGATCTGACCCGCAGGCTCAAGATTGAACCAGCCGTCGATAGGCTGCTGAGCGATCGGGGGATTTGCCATACCAGGTTGTCCTTGTTGGCCTTGCTGCCCTCCAACACCAGGAGATGGAGGGGGGCCGCCCATTGACTGCTGCTGCTGTTGAGGGTTCATTGGGAATTGCGCCGGCGGAGCACCCATACGGTCGGCCGACACCCACCCAGAGCTGTTAATCTCTGCTTCGATCCTCTTTCTTCTCATTTCCTCGGCAATGTCGGAGATTCTGACCCAGAGCATGGCAATAGGAATGGCATGCTCGCCAGGCTTATCGTACACGGTAAGTTCGATTTCGTTCGCCTTGTCGACTTCGAGAGTGTGGTATTCGGCTTCCCACTTGTCGGTCCTGGTCACTCGTGTGCGGGCGACGACGTTGTCTTCGACCTTGACGGCGATGAAAGTCTCGGGCCCTCGGCTAAAGCGACTCATGGATGCGTGATCAACGTCCTTGATTTGTCCGACACGAATGGTGAGCTGACCAGAGAGAGGCTTGCGGAGATTAGGCATGTTGATAGAGTCATCTAGGAAATGTTAGTCAGGGGCAATCCAGCAAGCGTTAAAGTTCCAAAACTGACCATCTTGGGCATCGGATGTGTCCATGTCGATGTGCAACTCCTCGTAGCGCTTCATGGCCTGCTTCAATAACAGTATCTTTTGCTTGCTCTCAACTCTTCTAGCGGCAGCATCAGCCTTGCTCTTGCGATCTCCTTCCATGCCGTATAGCTGAACCATCTTCTCGATTCCCTTGAGATACTGCTCCTCCACGTTGAGCTTGAACTGGATCTGCGACAGCATGAGCTGAATACGAGGGCCGAGATATGGGGTATCATATTTGATAAGATCTATAGCAAACAGTTAGCAAATCGGTTCAGTAAAAAGGCTTCGGGGTAATGCGCACCAAGCTTGGTGAAGTTGGGACGCGGCTTAGGGATAGACGAAGAAGGGCCTGGGTTGGCGTAAGGATGGCGGGGAGGCATCAGGTCGGCGTGGCCGCCAATCTGGCTGTACTGAACATTGCCGCCAGATGTTGCGCTCCCGGCACCATATCCGCCACGCTCTGCCCAGGCATTCGCATCTTTGGGAGGAGGAGCGGGCGCATCCTCGACGTCGCCGCTGAGAGGTCTGCCGTCGCCGGAAGGTGATCCGATAGACATGTTGTCCATTCCCCGCCGCATCTGGGCCTCGCGAAGCTTCTCTTCGAAGAACTGCAGGTTTCGACGGCCATCGCGCATCTGGGAGTCGAGTCGTGATCGCACGGCCTCGTTGTTTGTCTGGGCTCTCATAGCATTGGCGGCGTTGAGGAGAGCCTTTTCGCGCTCAATCTTTTTGAGGATATTCTGGATGGCATCTTCGTCGTTCATTGTGACGGTGGGGTTGCGCAACTCCACGCGCGGGACCTATGTGTTGTATTGATGTTGATTTTTTTTTTGGTTGGAGGGGAAAAGAATGAGCTTTGAAGCTACTTTGAAGTCAAGAAAGAGAGGGGAGCGACCGCTGCGTGTGGTAGTGTACGCAGATTCTCTCGCCCGCTCTGTTGTGGTCGCCTCAATGTCGCGCAGGTGGGCGAGGTAGTGGGTGCGAGGTATGAGATAGGTAGGATATGACGCGAGGAGAGAGAGAGGATGACCGGGAGTAGTAGGCAAGTGGAGGTAAGGTCTGGTAGATCAGAGATGGGTACGAAGTCCAGTAGCGAAGTATGCGTATGGATGGATACCGGAGGTTCGGCGCCGGAGTGGCTCGAGGTAGGTTGGCACAGCGGGAGGATCGGTCTGTCGGAACTGTCACGACAGAAGATCGGTGGGTGCAGCCAGCCCTCGAGTCGTGAGGTGTTGTTTTTTCGCAGGTTGGGCAGTTGGTGAAGGATGTCGTCAGTGGGTTTTGGAGCAGGACGGGACGCAAGACGGGAGGGGGGGGGGGGGGGGGTTTCTCGGGAGGGGTCGCTCACTCTCTCTTTCTCTCGCGGCCGCCAGTGCGTAGGCGGGCAGAGTGGAGGTGGGTGAGGAAGGACGAGGAGACGGTGGGCAGTGGGAGAGGGGTACCGGACTCTAAGTATCGCTTTGGTGTAGATCACACAATAGAGGTACTTGGTGAGGAAAGTATCTCCGACCTTCACCTCCAGTCCTGAATCCCCGAGCTGCGGGCTGGCTTGGGCTGCCCGCTCTGCACGGGAAATACCTACTGGGTACGTACCTATTTTGGAGGGGAGGGAGGGGGACGACCTCATTGAGAGTCCTGCCGTGTGCTGAGATGGAGGGGTGTTACGAAAGCACCCGGCACGGACGAGGCAACTCTGTAACTCGATGTGAAGATGGCAGGCGAGCTAAAAACAAGGTCCGATTCAGATGATTATTCCAATTAAGGTACCTACCTACCCTTCATATCCCGTCATTTACTACTGTAATCCTAAGAGTCTGAGAGCACCTAGGCAAGGCCAAAGATCATCAAAAGATATCCGCAATGTTATTTCGACCGCCCTCGGGGGATCCATCGGCGTCTCATCATCCCCATTTCCTCTGATGCCCAACTGTCCAACAAAAGTAGTTGCGGGTGCGCTTACCAGGTTTGTCCCTCTCCCATGCGGGGATTCATGCCCAGTATCCGTAAGGCCAGCACCACCACGGATACCTACATACTGGTACAGCCTAGGTACCTTACCTGCAGCTGCATACAACAATGACCAGCTGCTCTAGGATGGCACAAGTTTGATGTCGTATTCCAGGCGATAAAAAAGGCCGCACTGGCTGGCGAACTCACTTGCAACTTGCAAGGCAGGGCAGGGCAGATGGGCGCATAGGGCAGCAAGCTCAGCTAGGCTCTCCCATTTCATCTACACACCGGTCGCCTTTCATCAGTCCTATCTCAGGCATATCAGCCACCATTGCCGCCTGCCTTCGTCGTCCTGTACATCTCGGTATCACCAGCCAAATAATTGGCGGGCAGTGAAACGATTCAACAACTTGTGGCGGCGCCCTGCAGATTCATAGAGGGGTAGGCACATAGGGAAAGGACTGGAAGAAAAGAAGGGAAGCGACCTGAGAAAAAGTCCTGGATCGGACGTGGGGCTCCCAAGGCTTTCCTAGGACTTTTTCCCCTACCGTACTGTTTCACCGTGGTGAAGATTCATTTCTGCTCTGCGCCAATCAATTTGCATTCCCGGGTTCACTGACGGGAGGAGCCCCGGAGACGTCAGGACCTGCCGACCTAGGCAGGCTGGACTCGCTCTTGTCACTTTGTTCCTCGCCCAAGCTGAGGATACAATGGACATTGTACCTTTGTACATGGTCCAAACAAGAGTCACCGGTGACTGGACGGGAGAGCTTCAGCAATTCCACTCTGTCCACCCACACAGTGGCCCTCTCATCACACCTCACCTCACTCTCTCCAGACTTTACAAAGTCCATTTCTCACACCAATACATAGTAGAGATGATAGAACAGCACAAACAGTCACTCGGGCACCCAGCTAGACACTTCACTGTGTAGCAGTATTACTCACATCATTCCCCTAGATATCTACCGGGTCACTCATCTTTAGGTATATGCTAAGGTACTGTACGACATTGTACAAAGCATAGGTACTCTGTACGGGTACAGACACACAGAGTATCACCATCTCCAAGTCTCGGGGAGTTTATCGGCCCAGTTTTCCCAATACGGCCCATCCTCGCAGTCGCCGGCTTGCAGCAGCTGCATCATCGCCCGATCCCCATCACGTCCACCACGCACAAATCACACTTCACATACACGCTGCCCGTCACCTCGCAATGATCTGATGATGCAGCCCTAGGTTTCCCGTCTTCCGTCTCTACGTCTAGCCCTGCTCTAGTCCCTCTTTTTCTCATCCTATGGACCTACAGTATGTAATGTGGGACACACCTCCCCAAGTTCACGCTGACTACTCCGTGCAGAGTACTCACTACCTACCTACCTTACTCACCTACTGTCTGTCATTCACTGGCTTCTAAAAGCCGGTAATCCCTTAAATGATACCGAGCACATGCTAATATTTCAAACCCTCCGGGATCCAACAATCACATCCACACTTTGATTCTACACGAGAAATACCCGTCATGCTCTCATCCACCACCAACGACGTCTTAAGCATATGACAGATCCCACAATCCAGGAGGCCGCCTCGCCAACGTCATCGCCACAGGGACTCTAAGTACACCACCGCCCACCTCGTGATGGGGGTTCTAATCGCCGGCCGACTTAGCCTCCCGGCTGACACCTCTGCCGAACAGGTCTCACCAAAATGCCCCCCCCCCCCCCCCCGCCACCACACAGCTGCCGGCCGGCCTTTCCGGCCCAACGCCGCGCCACACCGACGGCCAAGTCCTCAGCCCTCTCCTCCAGTCACTAACACCGCAAAACCTCCCCCAGATTCCACACACACACACTATCTCTCACCCACACCTCCGCTGAACATTGATAAATAATCAAACACGCGGGTCCCCTCTCTTGAATACGAACTGACAGCACTTGAGCTACCTCTTCGGGACGGGGAAATTGTGGATAGCTAGTCCATCAACCCCGAATTCGGGTCACCGCCCATTGTACTCCGCCCACGACAGTCTTCTCGACTCCCGTCCCGTCGTTCTCGTCCCAATCACAAACAAGATCAACGGAAATGCCATACCACGGCTCATCATGTCATCTGTAACGTGTACCTGAAACAAAACCTACCAACCCAACCAAGCAGCTCACTCACTGCCAACCACCACACATGGCCCAGCTGAACCAAGCATACCGCAAATGCATACCCGAGAGATTAATACCACTTACAGACCTACGCAGATAGCAGACAAGGACCACTATGGTTTATCCGAAAGGTGGGAGAGACACGTAATTCCAGCCCGCCAACTTCGAGGGCTCGACGTCGCGGAACCGTTTCGACCCACCCTCGCTCCGCGGCCGCCGTCCAAGGTGGTCCCCTTCCCAACCCACCCGGTCCGCGTCATGCCCAGGCAATCCTCCCGAGGTGGGATGTGGTAAGTTAGTCTGTCACTATGGCTGGATCTCTATCCCAACCTCGGATCAACAATGGTGTGGAAAGTTGCGGCTCAAGCCGATCAACTTCCTTCACTCATGCACTCTGTCATCCCTATTTTTTGATCATCGAGATGCGATGAAGCCGATCACGAACCGCTCGGACTTGCCATCGCATCGGTACTTGGGGATTTTTGCAATGCCTTCCACGGTCCAACTCTCACCGGGCCACTTCCCGGTCAGATTCCATTGGTCCGTGTGTTGCTGGCAGATGTCCATGTTCTGGTCTGATGTTGCTCGAAAAGACATAGAACCTTAGCGTAACGGGGCAGGTGAAGCGTACAAAATGCTGTTGAGCTCATGCAGACAGACGCGGCACTTACATATTGGACGCCTGAGATGGGATGAAATGGAATATGTCGACGTCAATGACTACTCGTGCTTACACGAGGCCGGTGCTTTGGTCTCGTTTCTACGATGTTTGGCACAAGTGTCGTGAGGTAGTTCTTGCAGACGGAGTCGTTAATGTCGAATTTGATTATATATTCTTTTTCAGATATGGAGGTGTTAGTGATAATCTACTACATAAGATAATCACCCAAACCTCCCAGGTAGTAGTTCTTCACGTAACGAGTTGTTTCGTATAATGATATCACGCCAACTTTTGTCTTCGCCGATAAGACATTGTCATTGGACCCAGATACCACCGAATGCAGACCCTGCTTGAACTGAAAGAAAAGCACTTGATAGACCAGTGCCTTGCCAACAGTGAACCCTTCTTTGCCTCAAGCTGCTTGCACTCGAGAGTGCCCTCTGGCAATTGACCCCGGATTTGACGAGAAGGATGACTCTCGGTCGCGATAGTCTACTGACAACGTTTCTTGCGACGCCCCTCAAGATTGACATTATGGAATAGGTAGGCAAGTCGCCGTTACACTAAACATACAGAGACATCGCGATATACCGAGGCTCAAATCACGTAGGCGACGCAACTTCACAATGAAACGCTGAAGACTTTTCACATGTGATTTCAAATAGCATCTAACGAGTCATCATTCGCGAGGCCATACGCCCCAACACCGAATCGTGTCGCTTTTACTATCAAAAGACTCCATCTACTAACCTACACGACTCCCGTAAAATCAAAGCTTTGCAACCTGACTACTTTCCTTCTTCTTCAACATCATTCGAACTCAAGCAGACACCACCTCTCTATGCGGTATACTCCTTCTGCAACAACTTGGCAATAGTGTTGAGCTGGATATTGCTCGTGCCCTCGTAAATAGCACCAATCTTGCTATCACGCCAAAACTTCTCGGCGGGCCCGTCGCGGACGAAACCCATGCCGCCCATCCACTCGATCGCCAGACCGCTCACGCGGCCGGCGACCTGGCTGGCGTACAACTTGGCCATGGCGGCGTCCATGACAAAGTTCTCGCCCGCCTCCTTCTTGCGCGCCGCGTTGTAGACCAGCGCGCGGGCGGCGGCGATCTCGGTGTAGGACTGGGCGATCTGGTGCTGCATGCCCTGGAACTCGCCGACGAGCTGGCCGAATTGCTTGCGGTCGTTCCAGACGTATCTTCAAAAGTGGTTAGTTTGAGAAGAAGATTCAGTCAGGGGGTAAGAAAGGGGCAGTCTTACCTGACGGCGTTCTCCCAGGAGCCGAGAGCGAGACCAGTCATCTGGGCCGCAATACCGATACGTCCCTCGTTCAAGAGACCAATGGCGTACTTGTAACCCGCGCCCTCCTCGCCGAGGAGGTTCTCCTTGGGGATCTCGACATCGTCAAAGTTGATTACGCACGTGCTGCTGGCCTTGATACCCAGCTTCTTCTCCTTCTTGGCGATAGAGAACCCCTTGGTGTCCTTCTCGACGATGAACGCCGTGATACCCTTGTACCCCTTGGACGGGTCCAAGTTTGCAAACACGATAAAGAAGTCAGCCTCCTTGGAGTTGGTAATCCACATCTTGGAACCGCTAATCTTGTACCCGCTCTCCGTCTTGGTCGCCTTGGTCGCCAGCGCAAACGCATCAGAACCACTAACAGGCTCGCTCAGACAGAAACTGCCGACGGTGCTGGTGGCCAGCTTGGGAAGGAAGCGCTTCTTGAGCTGGCTGCTGCCCCACTTGATAATGGCCGTGTTGACGAGGGTGTTGTGCACATCCACAAGCACGCTGACGCTGGGGTCGACGCGCGCGAGCTCCTCGATGCCGATGATGGCGCTCGTGAAGTTCATGCCCGCGCCGCCGTACTCCTCGGGGATCTCGACGCCCATGAGGCCCTGCTCAAAGAGCTGCTCCACGATGGCCGGATCCATGTTCTCCGCCTCGTCCATCTCGCGCACCTTGGGGGCGATCACCTCGTTGGCGAACTTGCTCACCGCCTCCTGCATCGCGGCCTCGACCTCGGAGAGGTGGGTGATGGGCGTCGGGGGGATGTCGGCGATGTCGAAGTGGTCGGCATTGCGGCGGCGCTGGGTGGTGGAAAGGGGTCTTGCGGTCCTGGAGGAGGGAATGGTTAGTGTTGTTCAGTACAGACTGGGCAAGGTGAAGACGTACTGCTGGAGTGGCGAGAGCGCTCTGCCCGGTGTGTAAGTCCTCACCCTCGCGAGAGCAGCAACACCGCGGCTTCCCCTCAAAGCAGGGCGAACGGCCCTAGCAATCGACGACATGGTATAGGATATGATGTGTATATAGCCTCGAGATCACTCAAGAAAATCGGCAAAAGCAAGAGACAACAAGGCAAGAAGAAACTCCGAATGTGCGGGAGGATCTGGGGATCGTGGGAACTCCTCGGCTACTTATGGTCTCCCTCGGCCGTGCGGTGCTAGCTAACTGAGAGGCAAGACGCCCGGACGGAAACGGTCAATTGGCGTTGAACGGTTTCCCGAAATGAAGTGTGAGATGATAAGGTGAGATTAATCGTAGACGGAGAGCAAGTCAGGAGTATGTGGAAGGTAGGCAGGCCACACGAAATAAGTCAAAGATGCGGTGCGTCCTAGACCGTGAACCTCAAAGCCATTCGAAGCCACGGTACCTGGCGGCTGGCGAACAGACACAGCGCCCGCTTCAGCCGAGGATATCCATCCCGCAGCGGGGGGGACACTGGGGGGGCCCAACACTGTCCCAGAGTCCCCAGTTTTGCTCCAAGTCTGGGGGAAAGCCGACGGCTTAGCACCCAGACGGGCGAACAAGCCAGGGGGGTTCCGAGTTGGACGGTGACACAGTGACGCTAAAGTCGCTTACGTCAGGACCTGAATTCTTGCAACGGGCATGTGATGCACCTCTAAAGCCGCCCAGTGCGAGGATACCTAAGCCGATGCCGTCCGTGGTCCGAGTGCAAGGTCGGAAGTGGGTCCGGGGGACGGAAGGGCTCCTCTGGCCTGAGGCGCCGATAATCGTTCAACCCCTTGCGATAGCCAATTGACTTAGGTAAGCAAAAAATCCAGCTCCAGGGATTCGAATGCACGTAAGGTGCTTTCGCGACGATAGCTACCAGATCGTGACGACAGCAATTGGACGCCGACCACTCTCGACACCCAGTTGCCCGACATGGCCAGCACACTCCTCAGATCCCTCTTCGCCCCGGCGATGAGGCCAGCGACATTCCCTCGCGCCGCCTCCATCCTCACACCGACAGCCACCATCACCACCCCCCTGATCCGATCCTTCTCCTCGACGCCTGTACAAAATGCCACCATCATGCAGGTCCTGAGAGTTCGTCCCTCCCCTTCCCTCCCTACACGATACCCTCACTAACTCTCTCAACTTCACAGGGCTGCCACAAGAAGGGAAAGCGCGCCCGTCACGCCGTCTCCCCCGCCCTGTCCGAGATCAACGCTCCCGCCCTCAAGGGCGTCTGCCTCAAAGTCGGCATCACCCGTCCCAAGAAGCCCAACTCCGGCCAGCGCAAGACCGCTCGTGTACGCCTTTCCAACGGCCGCCACGTTACCGCCTACGTCCCCGGCGAGGGCCACAACATCCAGCAACACAGCGTCGTTCTCGTCCGCGGAGGCCGCAGTCAGGATTGTCCCGGTGTGCGGTACCATCTCGTCCGTGGCGCCCTTGATCTCGGAGGTGTGGCCAACCGTGCTACGTCCCGGTCCAAGTACGGCACGATGAAGCCCAAGAAGGCTACTGTTTCTTAAGTTGGAGGAAGATATGGGCGGTAGGGGCTGGGATGGGGGGTGGGGAGGGGGGCTGTGGAAGGGATTAAGAGCGGGAGGCAGTTTTGCCTTGCTGTGTGGTGTACGACTATTAGACACCCATGAGATATATCAAAGACGTGTACTATTACAATGTACAAAATACCAAAAGAGATTTCACAATGTTCAAACAGGGGTTTGAAAAAAAAAATTGAAGTTAAAGCTGGACGAACACCAGACGGACCCTTCCATTTGCCTATATCTATACAGCAAAAAACGTGTCCAAGTCTTACAGAACATTTTACGCCACTCCACAGTTGGTACCCATGTGCCTAACCAGTGCCTCTCATCGATGTAAGTAAACTCAATTGGCGGCCTTACCCAAGGCCAGTTCTGGAATTTGTTGTTACATGCCACTCTTTTATCACGCCCCTGATTTGCTCTAGTCCTGCTGGTTTTCGTAACCCTCGGGCTTGTCCAAACCGTTGATCTCGAAGTAGCGGCTCGTGCCTGTCTCGCTGTTAGTGATGTTTGTGGAAAGTTCGTCAACCAGTCCAACTTACAAGAGTAGCCCTTCCAGTCAAAGTTGTCCTTGGGGTTGCAGTGGCAGCGTCTGTCGAGACGAACCTTCTCGCCCGTGGGGCAATGGGTGAAGGGAACGTGGTAGTAGGCGATATCGTTGAAGAAGTGAATCTGGTCCTTCGGCAGCATGAGACCGGCGGCGATGGAGTGCACAGGCGCGTCGCCCCAACGCTCGTAGAAGAAACCACCATCCTGGTCGAGGGACTCGAAGTAGTCGATGTAGGCCTTGGAGCGGAGCCAGTTGAGGTCACCAACTTCAAAGTTGGACCACTAGTTTCGGTCAGTAATGTCTCTGGTAAACGTCTATTCGTCGGTCAACTTACGAAATGGCAGTGGTTGTAAGAGTCACCACCGTCGTCACTGAGGAAGCCCATAGAGTTGCCCTCGGCAATGTGCTCGGGGTGGTTCTTGATGAACTTCTTGGTGCTGTCCCACAGAGTAGGGATGGTCTCGACGTACTCGTACAAGCTCAGAACGAAGCTGTACTTCTTGTTGTTCTCCTTCATGAAGCGGAACGGATCGTAGTGGATATCGCAGAAGAGCTCAATGGAGGGCTCAACACGCCAGTAGTAGTCGTAGTTCATCATGGCAGGCTGGCGGAAGAAGAAACCCGACTCGAAGCGGCACATGTGGCGGTAGCTCACAGAGTCGCCGTAGATGATCTTGCGCTGGGCCATGTCCTCACGGACCTTGCGGGCCTTCTCCTGGTCAATGTGCTCGGGGAAAGACCAGTGCTCCTTGGGGATTTCGCCGTAGTGAGTCTTGCCGGAAACAAGGGAGGTAGTGACCTTCTTGAAAGTGGCATCGAAGGGCTTGTCGTTCAGGAAGACCCAGTCGTAGTTGTAGCGGCGGTTGAATCGGTCCTCAACCTGACGGATGGAGCGGGCAATGTCCCAGATATCGGAGTTGCGAGCGAGAGTGACGAAGGTGGCATTCATGCGCGGGCCGGATGCAATGCCAGAGAGCTCATCCCAGCCGGGCTCGTTCGGGGTCATGGCCATGGGCCAGTCCTTGGGGTTGTATGCCTCGCCGACCTTGGGGCCCTTGGCTTCGGATTGAGCGGGCTGCTTGAGCTTCTCGGCCTCCTTGTTCTCGCCTTGCTGCTGCTGCTGGCCGCCGGCTGGAGCACCGCCAGGTTTGCTGAAAGAGCCATCCTGAAGCCTTACGCCCTCGTAGCTGGAGTGGGAAATGAAGTAGAAAACGGCGAGGCCCTGCACGAGAAGTAGATGTAAGCACGGGATCATGAAGCTCCGTTGTCGCATAAATCACGGAAATATCGTCGAGATGCGAAAGGCATCGTGCCGTCTAGGGATTAGAGCTGACTGCGCTCGCGCAGACTGGTAGCTGGTAATCAACTTACGAAGAAGGCGAAAAGAATGTATCGCACATAGCGTGCTGAGCCTGTCGCCATCTTGACCGAAGTATTCAGGCCTTTGATGGAAGCCCGGGTCGGGTTGAAATGGTTGAAGTAAAATGGAAAAGTAAGAGAAATCCCGTTCTTCCCCCGAGATGAACAAGGGCAACTGGGAAAGGGAGGAGGAAAAAAAAAAAAAAGAGAGGTGCACAGGAAGGGATACGTATTCGTACGAGTCGACGGGAGAGAGGCGGATGGCTTCTCAGGAAAATGTTCAGAGGAGCTGGAGTAACAGGAGCGCGCTAGCAGCCAAAGCAACCCACTGGTTCTGGGGGACCTGAAGGACTCTCACAGGGTTAGGGGGTACGAATGCAGCGTACGCGGTGCGTCCACCCCGAGAAAAGGGAGCGCTAGCAGGAAGTACCGCGACGTGGAATAAAGGGGGTGGGGCGACGACTTGGCCTGAACCCAGGAGGTTCGCAACTCAAAAAGAGCAGTCAGCAGGAGACAAGTATCTCTACGCAGAAATATGTATTGACATCTACTTCCGCTGGCCAGCTCTAGGTATCGCCCACTTCTCAGGATTGAGATTGATGGAAGCAGACCTGAACTCAACAGCTGCATTCGCCCATATTTTCTGTACATGAGCCCCATGCAGAAGCGAAGAGGTACAATTACGTGCGAAAGTCGATAATTATATCTCTTCTCGAGCAACTGTGAAAACCGACATGCAAAGGAACAGTTCAACGAAAGCAGGGAGAAGTCGAATACCTACGGAGTATCCGTACGAATACAGAATATCACGGATACAGAAAGGCTGGCGACTGACAGGTCCAGAGTAAGGTACACGAGACATGGATTCTGGGCATGGCATGCTTCTAACAACTAAGTATCCTCCACGTACCTCTCTTCGCCGCAGAGGGCTGCCGCGTACCCGTTCCCAACTCTTGGGCTTCCGTTCTCCATATGATCGGGGACAGGGAACGTGGCCACTGTGAGAATCTGTTGCAGCGGCCTCCCGTCAGCCCTGGGACTCTGGTAGACGGGACCGTACGGAGTAGACCAGGGGTTCAGAGGTGAGCAGGAGCTTTCCCTTCGATTTGGAAGCTGGCTGGCATCAGCTGGAACCCCATTTAGCACTGGCCGAGCGACCCAATGGACGGGAAATCTCTCCGTGTGCCACCCAAGTTCACCCTGCCATTCGACGGGGTCGAGCCGTGATGGTAGACTCAGGGACGTTACCATGTGCACCCAGTCTGGAGCTGGTAGTGCTTGCACACATGGTTTCTCCCCCAGAACAGATAATCTTCATGTCTGAAACTCACTGCCATCCCTTCTGCCCTGCGTCACAGAGCTTCTCAGCTCCCTGCACTTTCTTCTGCAATGGACATGTACACATCTCCATTTTGATTGCCCCTGGCAGATCTAGCGGCCTCGTGTAGATTAGCTAGGTACGTTGAGCCCAAGGTCTTGATAAGTTGCCATGTTTTATTGATCTCCAGATTCCACACAATGATGGACCTGCTAATACCGTACGAGTCGCGATTCTTCTTGCAGCCACAGCAGCCCAGGAGAAAAGTACCTCATGCTCAACAATAAGGTAGTGTCAGACCGTGGAATTCTCACCTGGCTCTTGGCGACTTTCTCAGCATCGAATCAGTGCAACACATTTCGATAACGCCAAATTGGCTCTCTTGCTACGTAGTAGGCTCGTGTGGCTTCCGTGCCTTTAGCTGCTTGCCGCTCGTATCCCGCCCGGTGCCGTGCAACTGATCGCCGGGCCATTTACCCCCAAAGCTCGAGCCGAGAGCTCAGCTCAACTACTGCAACCGACTCTACATCTGCAAACGACAACATGGTAACACTTTATTCAGTTGTCAACATGTGCTCGCGTTCGGGTTTGCTCTTTGCACATGAAAACATTCACACAAGCAGCCCATGCGACTGGCTGATCTTCTTCAAGAGACTTACGATCATCCCGAGAGGTACATGATGCACCGTTGACAGCGGACTGTCCGAAAGATCAGAACACCACACGCAGGGCACAGAGCACTGTGCTGGTCGTGCTCATACCTTACTTATGCCCGCAGCGTCAAATCTGTAACCAGGTGCCTTATTTGGTACATGGAGCATTCCGAAGAGACAGCCAGCCTACATGTTCGGTCGTCTATTCTAGTCGGGTGGTCCGGAATCACCAAACGGGATGAACCTGTCAAAATGTCGCTTCCTCGTGCTTGATTGGGTGCTTGGTAGGCGGGCAGCACCGGCTAGGTGATAGATTCCTGTCTGGCATCATAAGTGCATTACGTTCCAACTGGTTCTGACCGATATTGCTCAGCGATGCGAGCTTGACAAGTGTGTGTAATCCCCCATGATCTCTTACTGATGATTGATGCCTGGATCAAGGGAGGTCAGTCGACAGCACAGTGGTGTACAAGAGTCGATACAAAGTCAAGGTGTTCCATGGCATCGGTCAATAGCATGAGCCTCCTTCCCTCACAAAGGTGGTAGTGAAGATTAATAATGATGGTTTGAGACTCTGCTCTTCTGCCAACACTCAAGTGAATGTTAATCAAACATTGAGCTGCATATGAATACCTAGATTGTCGATCAGACTAGGATAAGCGAATGGCTTAGAAGATGTTGAAGGAAGCCTCAGAATGCAAACAAACTTTGGACATTAATTCTGAATTTATCAAAATGAATTTAGTTAAAAGTCATACGGAATTTCCCACAGTATCAAAACGTCAACATCGTCATGAACGAAACAAAGCGAGTGGTAAGTATTGAACCCAGGCAAATACTGTAAACAGGATGCTTCAAGGCAGCATCTTGGACAAGGCTGGAGACATTCCCAGTTTTCAGTCCATGTATATCTCATCTTCTCATAATTGGACTTTGGTGGATTAGATACCGTTGAATCTGCCATACGAGTGCCAGTATAGACTGTAGTTATATCACCTATGTTAACAAACAGGGTGCAATTGATGATGGGTGTCACCCATCAAGATCCCTGATCAGGACCCCTCCATCCACATTGGGCGAACAAATAATACAGGCCACAATGACGAGAGGGGCTATCCCCAGGCCATCCCAAGCAGCCGGCGTATGACTAACATCCCACGTGACTGGAGTCCTAGCAGCTCAGCTGTCCAAGCTTGCTCATTGGCTCGGAGTAAGCCATGTAGTGGGGTCCCCAAGGCTCTCGAGCCTCAATTCCTCACCATGGATGCGAATGGTGCATCACCACTCTGGCCATCGCAACCTAACCCCAGCGACGCGACTCTTTTTGCTTCCTTTTACGCTCCGAATCGCACCTGGTGCATTGTGTTCAACATTGTGCCTTGGTGAATATCTTGTCTCTGGATGTCAATTCACTGAGCAGATCCGGCCATAGCACCCCTGTTTATGCCTTGTCGCTTTGCTCTCGGTTTTGGAATTTGTCTTTGACGACATCATGATAGTTTTGGGAGCTGCTACACCTAAATCCACAGATCTCTCATTCTCTTAGTGGTAAGTCGCACAACTTCTCTTGCCTTCAGTCTTGTTCTAGATTCTCGAGAGCCTACTTGCCACGGCGTTTGTCTCTTTCCCCATTGTCTTCATAGTGGCAGCTGCAACCCCTGCCTGAACTCGTCAAGGCGAGAGAGATGCCGGGCAGCTTCCTTGCCACAACAGTTTAGCCATAATGATCCCACGAAGCGGGGGGGGGACCACTTGCTCCTGCCCTTCTTGGGCTTTTCAGACCCATCTTGGTCTCTGGACTTCTTCTTCCTTCCCTCAACCTACGATCTCCAACATCTCTTCCTCAGCATCTATTTGCCTCACTTCGTCAGAAACCCAAACCCGATGCTGACCACGACCTAGTATACAGCTATTTCTCTTATTTGAAACGAAGACGGACTAGTTGTTCAACATGTCTTTTTTCGGTTTCGACCCGACACGCCCTGCTAGCCACAACACGGCGGCACCAGGCTTCTCGCAGACCCACGATCCTTTCGCCGGCCTTTCTCGCGGCGATGCCGAGGACGACGACGCTGTCGAGTTCGACGATACGTACGATGGACTAGGCGACCAACTCGAGGAGAGCGGTGATGCTTTCAACGATGACACGTTCGGAGGCGGTGGCCCGGCTACCATCTCGAATGCTTCTGTTGGAAAGGACTTCGACTTCTTTGGCCAAACTGCAAAGGTGTCTGACGCCATCGAGGAGGAGCAGGTCCGCTACAGCCGTCAAGTTCCAGCCGCCAAGCCTGCTCCCGCACCTGTGCCCGTCCAGCAGCATTACCAGCAGGCCCAGCCTCCGCAGCAATACTACTATCCTCAGAGTCAGCAGGCCCCCAGACCTGTTCGCACTGGCTATGAGAAGTACAAGGATGCGGAACCCATTCCCGACTTACACGTCGATGCGTCGCTCTGGGGCATGCCTTCAAAGAAGAATGCTATTCCAGAGCCTTCCCCGAAGCCGCAGGCTATCCCGTCCGCCAGCAGGAAGGTCATGAGTCTGGAGGAGGTGGAGAAGGCAATGCGAGAGCAAGCCACCCAACGAACCCCTCAGCCAGCCTTCTCGGAATCTGCGCCGCCCGCTCAGGGCTACCCCGGCCCTGAGTACGGCTACAGACGACCCGAACCTACCCAACAGCAGTCCTTCCAGGGCGCCGAACATCACCAGCAGCGTGGTGGTCAGCCTCACCAGCATCCTGGCCATGGACATCCCGTACAGATTCTGCAGAGACCTCAGTCCATCACCTCCAAGCCGACCCCGCCCATTCAAGGCACTCCCAGCCCGCTCGCTCAGCCTCCTCACTCCCAAGCCCCGCCTTCGCAGCCGACTCAGATTCTCCAGAACCCGAACAGACTCTCAGGCGACGCCGCGCGGCTTGGCGCTCATGGCCCTCAAGCTCATCACCAGGCCCATGGACACCAAGGACACCGTTCGCAAGGCTCTATGGGACGTGTTCCGTCCGCCAATCAGCAGCAGCAACAGCAGCAACAGCAACAGCAGCAACAGCAGCAACAGCAACAGCATCTTGCACATCTGTCGGAGGACGAAAAGGCCGCCTACCTTGACCAAGAAACCAAACGTGCTAAGCGCAATCACAAGATTTGGCTCCTGTCTAAGGATAACGGCCTTATGACACCCCAAGACAAGAACTTCGTTACACGTATTCAGCTGCAGCAACTCGTCTCGGCCACTGGAAACCCTATCGACAATACCAACGATGATTCTTTGACTGAGGACTTCTACTACCAGGTTCTGAGCCAGATCCGTGGCGGCCAACGTCAGAACCCGAACCAGCCGTTGAATAACTTTGCTCAAACCTACCTCTTTCAGACCGGCAGTCGCCAGGGCAACATGAGAAGACAAGGACGGGCAGCAGAGAACCATGTTCAGCGAATGGAGCAGCAAGTTCAACGTGCTGTCGAGGCTGCCAAGAACAAGCCCAAGAATCCACAGCTGGTCATCGCTGGCAGTCTTGGAAAGATCTCTTTCAGCAATGCCAAGACGCCTAAGCCCCTCCTCAACATCAAGCGAACTGACAGCAGTGGAGATGCCAACCGTCCTGGCAACGGCAAGCGTCATGGTGAGTCGAACAACCTGGATCGCAAGGCCATCTTGCGAAACATTGAGAAGGTCTACAACACCATCATGAAGATGGAAGATCACGCCCGCTTCATTCCCCCTCCGCCTACAAATGGAAACGACGAAGAGTTCCTTGCTAAGCATCAGGAATGGTTGGAGACGGCCCAAGGCTACAATGCTCAGCTTTGGAACGATCTTAAGGTCCATGAGCCTATTGGCGCCACCACCCTCCACCCCTTCATTGCGTTCCTATCCTTCCCCAAGGGCAAGAAGGCCATTCCCCGCGTGTTCCGCCACATCAGCTTCGAGCAGCGCACCACGATTCTGACCATGATCATCATCCACCTGGACCAGCTCGATGTGGTCTATGGAGCTCAGACTACCGACGGCGAGGTCAGCCTCAATGCTGCTATGCGTGAGAGCATTGAGCTCTTCTCCGCAGCTGTCATGCCGAGCCTGTTTGCCTACTTTAACGAGACGGAACTGGACATCGTGACGGGTGTGCTTGGTCTTATTAGCACCAAGTTGAATATTGATCTCATTGCCAAGACTCGCGTGGGCTGCTCCATGCTGACTCTCATCCTGAGTCGAGCCGAACTTTTGAAGCAAGGTGGCGGAGGTAGCCCTCAGCTGTGGGCTGAGTGGTAAGTCAAGAAACATCCAGTCAGCACTCACATGTACTAACAATGCCACAGGGAGCAAACCTTCAACATGTTCTTCAACAAGCTCGAGCCTACTCTCCATCACATCTTCCCCGGTAGCGTCAATACCGGAGAAGACGTTGTGGTTTGGCAGCTCCTCGCTGCGGTTGGTGTCAGCGCCAACCCTGAACAGCAGCAACGCCTGGTCCTTGCCGTCAAGGACCGCGTCCTCGACACCGTCGCGCACGCAAAGACACTCCCAGGCGCCATGGCAACTACTCGGTTGGCCACTGTCAACCTTTTCATGCACTCCATTGGTTTGGATGTCGAATTGCTTCAGTAAGGGAATGTATGAGTGAAAGAGAACGTGCGATCGCGGCGTTGATTGCGCCTTTCGCGGCTTGAGACGCATTACAATTAACTGAAGAAACGCGTTGGGATGCTTGGGATATAAAGGATCTTTCGACGCATGGCCCGTGATTTTTTGAGGGCTTTGGGGCCGCTTCCGAGCTGTGGTACTGGGACTGCAGTTTGATTGAGACTTCAACATGCGAAGATGGCTTGTCCTATGGCAATATGCACAAACATATCTTGTGTACATTACGCACACGACTCTTATGAGATGGCGTCGCCATATTAGTATCAGGGGTGCGTTGCGTCTTGCTAGTTAGAGCAAAAAGAAAATCTGCATTTAAAGTTTAAGCAAACATCTGGTCTTCTCTGAGTGACCCCTTTTCTATAACACCGTAACGCCTTAGCTATGCAGAACAACCTTGTGTCGAGGAGAGTGTCCATTATGTGAGATCCATGCTTGAGGATGCTTGCGCAGGCGCAGGCGCAGCTCTTGCTTTGCCTCCACGTCGCGGCCCCATGGCACCCCTGGCCTTGGGCTTCACCTTGCGCGCCTTCTCTTGAGCAGCTGCAGCAGCCGCTGCCTCAGCCTCCAGTTCCGCCTTTGTCAGGACCTTTGGCTTCTTGATACCACTGACAGCCTCTAAAAGCTCGTCGTCGCCCCATTTGGTCTCCAACCTCGCAACCTTTTCAGCCAAATCCACCACGGGCTTCTCCTCCTCGGCCCCATCAATAGCGGCCTTCTTCTTCTTCTTGTCCTCGTCCTCCTCGTCGGCCATGGGCGCCGGCTTCTCTCCGGGCGCGCGCATGATGAGACTCTCCTGGTAAATCTCCCAGGCGGCCTCGTTGTCCTCGTCCGTGTACTTTAGCTTGCGCCAGTTCTCCATCTGCACGGAGCGGAGGCGGTCGGCCATGGTTTCGCTCTTTGCGGTGGCGCCGTCCTGGGTCGTCTTGATGGTCATGTGGATCGCGCGCGCGGCGGCCGATTGGGGACCGGGACCGCCTGCTCCTAATCCTCCGGGGCCGCCTGCTGCCGCGGCGGATTCCTTGGCTGCTGCGGCGGAGGCGTTGCGCTCTTGTTGGGCTACGGCGTCGACGTGGTGGAGTTGGGGGCGGAGGTGGACGAGGTTCGTCACGGGGGTGAGGTGGAGGTCCTCTGAACGGGGTTACTTGTCAGTAGACTGAAAAGCCGAGGGCTGGTAGGAGAGGGAAAGGGGAGAGAGACTCACTTCCTTGGAAGACGCCAATCATGTACTGAACCTCCTTATGGTCAGGACACTGACCGCCGAGCGTCTGCGTACGGAGGACCTTGTCCTGGCGCACCGCCTCGGGCCACTCGAGGTACAAATCATCCTCCAAATCGGCATCGCCGCGCCTCTTCTGCCTGGGCGGCGGCGCGCCGACGCCGAAGCCGCCAGACAGGCCGTGTGTGCCGCCGTTCTTGGACTCGAGGCTGGCTTTCAGCTGGCGACCCCACTTCATGCCCTTTTCCTTGTCGTAGGACTGGGTGTAGTCGAGGGGCACGTCGACCTCGACCATGCCGGAGTGGCCCTTGAGGCGCATCTCGGTCGGGGCGGTGGTGCGCGGGTCGGTGCGGTTGGGTTGCTGGAGGACCCAGAGCTTGCGGCCCTGGGGGAGGGAGGGGTTGAAGAAGACGTCGTAGTAAGCGACGACGGGGTCTGGGTCGAAGGTGTCTTCGGTTGTGGGCTCCATCGTTGCTGTTGGGGCGGTCATTGTTGTGGTGTTGGTGTTTTGTGCGATTGGGTAAGGTCAATTCGTGACTGTTGTCGCCCGAGGTTTGCGGTTTGAGGTCGGGAAATTTTTGGATTGCGCCGGTGAGTCTACCTTGAGGTACCCCACGGCGGGATGGACGTCAGTTCTTATCGATAAGAGTGCTGGAGCTCACCCGTGTCCGAGGTGGGGGACGACCTTCCTCCTCATAGCTTCCTCCTTCTACTGCAGCCTCCTTTTCTCAAAGATTCACAAGTTGACTACATGAAGAAGGCTATTCCTTTTTTGGACCATTGTTCATTTCATCATAGCATAATACCATAATTTTATCAACTGAGCAAAAGGCCCCAATTCTTTGGCAGAGGAAATGGAATTTAGCCCTCGTCAACTTTGCTGGACCATTGCGTATCCACAGCCAATTATGCCGGAACAGAGGAGCTGTTATATCGCCTTCACATTCAGTCTATTACGAACGCTGCAGATTGAAACTCTCCAGAATTTTGCAAGGCAAGCTCAACAATATGGGATCATCTGCCGCATGAGTAGTCTGAAGGATCTCTCTAGTTCCTCTCCGGCATGATACCTTGTGCTTCCAGTGGTGAATGTCCAAGGCTGTACGTCAGTCGCATTGGCTGTAGACAAAAGCTTCATCACCGTATCAGCCGGTGGATTGGCTTGTGACTTCATGGCAAGCACACCCTTGCTTTGCTGTCGAAAGTGTTGCGCTCATCTGCTGCGGCGAGGTTGGGTTGGAGCGACTGGACATTACGTGCCGGCCTTATGAGAGGAATGTAGTTCATGCAGGCTACCTTCAACGGATTGAGCCCTACAAACGAATCAACGGGTGCAATTCTGAGTTTTAGTCGACGGATAGCTCACGATCCTTGGACAACTGGCAACGCTATGTTGCCGTCTAAGCTGGTTCAGGCTAACATCGAAGTAGCGCTGATGAGAGACACTAGCAACCACGTGAAGACTTACACGCAACCCAGCTTCATTCTTGGTCATCTACCTTAAGACGCGAGCACAGCCCTTTGGTTGAAAGCTTCAGAAATGTGACCAGAGATCATTATGATCTTACGCAGAAGCCATCGATAGCCTCAGATGGCGGCCGAAGTCCCAAACTCACTGAACTGGGTGTCTTTCGTGACGGGCATTCTCTCCTTCGCCCTCACAACTCTCAACTTGATAGCCCTTTACGGCAACTTTGTCGCGACTATCAAATCGGCTCCCAATGAAATACGAGATTCACTAGGAAACCTTCGACAACAACTCTGCGAAGAGAGACAGGCTCTCCGGCACCAGTCACGAGAAATCCGCACAAAGACGAAGCTGCGCCAGCACATCCACAAGCTGACTGACAGACACGCCAGCCACGAAGCCCACAACGCCCTCTCCTATGCTGAACAGACGCTTCCGCTTCACTACCTCACCCTCCGCGACCTCTGGCGCACCTTCAAAGAGCTCGAGCGGCCGTTCCTCATCGCGAGCGGGTACCGCGCCGAGGCAATCCATAACGGGGCGTCGTGGGGCGAGGCGGATCTCGACGAGAAGGTCAGGGCCGATTTCGAGAAGCATGGGGAGCAAGGGAGTTTTGCGGACTGGAGTGCGATTTACAAGTGTGACTTTGCGCACCGGTTCATTTGGTGGCAGATCAAGGATGATGTGAAGAAGCTTGGAGACGAGGTAATGCGGATTATGGCGAGGAGGACGGAGAGGGAGGTGACTTATACGCGTATGATGGTGAAGCAGATCTTTCAGGGCGACGGGCCGGCGCAAATCGTTGATGCGCGTCCTCCAAGACGGCCTCCTGGTGGAGGAGGAGGTGGTGGTGGTGGTGGAGGAGGGGCCAGAAGGCGCATGAGCTGGGGAACTGGGCCTGTGAGACGGAGTCCGATCCCGATGAGACGAAGTCCTGTTCCGGTGAGGAGGGTTCCCGTCCCCGTTCCTGTAAGGACGTCACATCATGATCGATACAAGAAGCACGACGACATAAGCTTGAGCTCTTCTTCCTCCTCCAGCACAAGTAGCAACAGGGACAACGAAACAACGAAACGGGGCACGGATATGCCGAGACGAAGCAGTCCGGTATTCAGCGAGCATAGACACAGTCACCCAAAGAGCGATGCCGCTACTGTTGGGAAGCATCAGCATCGTCCTGATCATCAGTCACAGACGGGAAGCAATCGATGGGAGCAGTTCCGCGGCAGACCTACGCGGCAGTATGATATCAGGGAGTACTTCGAGAGTCGGGGGCGGGATCATTCGAGGATCATTGAGGTGATTGCTGAGAGCGAGGTTGACTATTTTTCACCTCGGTCACGGCACAAGAGTGATGGAAAATGAAGGAACTTTGTAATGACTTGTAAATTGAAGACAACTTGAATCACTAGGCTCTGGGTTCTTCTATATGTTCCAAAGCCTGGATATAATGTTGTCAATTGAAGGGTGGATGAAATCGAGTTACAGGATCTTAGAGAGTGTGGCCGACAGAATAGTCCCGATATGCGGTAAGATTCAAAGCAGAGAGGCAATGATATGACCGCTACAGGCTATTCGACCCTTTGCAATTCTTTTCAGATGAATATAACATGGCGGGCGTATTGATACTCCTACTACCTAGCATGTCATGTCCCACCAATTCATCACTGCCGCCAAGATCCCTTAAGCATCCATTGTGGCAACACGACTGTGTGATCGCGCTCCGAGCCAGTCGCCCTGTTTTCATCACCTTTAGAGCTCAACATCTCCGTCCTGGCCGATTGGATTTTTGAGAAGGACTCTTGATCGTCCGCCAGAGCCTTTCGAATTCTTTCGGCATACGCCATATAATCGTGTTTTGTATCCGGGACCGGGATTAGATGTCCGTGTAATCGTATCCACACTACAAGTTCGTAAGGTGTCATGATCTTGAAATTGACCTTGTCGGGAGGAAGTCTAGCTTTCAATCTAAGATAGTGCCTCTTAACGGATTCGAATGTCTTCCAGGGAGCGGATGATTCAGGTGGCACAAAGTCACGCGAACCAATTTGCTGCATTTCCTCCTCCTGACTATATAAAACCCTGTTCGGGTTTCAAATCGAGGCTTCTTGTCAATTTGAACAGTGGAAGGATTCTTACAACGTCCGCAGATTATAGGGACGGTCTGGGTATCGCCCATCGAGACATCTGTGTACCTCCAGAACTGATCACGGGATTCAGTTCCGATTCCATCACTTTTGCAGTGCTTGGAAAAGTCGCTGAGTTGTCTCAATAACCCTGGGATATGGTTTAAGGGGCCAGCAGTGTTGAGTCCCTCCCAAGGGTAGGGCTGAACTTCACAATCCGGGGGCAGCCTTTGAACTAGCTCTGCCTGGCGCAAGGTGCGAAGAACTGTTGCTGCGTACTCCTCAACAATTGTCAGCAGAAGTCGATTCTGACGCTTCTCAAACTCTGTAGTAGGCGGCATTGTCGGTAGCTGTGCAAATATCAACCACGCATCATATGTTCCATTGCGAGCCCAGAACATGTAGTGATCTGACGGTAACCTATTGAGCTTTGCAAAATTTCGCTGTATATTACTTCGGTTGCTTGTATGTTGCCGAATACGCGTTCTCAGTGCCTTCGATTGACCGGCATAAATGCCAGCAGTGCCGCTCTCGTTCCAAATGACGTGGAGATAGACTGTCCAAGGGCCAACATCATAATCCGAAGGTTCGTAACGTTCAATTTGGAGTATGGATGCGAGATCGACCCTGTTGCTCTGCATCAGAGCAAGGAATTCGGGGTTGATGGCGTCTAGAATTTTGGATCGAAGGCTACGGGCACCTCCTGCTTCTCTGAAATGGATGTCGGGACTTCAGGACTCGTCCGGATGTTGGGATCTGTATGGGTCTTCCAGGTCTTTCAGAATGTGGTCGAGTACTCGCAAGTATTCGGGTGTTCTTCGATGGATCACTTCACTTGGCTGTGGGAAAAGTCAGAAACGGAGGCAAACTTCGGGGCCTCCGAAGAGTTGCCAACTTACAGACAGGGTGGACTTCTGAGCCACATCAAATCTTCGTAGGCTTGTTTTCTCGGTGTTGATAGTCTTGGGCAAAGCCTCCTGTCGCTTTGCTGGGGAGAACACGGAACCTGACCGTGGACTTGACTGACGGAATTGTCGGTTGCGAAGGGCACGTAGCCCGATTCTTAGCATCTTGCGACGTTGAATCCCTTGAATTGACGGAAGAGAAGGGGCTAGGGAGTCTGGCTTTAATGTAATAGCTGGTAGATCGAAGAGGCTGGTCCATGTGTTGGCTCTCATGCCAGAACCTACGTATCATTCGATGAACCTTCCTCATTGAGGTCTTTCGAGTTCTGGCCATGTCCCTCAAAGAGCAGTCTAGTTTGTTGAAGTTGAAATGGAAAGCATTCACTTAAAGAGGATAAGGTTGTACAAGAATCTGCTCCCTGTGACAAGTGCAGGACTCAATCTCGCAATGTTGACATCAATACAAAGGTGAAAAGAATGGCGCTGCCGTGTCTTGAGTAGCTCAAAGAGCCTTCAACTTACATCGCTATTGTAGGCTGCTTTCAGTCACCTAAATTCAGAGCTTCTGCGTGATCATGGAATCTGGAAAGCATTGTCGGCCGGTGTAAGGAAGGGCGTTAGACTTTTTTGTCAGGCTACCCCTTCACAAACACTCAGAGATGATACTGGAACTTGACCTCATCCTGTTATTCTACTTCGCCATTAACTTAGTATGGACCCAAGTGCGCAGTGATACTAGAACGAAGGCGCTCATTTATATCACCTGAAGGTAGGCTGTGTTGGTCTCTTATGGGCTTCTACGGAAACTTTCAATCTTTCTGAAATCTCAATCCTGATGTCACTGTCAACTCCTTCACATATTTGAAGACTCCAATAACAGGGACAACAAAGCGCCGCCTCCAGCCGTGTATCCATAAGCTATCAAGGCTTATCTTGAAACTTTCCCAATGCCTCTTTGCCAACAGCACCACTGTCAACTTCCCCACTACCCACAGACTTGACACCCGAATGCGCATTATCCGGCTCTCCAGTCACCTCCTCCTTGACAGCCTCCATCGCCTTCTTCTTCTCCTCCCACTTGAAAGCAAAATGAATACCAACAAAAATGACAGCAGAAACCAACGCGAAAGCAAGGTAGAGCTTTGCGCCGATACGCCAGTGCGGAGCCTCTGATGCCGGGAACGCCGCAATGGGGATGAAGGCGCTCATTATGTAGGCGAGGACGGTCCCGCTGGCGAAGAGGACGGTGCGCACCTCTGGCTCGGCTTGGAGGTGAGCGGAAGCCCAGGAGCATAGAAGCATCGTAGAGACACTAATGATAGTAAGAGTGGCATTCCGGGGGTTTATATATAGGGTTTACGTACGCTCCGATGTAGTTCATGTACCAGCCAGCCATGTAGGCTTGTTGGTTGCTTGGTCGTATGATGAGTATGATCTGTGAAGTGATGTTGATGACCTGTGGCTTGTTAGCCGAGTGAAGCAAGAATTTTGCAGGAGAAAGACTAGTTTACCGAGTGAAGAAGTAAGAATGGCAGTCGAACGCCAAAGTAATCACTTAGGCCACTGAAGAGCATCTCTGCCACGAGTTGGACGGCTTGACCGATGATTGGCAAGTAGTTGAGCATGGCGACAGAGCTAGGAAGACGGTTAGCGCGCCTGAGGAGTTCAAACTAGAAGGATTGTACTTACTATTTGACTGCTCCATCTGCGTTCTTCAATGATTTGAGCCACAGATTAAAGTAGCTAGCCGGCGTAAAGTTACCGCCAATGGGCCAGGCGACTAAGGCACGTTATGTCAGAAGAGATGCTCAAGACTCTTCTAAGGGGGGGGGGTTGCTACTCACTGGCGAATGCCCACAGTTGCCAGAAGCTAAAGCATCGCACGAACGACTTGATCGTGATGCCGATCTGAGGCTTGCGGCCGACCCTGCGGGCACGGGCAAGGGCGATCTCGATGTGCTTCGGCTTCAAGTAGAACTTTGCGAGGGGATTCAGACGCTCGGGCTATTGGAGGGATTAGCACTTGTGTATTCGGGATTTAACAGGGGGACGTAAGGAAACCACGAGGACTTACGTAGCCAGGAAGAATAAAAAACGCAGCGAGAGCTACAGCTATCGTGCAAACACCCTAGGAAGAAGTCAAGTCAGTCGATGCGAATACCAGTTGCAAGGTTTCCGCCGCAGGTTACATTGATGATAAACGCCCAGCGCCAACCAGAACGTCCATGTAGACCCTCAAAGTTTGTTGAAAGCGCCCCTTGCATCGCACCAGAAAGCATTGCCCCAGCCGGCTGAGCAATATTGTACAAACTCATGCGGAGGGCCACCTCGTGGGGCATGTACCACTGACTGATTAGGGTAAAGTAGCCGGGCCAAGCTGTGCCTTCAAAGAAACCAATGAGAAAACGGAGGCCGTAGACCTAGTTCGGAGTGAGCGGTGCGATTTGATGGCGGTGCAATGGGCTTGGGATGGGTTACCTGCTTCGAGCTGGTGACCAGTGAGAGGCAGCATGTGAGAATGCCCCAGATGAGCTGTTGCTGTTAGTATGGCGTTGTTTGAAATGCCTCCTGGATAGACTTACTTCGCATGCCGGCAGCCATTTCGAGGGGCCAAAGTGGGAGATGATGATGCACGAGGGGTACAACATAATCATGTACCCGATACTGCATGTCACAGAAATATTAGAACGCCTCTTGATGTCCAGTCGAACGCACTGACTGACTTAAAGAATGTCGTAAAGTAGTTGAGCTCGTTTCCCAAGAGATCGAGGTCCTCCTTCATCCCTGAGACGTACGCATTGCTCTATAAAACACCGTGTCAGTAGCTGTAGTTGCCAGATTGCACACGAACTGGGTTCGTACGATATTTGTCTGATCAATGTATCTATCATGAGGTGTTAGCTTCCGATCTGCCCAGCGGAAGCTTAGTCTATACTCACTTGAACATGTAACCCAAGAACCCGATTGTCAAGAAGAACAAGTCCAGACGCCAAAGCTGTACACTGGTTCAATTACTGCACTGATTACACAGAGCATGTCGGGAACCTACGAAAGCTCTCTCCTCCTTGGGATCGATATCGTCCTTTGGATTGCTCGCGACAGGGGTAAGAACATCTTCAGATCCGGAATCATTGTCTCCTTGCCGGGCCGGGGGCACTTCAGCCGCAACCGGTATTGGGGTTTGTTCTGGAACTCCCATCTTGGTTCTGTTGCAGTCGAATGACAGGCTGAGAAAACTCAACGTCTTTGGAAGCAGGGACTACGCTTGTGGATTCCACTTGGCGTGGAATGTAAAACTCGACGATCAATCGAGGGCATACTTATAAGATCCAACAAGCCAATGGCTACGGCAGAGTCCCGCGAATCCTTCATGATGGTATCAAACTCAGAGGCAAAGACGTGCTCTGCATGGTGATGTGCGCTGGTGGAGCATCCCGACGACCTCGGACTGAGGGGGTTGACTACGATTCACGTTGCATGCTATCCGTAAAGGGTCCTATAATGCTACCTAAGATGTGCATTGTATAGGATGAAGCTCATTAGAAAGTCATTCGTGGTTCTCAGTCGGAGACTGTCCGTCAGTCATACTAGCGCCGGCTATATGTGCCGAAAACCAGAGGGGCGTTGCCAGCAATTTTGCGACATTGACAGGGGAGAAGACGTGATGCGCCCAACGCACACCACGGCCAGATAAGCACCAGCGACTCTCCACATATGCCTCGTCGCCGGCTTCTGTGATAATTGAACGTGTGTTTCCCCTGTCGCAATGCCGCCGCGACATATGATCCCTTGAGGCTTCCTGCATGGCCGTGTCGGCGAGAGCCCGACGCTCAGCACCTGCTCATGCGTAAGCATGCAAGTGTCGAGCTTGCAGGCTCTTCCGTCGGCAAGAAGGGTTCATGCATATCCCCAATTGGAAGAGATTTCGTTCTCCGAGCCCTAGTTATCAGGAGGTAGTCGGGCAGGGACCGTACGCTGAGGTGTAAAGTCTAGAGCCTGACAGCTCGCCGTTGCTCAAGAGTAAGCCTCTCCGGCGGGGATCGAGTCTTATGTTGGGTCTGGGTGACTCGCCTTTTGAGCGTACTTTTACGTTTTCAGACATGCGCATACTTGACATCATGTAGATGATGCTGCTGCGTTGATGTGGACTTTCACTGGACATGGCTCTAGGAAAGAAAACATGCTATTCGTATCTTCATGAGAAGTAAGAGTCCTGAGTAGAGGGCGGCGAGGATGGAGCTTTGCCTTCCTCGATCCAACACTCGAAAAAGAGGGGTCCAGCTTCAACTGAGCGAAGTGGTGTGGTAGAGGCGCCTCCAATATTTGCGCCTGGCACCGGGTTCATCCTTGAGGCGGGCTGAAGCGCGGGTTCGGAAGGAATCCAAGGCTGAGGGTGCTGCATCAAAGTCAGTACATATCAAAGGTAGCTGGCAATAAGGGGTATGATGCCTACCCCTATTGGCGCCGGTGACTCGTCTCGTAGCTCGACAGCCATTGTGAAGGTACACCCCTCTGGTAGTGGCCCCTTCATCTCGGCGGCATAAACCAGACGTCTAAGAGCTCCTCTGTACGCCTCGTTCACATCGACCCAGTTCACCGAGCCGTCATCATCGTCTTCCTCCCGTCGCTGGAACCTCTGCCCCTGACCGAGCCTCTCCTTGCCCTTGCCCGTAGCCCAGACTGGGAAGTTGGTGACGTCAAAGACCCATCTCTCCACAACAGCCATAGTCTCTGCGGCATGAATCACAACACACACTTTGGAGACGGTGCCGAGAGCAATTTGATCCTGTATCGCAGCGAGGGCCGAGTTGATCCATTCGCACAGGGCTGGATGCCGGGATTGAGGTACTGGCAGGTTGTGGGCTTTTGTCATGAGAAATGTCTGTTGCGGGTATAGGCGCCTGTAGTACAATATTGTGTGTATTGTGAGTGTGAGGAATGTTGTAAACGAAGTCAAGATGGTGTTTGCCTGCGGCCGCGGGATGGCCACTGGTGCTGCAGAAGCCGAGTCTGGCCTCGAACTAGAAGACATGGTTCCTGATGAGTCTCTCGAACGTCCTCGCTAGAAAGACAAGATATCGATGGAATGGCGAGATGAGAGCTCGGTTTCGTTCGTACGGATCCTCCTGAATCAGTAGGGCGCAGGGGAGGACAGAAGTCGCGGTGGTGATGAACGAAGCGCGACTAGGGAGGATGCGACCTTCACGCCATGTCACATGCTTCATGAACGAGCACGTGACTCTCTGTACGGGCAATCCAGGCACCAGGGAGGCAGGCGACGATTGGTTGCAGGGTGCGGGGCCGGTCCACTTATAGGGCTGAAGGCAGCGAGTCTCTGACGCCACTCTGCGAACCCCCCGTGCCCCCCAGCTGCGACCCAAAGCTTGGGGATAGCTCCCTCCTGTCTCCCGGGACGTTTCTACACTTCGTCAATCACTCAGCATCCGTCTGGACAGCCCAACCCAACAGCAGTGAACGAAGCCCAACGCCGTCTAAGCCTCACTCGCAGTCTACTTAAGCGTTGAAGTTTCTCGCAGACGTCTTTTCGAATCTCCCTCTTTACAGACACACATACGTAGAGCTCAGGAATCTACCCCTCGTCACCACAACCCCGCCATGGCGAATCCACTCACCTCGCAGCCCGTGCTGCAACAAATGGCAGAAGCCCTGCCTACCCATCCCAAGGGCGACACCACCTCCGATATTAGCAGCGGCTATGAGCTCCCCGCCCTCCTCACGCATGCCTGTATGGCTTCTCTCAAGTTCCGTCTATTGGGCTTTGACGAGGAGAAGCGGATAGGTATGGCTCTTGACGTTGATAAGCGTGCCTCAGACCTCCAGCTAACACCCACCGCAGAAGAAGAAGTCCAAAGCCTTGCCCCGCGTCTACCAGCATCATGGAACGCCGGCTATGGCTCTCTCCGCTTTGTCTACGCCCACAAGCAGTCGTCCATGACGTCCATCATTCGGATTAGCAAAGTTGGCGGCAAAGTCGAAATTAGCGGCCTTGCCGTTGGCCACGATGTCATCCACAGGTTCGAAATCACGACAAAGGATGTGGTCAACAACTCAAAGCTGCCTTTGCGCATCACCCTCACCGAGGACGGCTCCGAGGACAGGACCGACCTGGTCGAGAAGCTCAAGGAAGCTTTCGTATCAGAGTCTGCCATCACCAAGCTCATCGACCAGTTCAAGACCGAAATCATCCAAAAGCTCATTCCCAAGTTGCAAGCTGAAGGCTACGAAGAGTCGCCCGACGACAGGGACGCGGCGGAGAACGCCCAGAGAGAAGGCCGCGCTCAGGCTGGTCGTCCCGGACGGCCGTTACCCGGTGATCTGCCGGATCCCGCGCGCCCATACCCGGTCAATGATCCTCTCGCCCAGCCTCCTAGAAGACCCATTCCTGCCGGAGACTTCCCGCCACCTGGGTTCGAAGACGAGTACGAGATTAACAGACCTCCTCGCCCGCTGGCGCTTCCCGGTCGATCACCCTACAACATCGGCCATGACGACCTCAACCCGCCCGGTCTTGGTCCCAATGACCCGCTGAGAGCATCTTTCATCGGTGGCGGCGGTCTCCCCCGACCCGGAGGCGGCGGCGGAATGCACCCCACCTTTGATGACCCCCTTTTCGGAGGACCGGGTGCGCAAGGAGGCGGCGGCTACGATCCCCAAGCGCCACCGGGTGCTAGATGGGACCCCCTTGGTCCGGGTGGTATGCCCAGACACGGCGGTGGACGCGGAAACCCCTTTGGAGGCTCGGGAGGGTTCGGGGATGGATTTGGTGGAGGATTCGGAGGAGATATCATCTAAACGACCATCACTGTCGAGGAGATTGGTAACCAATTCAGACTGTCTCGAGTAGTTGTAATTGTACGCCCGTAATGAGATATGACAAAATGTCTAAATTTGAATCAATTCCCCCCTTCAAGACTCCTTCCATCTAGTGACCATCTTTGACTATCGTGATTATGCCAGAGTCTATGCGAACCCCAAAGACGCCTCAGGTGCACCCAAGTACGTCCACCGCAACTTCTGCACATCGTAACCATCGACACTTACAACCCGTTCCTCGCCCGGCACCACATCGAACCCATTGTCACTCAACTTCATCCCGCGCTCTTCCTGAATAATAAACCCCTTGACCGGCCTATCCGCAGAGACAACCAACGCCCCATCCCTCACCTCCACGCGCACCTTGCGGTCCGAAAAGTCGATATACTTCAACGGCTGAGGCCACGCCGTATCCTCCGCCACAGCCTCCCCATCAACAAACAACGTCGCATGGATCACAAACGGATCATCCTCCTCCGGATAAAACGACACACTCGCGTCCCCAAACTTGTCCCCCACGGCCTCGACCTTGCACTTCTCAACAACCTCCGTCGTCGCGTTCGCCTCGGCAACAACCTTCTTCTCAACCCTCCCTCTCACCTCCTTTCCAGTCTCAATAGAAATAAACCGCACCACAAGCTCCCCAGCAACGGCATCAACCTTCCCACTCGCAATCCACACCTCGTACTCCGTCCCCCTCGCCCCGAGCGTCGGATCAGCATGACACTTAGTCCACTCATCAACCCTCCTCCCAACACCGACATCAACCCCCCTCAACGCCCTCCCAATCGCATAAAAAGCAGGCTTCCTCACAAGCCAATAATCCACAATCGCCCAGCTCACTGTCGGCCAGCAATCATTCAGCTGCCACACCAGCGCGCCGCCACATCCTCTCTTTCCTGGTGTGCCCCAATCCCGCCGCCAGGCCTTGTACGCGAACGTCATGGTCTCGGACTGCATCAGCTGCGTGAGGTACGTGAAACACGCGAGATCGTAGCGGACGCGGAAATTCTCGACAATGTACGTCATCATCCGCCGCTCGTGGTCGTAGGCTTTGTTGCGGAAGTCGAGGGCCATGGAGCCTGGGCGGCGTTGCGCGGGGGAGGTGAGCATTTGGTTCGTGGTGGTGAGGTGAGGGTAGCCTTCCATGCCGAACTCGGAGACGAAGCGGCCTGTTAGGAGGTGGGATTCTTGGTACTTGTTCATTGCGCCGTGCCAGACTGGGTTGAGTGTGTTAGTTTGCGTGTTCCGAAAACTTCCAAGGAAAGGGGGGAAACTCACTATTCCACTGATGAATATCCCCAACCGTCGCATCAGCAGTCGGCTTCCCATCACCCCACGGACTACTCGGATGATACACCGCCCACGGGCTCTCCTCCTCCACAATCTTAGGCAACAGATACTCATACAAATACCTCGCCGGAAACCCGGACCTCAACCACGACTCCGGGTCTTTATCCTCCTCAAACCGATACTCAAGCTGATACCTCTCCTGCACCTGATAATCCTCATTATTCCCCGCCCACATCACAACACTCGGATGCCGCCTTAACCTCTTCAGATTCTGCCTCGCCTCGGCCTCGACGCTGGCCAAGAAACTCGGATAGGTCGGGTAACTCCCGCACGCGAAGCAGAAATCGTGCCACACCAACACGCCCAGCTCGTCGCATGCCGATATCAGCGCCGAGGCCTCGTAGACGCCGCCGCCCCATATCCGCAGCATGTTTTGGTTCGAGGCGGCGAGCTGGGCGGCCCAGGCGCGGTATCGTGCGTCGGGGATGGCGGCGTGGAAGCTGTCTGCTGGGATCCAGCAGGAGCCGCCTGCGAAGATGTCGGTGTTGTTGATGCGGAAGTAGAATGATTTGCCGGGGGCGTCTGGTTCTTGGATGAGTTGCGCGCGGCGGAAGCCCGTTTTTTGGGTATGGGTTGCGAGTGGGTGCCGTTTGTCCGGGACGTCGGAGGTGTGGTGGAGGGTCGTGGTGATTGTGTAGAGCGTCTGCGGGCCGTAGTTAAGGGGCCACCACAGCCCAGGCTTCTCAAGTCGAAAGTCTGCTGTGGCGATACCGTCCTCCGCAACAGCTATACGCTTCTCCAAAACGACCTCGTCGTCGAGACTGAACGTCACCGCAACCTCCTCTGCTCCAGACCCCTGCGTCGTGACGATAATCTGCCCAGAAACACTCTTCAAATCCGGACTCACCTCGCTCTTCACCCACACATCGTCGATCCGCGCAACATACCGCTCCAAAAACACAGGCTTCCAGATCCCAGCCGTGACGAGGATCGGACCCCAGTCCCAGCCCCAGTGATACTGCGCCTTACGAACGGGGATCCGACCTGCCTCCGTCTGCCGGGCGATGAACCTGTGCTCGTGAGAATGTTCCTCGACGAGCTGTCTGCCGCGGAGCAGAGCCGAGTCAAAGACAATCTCCAAGAGGTTGGTGCGGTCTGCGCCGTCCGTCTTGAGGTGTTGTGAGACGTTGACGCGGTGGGAGAGGAACATGTTGTCCGAGGCGAGGATTTGGTTGCCGTTGAGGGTGATTGTTGCAAAGGTGTCTAGACCTTCGAAGACGAGGTCTGTGGTTGGCGTGGTGCCGAGTGCTGCTGTGGTTGAAAAGTCTGGCGGTGTTGGGAAGGCGAGGCGGTAGATCCAGGTTTTTTCTGCGACCCATTGGACGGCGAGTTCGTTCATGTCCAGGAAGGGGTCTGGGATTCTGTTGGTGGTTTGTTAGATTGTCTTTGGTGATGGCTGTGAGTGTAGGAGAGGGTGAAGGGGAGGGGGGGTTCACTTCTTGTTTGCCAGCAGATCGACGTGGACTTGGCTGGGGATACTAGGCACAGGAAGCCATGCCTCCTCCTCCGAGGCGTCATCTTTTTGTTTGAATGTCCAGCTTTTGCTGAGCTCATGCCTGATGAGAGCCGCCATCTTGACTGCTCAGACGCAGAGGTTTGTACTGTGTAAGATGCAGTATACCCTCTCGGTGTAATGTGCCTCACCAAGAAACAAGATCACGGAGAAATTATGAAACCAGAAAAAGTAAACGACGTGACTTGCGCACTCTTATATATAAAACCCTCCAAAGCTACGATGTTCCCTCTTACACGGCCCGACTGAAGACCGGGGGAATCGGGGTCGTCTTCCGGGGGCACTTGACCCCCCACATCTTGAGGAGCTTCACGTCAGCCGGTTGGGTTACGGCGTCGAGACAGTGCTCGGGGTAGCACCGTCCGGAGCCGAGTGAATGACGGGCTACCGTGGGAAGTGCTGAGGAGTTGAAGTGGTCCGGCTAAAATGGTGGAGGAGACGGAGGTTTAAAGTCCCCCGTGAGATCCACTTTTGACGCTGGAGACGGCGATTTGAAGGCCCGGTGGCTTGGATTGGGGCTTCGGGGGTATATGTGCCCGATCACCAATTACACTTGCAACTCCAGGATAGAAGTTGATCTTTCGGATGGGAGATATTTCGGATGAGAAAAGGCATCTCATCTAATTTGTTATACTTTGTCATGTTGTTCCATTCATTTTTGCCTCTCGCTGGAAAGCGTCATCGTATATAGCTTCGTTTCCAATCCACATAAAACCTGTTCATCACTTCAACGTATGTATCTCATCAACATTCTCAACCCTTGCTCTCCCCAGTAAACCTCCCCATCCAGTCAAAAACAGTCTTATGCCAAACCAGCGAGTTCTCCGCATTCAACACCCAATGACACTCATCATCAAACGTCAAGAACCGCGTCTTGACGCCCTGACACATGAGCGTGTTATACGCAGCAATCCCCTCCGTAATAGGACACCTATAATCCTTCTCGCTGTGAATAATCAACGTCGGCGGCGCATGCCTCCAATTCCTCAACAGCTCCGGCCTCGCCGGGTTCCACCGCTCCATCTCCTCGGCATTATCCCATAAAAACGGCGGACCCCCAAAATCCGGGCCCCCGTCAACGACGTCGCTCTCCAGCATGAAGACGGGCAGACTGAAAATGCCGTCGTGCCAAATGGCGCAGGAGAAGCGGCGGATCAGGTCGTGCCCGTTCATCCAAGAGATCATGTACCCGCCGTACGAGGCGCCCGCGATGATGGCGCGGTCGTGGTCGAGGTAAGGGAGCTGTTTGAGGTGGTCCATGAGGCGGACGAGGTCTTGGTAGGGCGCGCCGCCCCAGGAGCGGTAGATGCGGGCTGTGAAGTCGACGCCGTAGCCTGTGCTGCCTGCGATGTTGGGGGCGATGAGGACGTAGCCTTGTTGGGCCCAGAGGGCCATGTTCCACTGTTGGTAGGTATTAGTCAAAGGTTGGTATTAGAGAGGCAGGCGGAGGGATTTGGCTTACCCTTGTCGACCATGAGTCCGTCCAAGCTGATTCCGGCCCGCCGTGAGGTAAGAGGACCCAGGGATACTTCTTGGTTTTGTCAAAGTTGGCTGGTTTGATGATGAAGGAGTGCACGATGTTGTCATCTTCGCCTTCGTACCAAAACTCGGAGACCATGCTGTGAGACAGCCCGTACTTTGCGCCGTGTTTGGTCGCTGACGACACAACTTTTGGCGCCGTGTTGAGGGAGACATCGAAAATCCGCCACAGACTACTGTCAACCATGCTATTGCTCGTCACCAAGACTTTCTCATAGCTGCCCTCCTTGAGAGGGTAGAAAGCCGAGACGACGCCGCTCGACGTCAGCGATGTCGCCTCTGCACCGTGACGAAGCTCAACGTGCGACAGCTTCACCCGTCCACAGTCCTCCGTCTTCAAAAAGATGGCATCAGAGCTGCCCGCGAACTCGAAACCACTGGGAGGCAGACTCGGGCCCTTGCCGAAGACCATCTTGTGTACATCGTAGGCGGCCAAGGAATCAATGTAGCCCATGTACAGTCTGGCGTCTGCAGGGTTGCTGTGCGGCCTGTGCAGAAAGGCAATCTTGGAGTCGTCGGGCGAGAACCTCACGTTGGAGTAGTATGCCTTGGCCTCTGATATGCCCATGACAATGGGCATCGGCTTGGTGTTGGCGGCGGCCGTGAAGGATTTGAGGGGGACGTAGTAGACGTGGGAGACGTCCGCTTCCTCAGGCTTCAGTCCGGGGTCCTCGGCGATGAAGGCGATGCCCTTTTCGCTAATGTCGAATGCGTCGGTAGGGTCGTTGACGTCGTACCTGCCCAGTGGTGCCTCAAGACGGGTGTCCTTGATGACGTTTTGGAGCTCGCCTGCGACTCCCCATTTGCCGTGCGCGTTGACGAGAGTCGAGTACCAGAGAGCGTATTTGTGAGGTTTCATCAGCTCGTTCCACTAATATCAGGTATTAGTCGCGACATGTCACCGATTTCACCCACCCAAGCCAACAACTTACACGCCTCATGTGATAGTCATCAAAGATCCGCCCCGTAGACCTCTTCTCCACGATCTTGTCATTGAACAGAGACCCATCGGGCCCAACCAACCCAGCAACGACGAACCCGACACTCCCATCACCCAGAGCCTTAACCTTGAGCGCGCTGATGGGCGCATCGTACTCGGCAGCGACGTAGTGCTCCTTGGCCGGCTCGGCGCCATTGGCGATCCAGATCTGTGTGGTCCCCTTGTCGCCGAATTTCAAGTAGACGACCTCGCTTGCCGTTCCCGGCAGCCACAGGGCTTCGTGGACTTTGTCGTCGTCGGTGAGCTGGTCGGAGGCGCCGGACTCGACGTGCATGAGGCGGACCTCCTTGAGAGTCTTGTTGTCCTCGAAGCTGTGGCTTGACTGGGTGTAGAGGATGAGCTTGCCGTCCGGGCTCGGGACGGCGGCGCCGCGGCGGGGTGCGCTGAGGAGTACCTCGGGGGTGAATTCCTTTGCCACACGCATGTTGGAGAGGCGGATAGATTGAGACTGCGAAGGAGGTTTGTAGATTTGGGATTTAGATGGTATTTCACAGCCGAGAGAGGAAATGCAACGCGATGATATCGATACAGTGAGATGGAATCAATTGAAACTATTGTCCTGGCATTTTACTGCGAGAGGATGAGACGTGGTTGAGAACGGCAGCAGTTTACCTACCGCGGTACTTAGACGTACGAATAAGGGTGACGCATGCTGTCTCCAGGGACGCGACAGCCCTTGCAGGTCGACAGCTTAAGCTTCCAAAGTTCCATTGGATTTGTCCGATTGCTTACCTTCCTGCTTGGGCCTTGGGGTCGTTTGGAGACGGCGAGCATCTAAGCCAACTCTGGAAGTAAGCACGGTATCCGTAAGGTACCCAAGGTAAGTACGGATTGGATGGCATGGGATGGGATGGATGGTACTTGTGCGCTGCGTTGCACATGCTGGTGCCTGTTTGGCGTACGGAGTCGAGTATCTGTTTTCGCATAGAGATGATTAATTGAGTAGGGTGATGGGTAAGCAAGCACGCAAGCGAGAATGGATCCGATCTTTTGTCAAAGGATTGCCGTGCTGCTTCTTCGTCTTCTTGAAGCTTAACCCAAGGTTTTTGATTCGGATTGAATAGCTTCGTCCCGGAGCAAGATGTCAATGTCCAGAGTCCATACAGCTGGAGAGACATTCGCCAAGGACTTGTAGGTACGTACTTGAACCTCGCGGCCCCCCGGCTTCTCATGCGAAAGCTTAGCTAATCCACGGTATCCACTCATTAGGTAAGGTACATAGCACCCACTGGTCGGGTCGGGTACGTAGCGTGATCCCAATCATCCAACCCCATCATCCCGAGGTCGGGTGGGTCCATGTTCGCTCCCCCGGAAGGAAACCGGACGGCCAACGGGAGAGTAGCCGACGAGGGGACCCACTCTTGGAGATGCCTCTAGGCGGATGTCTTCTCTCGTTTGGTCATTTTAGGTGCATGCCCGAAGCGAACAAACACTCACGACACTCAAAGTCATGCCATCATGCGATTTCCGGGATTGCATTACACAAGGACCCACATGAACATATGTCAGGCCAACGCGGACGGTATCCGTGGACCATATGGAGTATCCGTACAACACTTGACGTGACTTGGTGGAGGTTTCCTGTTGATGGGACTATCGCTAGGGACCATCCCCATGTGACCCCCACCAATCACCAAAACGAGCGTCTCCCTTGGTGTTTACTGGTCCCATGTCTCCCGAGTCCGACTCACATCCCCCAGCTCTCCCAAAAGTGCGCCAACCCCCCGACCCCCAAAAAGGGACCCCCCCCCCATTATTTACAGTGGCTCGGGATGGGATCATGCGATGGAGACGTTGGAGAGAAAAACGCCATGTCCGTCCAACCTACAGGAACTCCTGGAACGACCGTCCCAAGGACTGATAACACGCCAGAAATTCATACGCCCATGTCTTGCTTAGGTAGTTGCTCGAGGTACCTTATCATACTAAAGATGTCAAAGCAAAGTCACATTGCACCAATATCTCCCTCCAGAGGTACGGACTCACGGAGTACTTCGTACACGTTCAGACTGTAAATACAAGGGCCCATTCCTCGGGCCCCATCGTACCGACTATCTCCGACTTCGGTCTCCAGTAAGCTGAAATTTTCGAGCAACCATTCGTCCACACTCATCCGTAGCATCCATGGATGTGATACCTCAGTCCACTTTATTCTATCCCATGGGCCTCCAGGCTCTGCTATTTTTTTTCCTTCTGCCTCGGACTACGGTTCCGTCCCGGGCTCGCTGGTCTGGCTCCTCGAGACGGCCATAATTGGGCGCGTCGTGCCCGGCTCCAAAGTCGCAAAGAAAAAAAGCTGCGTCCCGGGCTGGTCTTCTCTTCAAACCATGGGAATTGTGTGTCCATAGGGTAGCTCTAGCTCTTGTCCTTCTTCGTCTTGGTTTTTCCTTGTTCCCTCTCTCTCCCACGTTCTACCTGTAACCTGTAGACTATTCTCCCCCGTTGCCTTTCCCTCCCCCGCCTCATCCTTCCTCTTGAGGTCAATCACCCCCCAAAAAAGCACCTCCATCCCATTCGTTTG